GACAGCAACATTATACTCATTCAGTTCATTAGAAGTGGAGAAACGTCATTTATAGTAGTACGCAGAGACGTACGCAGGGGCGTACGCAGGGGGGGGGGGTTGGGGGTTCAAACCCCCCCTTTGGTATTTTTTATGTGTGTAAACCCCCCTAAAAAACCTAAACCCCCCCCCCCCCCCCTTTGGATTTGAAAAAAAAAAATTATCATTTAAAAAAAAAAATATTATATATATATATATATGCCCATGGCTAACCTAAAAAAGGTGACCTTACCCCCTCCCCTCCCCCCCAACGAAGAAAAAAGTCAAATTTTCAAATTTCGAGACCAAAAAAAAAAAAAAAAAAGTGTCCGCTTTCCCCCCCCCCCCCCCCCCCCCCCCCCCCCCCCCCCCCCCCCCCCCCCATACTGAGCGACTTTTCGGCCGGCGCGATTTTAAATTTTTCGGGAGCAAAATATTTTGGGTCCGATTTTAACCCCCCCCCCCCCCCCCCCCCCCCCCCCCCCCTGAAAAAATCCTGCGTACGCCCCTGGTAGTACGTGTAGATTAGTTCTGGATGCAGGGCTTGGCAACGTTAAGGAATGTTTTCAGATGTAGATCTCGTAGGAAACCATGCGCTTACCATCAACAGGTTTCTTCCTTTGTAAATTTCAATGAGCCTTTGTAGAAATGTACTTGCTTGTACTCTTGAACTTAGGATGTTGCACTTGTACACAATAGGCGGTGTCACACAGAAAAATCCCTTAAAAATCCCTTGAAAAAAATCCTTTCAAGGGAGAATTTTCTTGCTTCGTTAGAAGGTTTTGAATGGATAATTGATGACAGACAGCAATTAAGAGGATAACTAAAATCCAGATAACTAAAATCCGGACTTTTGGCCTCTGTGTGACACCGCCTCATGACTCTATTTCTATTCTGTCTTTCTTTTACACTCCATGTTATGTAAATTGATGTAAATCGTTGCCCTCGTATTTCAGAGGGTCTTGACACTATGAAAATGACTGACAAAGAAAGCGGACAAAATATACATTTCCTCAGGTAGACAAAGGACATCTCTTCACTATTATGTAAAAATGTGTAGAACAGGTGAATATGCATGTGACACATTTTTACATAATAGCAGTGAAGGGATGTTCCTTTGTCTACCTAAGGAACTGTTTATTTTGTCCGCTTTATTTGTCAGTCATGTTCAAGAAAGGCTTTATTTTTGCCTAACCCATCCCATGAGACAGTAAGCAAGTAATAATGTGAATAAGTGAGAAATTTCAAACCGGTCGCATCATAGTCTGCCAATTTCTATAGATATACATGCATTTCGAAATCAAAAATAAAGTGACAAAGGGGAATTCTGAAACACACTTCCCCATAAACTCGTCTTTGCATCGAAAGGTGTTAAATAGTGCAACCGTGCATGAAGACAAGTCACCTTTTGAACAGAGCTCCTGGAATGAGGAAGTGTAATTACATGAAAAATACATAAATGATAACATAGCTGTAGTAGAAATTGCCGTGCATTCTAGGTTATGTTCGTCAAGTGTGAATCTGGAGAACATTATAAACAAATTCAAAGACACATTAACATAGTATTAAGATATATACAGTATCTATTATTAATAGTTTGGTTATTTATTACGACATATTGAAAAAAAATTACAGAACGTTCATTTTCCTTCCCATCACTTTAATCAATCGCAACATGTATTCACAGTATTATTTGTGGTATATTATGGATACAAATATGCCGTTCCTCGGTTCAAAGATGTTATGTTCATAAAGCGTGAATCTGGAGAACATATCATAAACAAAACAAAAATGTGTGTGTTATCTTATTCCAAAAACAATTGCTCGGGAGCGCCAGGAGTGTCAAGTCTGACAGACATGAGCGCTATACAAGAACCCATTATTATTATTATTATTATTATCATTATTTACATTGACTAGTATAAGGTGGTATTTAAAAATAATATGTGTAAATATCGAGTAATAAACTCAAACTCAAGGAAATGCTTATTTCAAGCAAATTTCTTTTCGTTTCAATGATTACACTCTTGACCTGATTCGCATTCCTTGTTCTCGCAAACGAAAAATTATACGCATTTGACCAAAGAGTTTTAAAGAGATGGAGTCCTATCTAGCTCATTCCCTTTGAACCATCTTCGATGCCGCCAGGAGAAAATATGTCAGGCATGTGCTTAACTGGATCTTCCTTGCAGATACGTAGACAAAATATTCCTGCCCACCTGTAAACTAACGGGCCACTTTCAAAGGGAAATATGCTTTTGTAATGATAATTACTTTTCGCTACCACTCGTCTGATAATACGAGCAGACAGTGCTCACCTGTGCAGGAGGCAAGCGAAAGGAAATGGAGCAAAATTTCCTGAAATATTAATCAAAATTACTCGACCGGGCTGGTGTGGGCACTAATCTGACACATAACATCTTTAAGAACTGTACATGAACAAATTCACTTTTTATTTTCATGAGCCGGAAGTAATCGGAAAGTGTCAAATTGCAGGTTTTAGGACTGTAAAATTGTACTATTTTCCACAAATCTATGCTGCTATCATACAATGTAAGCAAATTTCTTAACACAATTAGACGTTTGTATTCATATTATATTAGATCATCTGTTCGATTTTCCCCTTGTTAGTTCAAATAAAAAGTGAAATATTAAGGATATTTCTTTGTGAACAAAACAGTCTCAAGCTTTCCAATAATAGGGACTTTTAGATTTGCACAACGACAATGTGGATTGCTACGGTCGACGTCCTTTTAATGCACTGCCTTGAATGGACGTCACACGTATCAGTCCACGCAAATCTAAAAGTCCCTGATATTGGCGGCTTCGAACCTCGGACATCAAAGGTAACAGCACACCAGTAGATGCTATTGTGCAACCATAGAAAACGACAGCTGCTTTATTTATTTGTTGCCAGTGGGGTATCCATCTCTTAAAATTCCTTGATTTGACTACGTGGTCAATATTAACCATCGAAAATCGCCCGGAGTAAAATATGCTTATTACGACGATTCTCGCAGCCAATATCACGTGACGAGCAGTGCATGGACCAATCATAACGGTGTATCCGTAAGAAATATATTTGTATTATATTCCATGTTTTCTTTCTTCACAGCAACGATCACCACCGCCAATGGCAATGAACCCTGTTGATTGGATGCCCGCCCCTCAGGTTGCCGCGCCCCAGGGGTGCCCACCGGGTCTGGAATACCTCACGCAAGTCGACCAGCTGCTCGTTCACCAGATCAGCAAGGTTGGTGAAGGTAAGACGTCGTTCGTATTCATTACACGAAATGTATGATATTTAGAAGGCCTAATTTCACTCAGTTTGATTGGATAATTTCACTTGGTTTATTTGGTTTGATTATTTACTTCGAAAACCGGTTCATAATAAATAAAATACAAAAGGTTACAATAATATGTCATAAATGCACTTGATTTGATCATTTGTTCGAAAATCGGTTCATTGTGTAGATATTCTTAATGCACATGTGTATATCATTCTAGTGTATATAATTGTGAGTTAAATAATCACTTCGAGTATACAGTTCATAACAACAGTTTTCTTTAACGTTAATGCAAACCAACACCACTTCTTTATGAATGATTGTTTACTCGTAATGATTGATTAGTTGTCACCAATCATGGTGTCGGAGCCAGCCCTGACTATAGCTCTTACTATTCGTTGGCCCTATTCGTATACACACACACATTTAGTAAGATTTGGATCGCGATTCAAATCTCGTCTTTGTTTATGCCACTGAAGTATGACGTCATCAAAAATCTATTTTTAGAATTTCTCAACTTTTTTTTCTTTTTCCGAAAGAGCATCAAAAATAACGTCCGAATGTCGAAAACCAATTGAATATATTAAGTATTGGCTGAGATAATTATGACCATCTGAATAAATATATATGGGAACTCAGTGTTATAGTGCTCTGGTTCATAACATTAGGAACCAGAGCACTACAACACTGAGTTCCCATAGGACATATATTTATTCAGATGGTCATATCTCAGTTAATACTAAATATATTCAACTGGTTTTCGAAATTAGGACATTATTTTTGATGCTCTTCTGGAAAATGAAGAATAAATTGAGAAATTCTAAAAATAGATTTGTATGATGTCACAGCTTCGGTACTCTTATCGCGAAACGCTTGGCCAAATAATCGCGATTGTTTTAATAAAAGAACCGCACTTTTAGTGAGATTCTGTAATCGCGATCAGGATCTCACTTTTTAATGAGATCTTTTTGGTTGACACCCATTTTTTAAATAGGTGAGATTCTGATCGTGATTCAATAATCGATTTTCTGATGTCATCCATTTGTCTGTGTGTGAATCGAAAAACTGAAATACAATGTTACTTGAACGTTTGGTAGTAAATGAATGCAGGAATGATACAATATACGACCAATAGATGAAACATTAATTTAGAAGCATATCTGAGTGGTATACAACCTATTAAAATTATAATCGAAATTCGAAACTTTTTAATTCTTATAATACCATCCCAGACAACTATTCCCTTCCGTGATAATATTTTAAACCCGGCTACTCATTGTATGGGAAAACTACATATGCATGGACAAATAGTCAACTACACTGGGCAGCTACTCGAGAAAATGTATTCATCAGGTGGAATTACGCCCCTCTCACTTCCTCCCCTATGTTAACCCCAAAGTAAAGTGTTAACAAATTAATTTTATGTTGCATAAATTATATGGAATGCGGGAAAAATATACTATTTAATCTGTGTTCTACATTTACATGTTCTATTTTCTAAATCAAATTGACTTTGAATGAGAATGGTTATTAAGTACGTGGAACAACATTTTTTCTTCCGTACTGCATTTCTGTTTGATAAAAAAACTCTCCGCTTGAAATTTGTTCTTGTTTTGTTTATTTATTTTATGTTAGTTTTTTTTTTTTTTTTTAATTGCCGTTTATTGTTACTGATTTCATTCTTTTCTTAGATCAAATATTTGCCGTCAAGAACGGTCTGGGACAACGAATCTACTTTGCTCACGAAGGTATGTTCACCTTATACGTATCCTTTTAATGAAAACAAAAGTAATATGATATCCTCGAATTTTGCCTCCAAAGTCTTTCTCTCATTACAAATGGAATACTAGACTTTAATTCGTCACTTAGACGAATTAGGTGATACGTATGCTCATGTGACGATATTAGAATGATGACCATGATTGAAAGTGGCACAGCGCCCCCTTCAGGTTTTCAATAGAGGATAAAACTGTTTACCTATACTAAACAAGCTCAAAACACTTCTTTTTGTCAATATTACAAAACGTACGTGGTGATTTATTTAGTTCTGATTTAATATAAAACATGAGTAAGATATTAATATTTTACCCATCCATAACCCATCCATTTGCCCAAACAATGTTGCAATAACTAAGAAACGGTACTATAAGTGTATTGTATAACATAAGGAAAACAGATTGAGGCAAAGTATGGCGGAGTTTGGTGATGACACCAGTATTCCTAGACCCTGTCGTATTAATATGAGATATGTGTTTTCCAGGATAAGTTTTCGTCAATAAGAATAGACAAGAACTTGGTATTGGCAACACGATTATCCAGTCATTACATAACAAATCCTTTTTGAAAACATTAAGAGATACATCATTGATAATACGAGTGTTATAAAAAGGAAACTGTTTTTGTGTTATTTGAAATATTGGGAAATTACCAAATATATCATTGTAAAACAAACCAGAAGAATCATACAGATCAAAATTATTTGTAAATACATTATCAATGAGGGATATTGATCTGTCAGTCTTTCTCGAAGGCTTATATCAATTAAAGGAATAATGTTTGTTGAATGTATTGCGCTCAAGAACTTACATACAGCATTGCCAGTAAATTTTACGAGATCAATGTTAAAATTTTCCCATTATATAAACCTGTTTATGTTCAGTATAAGTTTTTTGTAAAACATTTTCAAAGACAGGGATTAAATCATTGATATTTGATTGAGGTTTCCTATATATGAGACCTACATTAATATTCTTATGTCTCGGCAAGTTGCTTTCAATAAACAGTGATTCATAATTGTATGATGGGTATAATATTAATATATAATTTCGCATTTCATATTCAAAATTGTCAGCGACCAATAGACCAACACCTCCACCCTATCCTACTTGGCGATTAGAATGTATAAATGAATAACCAGACACATTGAATAAAAGTTGCGTAATGTCATTAATCCAAGATTCAGACAAATCTGTACATAAAGTACAGATGAAATTGGATATAGCATTACAATTTATGTTAAAACTGCGGGAATTAAAATGTAAAATACTAAAATGAGAGTCAATGTTACTGAATTCAGTCGTAAAATCCTTATATCAATATAATATTTACAGTTCAGAAACCTACTGAAATGAAACTCATCTTCTTTTTCGGATAAATAGTTTAAATCATTGATATCAGTATGAGTATCTGTAGTATTACTACCAAATTTTGAAGGACGTTCGTCATTATTCAAGTCATGAAAAGGAAATGAAGAATGATTACAGAGTGGGTTGTTAATGTAGAAAAATGCTCATGTTCCCTATAACGCTCATTGTAAGCATTTTAAGTCTAGAAAGTAAAAGGGTTTCCTTACATGAATTGAATACGAGGACACTGCTAACGTTTAAATTTCACAAATAGGACATACGTGACATATTATAGACATTCAACTGAAAATTGTGACATGATCTCATCATCTGATCAAAAAACTAAAAGCACCGTTTTATAGCCCATGGTCTCAGCTATAACATACCCCAATTTGGGAGAAAACAGAGCACACATAAGATAGTGCTCATAGATGAATGCCATGTAGATTCATGATGTGAACGAAATTCACCTTCCATAGACATAACACGCAAATGACGAAAATTCTGACATGTGGCCTTTAATTGAATTTTGTACTATGATGACCTCATTAAAATGAAACTTAGTGAAAGATAATCTTGTAGAGAATTGCCTTATCTACAACATATCGACATTTCAAAGAAAATCGATGAATATTGAGAAAAATACACTACATTTTCCATAAATATAATGACGTCATAATATGCAATTTTGTATTTTGACTTCCAAGGCCATTATGATGACGTCAAGATGCATTTAATTGCCAAATAAGATATGAAATTATATCTCTGACTCATACTCTATCTAAATATGAAAAAAACTTGGCAGTCCTTATTCATCCCAATGGACTTTTTATAGGCATGTTTTTGCCCATATATGCTATGTAATACATGAGCTCGCGCGCACGGATATTTATCTTGAACGGACGCTCATTCCGTTATTAATAGTGATAAAGAGCTAAACATGGTATCAAATTTTCCGGAAAAATATGAGGAATATTCGGTCAAAAGCTTTTGCGGAGGAATTATTTTTCGTTCGGCCGTGATGAACGAAAACGTGCAAAAATGCGTGTTTTGCGTGATTTTTTATGAAATGCTTATAATGGCCTGAAACGTATGCAAAAAAAAATTAAGACGATTTTGAGCAATTTTAAATTTTACGCGCGCATTAACGCGCGCACCTACGCGTACGCGCATTTTTGCGCGCATTTATTGACCTGAAATTGACCCGACAAATATTGACCTTCATCATGACAAATATGAAGGAGAAATGGCTTTCTGTTATGAAGATATGATCATAGTTGATTTTCACAAAATGGCGTCTGGATAACATCACGATAACTTTGAGTCTTTGAAAAGTCACGCAGTTCTAAGTTAGACTAAGATCTATCACCATTTAAAAATAAATGACAATGGCGTTTTTCAGTCTTGAGATATCCTGCGAACAAATTCGCGGAAGAATAATAATAAATAAAGGAAAATCTTGACGAAATCAATAGGTGATACGTAGACTTCGTTACGTATCACCTAATAATATTGTATGCTTAATCACGACGCGCATCTTCACAGTGATATGTGATCTTGGTTAGACAAGTCGGCCATGAAATGAATGTGACTTCGATCAAAAATTGATATTTTCAGTATCATCTATATGATTTGTATTATGGTTGGATCACTTGGATGATACCGTGCTGTTTATACTATATTCTACTTTTTGTTCGAATTTACAGAATCAAATTTCTGCACGCGTTCATACTGCGGGCCCAATCGTGGGTTCATCGTCCCTATCTCGGATAACAGCCAACAGGTATGCCTACTTTTCCGCCAGATGTCCTTCTTCGTCACTCCTCCTCTGTCACACAACATGTTACATCCAAACTGTCACAATCAACTTTTGTCGTTACCTTTTTAAATTCTGTCACGTTGCTATCGTGCCACATCAAAATCTTGTCACACTCAGATTCATTTCACACCCAAATTTTAACACATTCTGCTTTTCAACGTTCTGTTTCCGTCGCATATTGACATGTATGCTCTCACACCCTTGTTTTCCCAACACCCTTCTTTTGTCACAGCCTTCTTTTGCCACATCCCTCCTCCATCACATCTCTGAATATTTTGTCACATCCCACAATCGTCCAAATCGTTAATGTCAGTGTGGACCACAACATAATTTTAGAATCTGTATCACGGATAACAGCCAACAGCTAGGTGTGACAACTATTCTGGTAGATGTCACTCCTGCGTCATTCATCTGTTACTTACTACCCAATCTTTCTACCATGTTGGGCCACATACCCATTCAGTCACACGTTACTCTGTCACACCCTTTTTTTTCACATATCTCTTATTCTCATACCCCCTTCCGTCTCATCCTCTTCTGTCACACCCTCTTCTGTGACAACGTCATTTTTCACATACCTCTTCTATCACACGTAGTTACCTTCACGCGTCTGTCCAATCCCAATTCAGTACCAATCGTGACATCCTCTTCTGTGACTACCTCATTTCCATATACCTCTTCTATCACGTAGTTAGCGTCACGTGTCTGTCCCGTCCCTATTCAGTACCAATCGTGACATCCTCTTCTGTGACTACCTCATTTTCACATACCTCTTCTATCACGCAGTCACACTTCATGACCGTAATACTTCTGTCCATCCCTCTTCAGTAACAGAATAACATGGCGCTCTTTTATGTCTCCTACGATTTTTTTTTAGCTGCAAGAATTTTATATTTTTACTACTCATATCTCTTCTTCATCATCTTCATTTGACTGTTTTTGATATTAAGTGCTTCTAAACATCATCAACCGCCAATATTAGGAGTCAAGTATGGCAGCAATTCGGAATTCGTCCTAATTTTTTCGGATTACAAGTTTGTAAGTTCGTCAATCGTTTGTTCAGTCCCACCTGTTTCTCTTGCTGTATTTTATTGACATTTGTATGTACCGTGATTGCCGGTGCGGTGCTCTTGCATTGTCTTCTAATATTTTCATTATCCTCTTACCAATTTACAATGTCTATCAAGACAGTTAAAAGCCGTTCTGGCGGAACTTTTTGAAAAGGAGGAGTTCTTTCAGACAACAGATGGGCGTAGTGAAGACTTATACAACAAGAAACTTGCATCACTGAAATTGTATCAACAGGGAAAGTGAGGGATGCTCAAATACGTGACGTTGAGACAAAGCTGAGTTCTATGGAGACCAGATGGAGAGTGACCTCATGGGTGTTCAGAATGGGAAGGATCAACAGGATCAACAGTTCAAATCGCTTCAGAAGGAGCTTAACAGCCGTAATGAAGAAGCTCATAGCCTCAAACGAAACATTAATTCATTGGAGCAGTACTCGCGTCAAAACTGTGTACGCATTTTTGGAGTAAAGGAAAACCGCAAGAAAATACAGATGAAATCGTTTATAATGTCGCACGGCAAATGGGAATCACATTCGACCCAAGTGACATCGATCGCAGTCACCGTGTAGAAAAAGTTCCAGCTGACAAGGCTAGGAGCAGGGGTGTCATCGTAAAGTTTCGCTCCTACAAATGCTGTCAACAGCTAATCGCGAATAGAAGGAAACTGAAAGACTCTCACATATATCTTCAAACTACAGTATAATTTCATAATGCTTTGATAAAGACTAGTGGGGTGCACATTCTGCACCCTCCAAATTCTTGCACCCCTCAGGGAGCACATTTTACGTTGAATGCACTGAGTGCACCCTATATGGAGCAGATTAGTACCCTCGGCCAACTACGCGTAATCTGCACCCCAAATGTACCCCTATTTCTTAGTGTGTACCAAGTTTAATTCAGTGCAATGATAAATGGGACAGCGGCAATGTGTAATGCTTTTAATAAATACTTTGTAATTTTAAATATAGGCCATACACTGTCTTCTTCTTTTGTAAATTCTGGGGACTGTATGCAATTTGTAATAAAAATAATTCATCTGCATTTTTTTACTCCGTGTACACCAAAAGAAGTTATTAATATTGTTTCAAAACTTAAAAACGGCAAGAGTCCTGGTTTTGATGGAGTGGATATCACATTGGTTAAAAATGTTATTCATGTTTTATGTTACCCTTTATGTGATATTATCAATTTATCTTTAAATACTGGTGTTGTCCCAGACAAACTAAAAATTGCTTAGGTTATTCCTATTTATAAAAATGGATGAAATGATAGTTTATCAAATTATAGGCCAATATCTATTCTTTCTATTTTTTCAAAGATTTTAGAGAAATTTGTATATAGTCGTGTATATACATTCCTGGAAAAGTGCAATATCATAACTCCCAAACAATTTGGTTTTTGAGCGGGACACTGATCATCTTTTGCCATCACTGAGTTTATTCATAAAGTTACAAATGCCTTTGATAATAAAGAATGATTTAATGATTGGCCTGTTTTTAGATCTTAGCAAGGCTTTTGATTCGCTTGATCATTCAATTTTATTTTAAAAAATGGATTTTTGTAGTTTTAGAGGTATTGTACTGGAATGGTTCAAAAGTTATTTAAGTAATCGCAAACAACATGTTTTTATAGGAAAACGTGAGTCACAGACAATGGCGATAAGGGTTGTGAAGTGCCCCAGGGCTCAATTCTTGGACCATTATTATTTATTTTATATGTAAATGATATTTGCAATGTTTCAAAAGTGCTAGAACTGATATTATTTGCAGATGACACTAGTGTGTTTATGTCCCATCAAGATATTGTATCTCTTCAAAATATGTTTAATACAGAATTTGTTAAACTGGTTGATTGTTTATGTATAAATTAACTTGTAATCAATATTGAAAAGACACAGTTCATGATTTTTACAAAAAAAACATTGATTTTACCCAAATAAAGGTTAACGTTAGGGAATCTGTTATTGAACACGTCACACAATTAACATTTTTATGAGTCACAATTGATGATAAATTAAATTCGAAGGAACACACTGGTGTCGTCTGCAATAGATTGGCTAAACATGATGGTGTATTTTATAAATTGAATTTTTTTCCTAAAGAAATATTGATGATTTTATTTAATACATTGATATTACCCCATTCAAATTATTGTATTCTTGTATGGGCATGCTCTAGTATGCAAAGTAAAAATAGGCTTTTAATTTTAAAAGAAAATTATAAGAATTATATCGCACAGCCAATACCTTGCCCATACTATACCTTTTTTTTACAACCTAAAATTTGTAAAAGTAAACGATATGTATGTTTATCAATGTGCAATTTTTAGTATTTATGCTTTAAAAAACTTTTATCACATACTATTTTACAATATTTTCAACTTAATAAAAATATTCATGGCCACCAGACCAGGATTTCAAATAATTTTCATATTCCAGGAGTAAGGACACTAGTTTCCCAACATACAATTTTTGTCAAGGGTCCAAAAATTTGGAATGACAAACCCATAAATATTCGACTGAGTCCATCACTAAATAGTTTAAAAGAAAATTTAAACTGTACTTGTTAAGACAATATTAAATAGTGCAATATCCTATATTAATGTTCATCAGACAGAAAAGTGTGTGTTGGTGTGTATGGAAGAAAGTGTTTGTGTGAATGCAAATTATTTCCTTATTTTCTTCCTTTTATAATACATAAACAAATTAAATAATGTACTTAGTTTTGTATACAATTACTGGAGACAGACTTTTACATAAGGCCCGGCCTTCCTGTCTAGTCTCTAAAAACTTTCATTAATGTACATGTTTAAAATGTTTTTCTGTTGTTCATCTTGTCTTCTCCACTTGTGTTATCCTCATGTTATATGTTGATACATGTATTAAATTTTAACTTGTATATGTTTGTTTTCCTTTGTATATTTTTAATGAAAGTATTGAATAAAGTGAACTTGAACTTGAACTTGAACAATCGTGACACCATCTTCTGTCATACCAATATTTAGCCACACCCTCTTTCGCTGCATCTCTCCTCTTCTGATTTCAAATAGAACGAGAAACATATTTAGAAATTGATATAATGAAAAATGAAGACTGAAAATTTTAGTTGAAAAATCACGTTGTTAGCTTATTCTGGTATGTAATGTAGTTGTACTGGAAATTGTTCATTGAGTTGGCACAATACCATTCTATCGCCTAATTATATAAGCCTAAGTGGTCCCCTTTTCAACCAGCATTGACTTATCGACGAACACTAACCAATGGTTCATTCCGTTTGCCTTTCTTGCGTCAATATTTGATCCTGTGCAGGAGGTGATGCGTCTAGTCCGTGAATTCGAGTGCTGCGCTGGCTGGGCATGGTGCGCCTGCAGCGATTCATGTGCCTTGGAAGTCAAAGTAGAAGCTCCCGTCGGAAACGTCGTCGGATACGTCAAGCAATCGTGAGTGCTTTTAAATTGACGCAACTTTCTCCCTATGCGTGACGATTATGATTCTCAAAATTGCTTTAGGCAACTATTATAGTAATTTGTATGATAACTTAAAGTTTTTGTAAACTATGGTCAGTAAGGTTTAAAAAGTGGTTTCTATATACACATAGCACGGAAGCGTCGTTGTTGCTGACGTAAGATTCCGTTGCAAAGATCCTTAAAGTTCCGATTTCGGAAATAAAATGGGCTACAATTTTAACTGAACCTGTTCAAGACTGTAAGAAAATTTACACTATTCCTTTAAAATTTTGCCTTTCTACGCAACTTCGTTATTTTCAGTTCAGAATTTTACATCGAATACTAGGTGTCAACAAATATTTTCACATTATGGGCATAGCTAATTCTAATTTATGTATATTTTGCTTATCCTCTGTTGAAAGTATTTCACACTTGTTTTGGGAATGCCCTGTTACGCATAAATTCGTTCAAAACTTCCAAAGCTCTATACTAAACAATGAAGTGCTTTTAAATAAAAATTGCTTTTTGTTTGGTTTCCCAGATTGTACGCAATCTATCTTTAATTTTGTCATTTTATATGCAAAACAATATTCTCTGCGAAATACAAAAGGGAACGGCTATCTTTGAATTCTTTTAAGAAGATGCTTAAACGTTGTTATGAAGTTGAGCGGGTAATTCTTTCCGTCAAACGCAATATATTCGTTGTATTACTTGATAAATAATGACATGTGCAACTTTTGGAACAATGTTTGTTTCACCGATATGTCACAACATGTACTTTGTTCAAATGTTTTGTTTTGTTCTTGCTCAAGAATGATTGAATAAATTTATCTTTGCAAAAACAAAAAAAAAAACAAAAAAAAGATTCCGTCAGTGATTGACGCGGTCTTTGATGTGGCATGTGAAAGTGATATTGTACATAGAGTGAATACAAAATAAAGGATGCAGACTAGATACAATCGTGGCGTATAATTTATGTCACAGGAAGTAACGCATTCGAAATGATGCCTCATGCGTAACGATTTTCCGAAGATGTATAATTTCGAACACACACAAATCTTCAACACTATTTTTGGATTCAGTAAACCGATAATGAAATGAGGAAATTTAAAATCGCAAATTAGATGTGATTTTCTGACGGTTCAAAATATTTAATCTTAAGATTTCAAAGATCTCAATATATTCACCATTGATTGTTCCTCTTTTTTGTCAATGAAGAAAAAACTACGAATTCCTACCTATCACAATGATAAGACTTGATTCGACTCGGACTGTAAATGATGCACCTTAGTTACAATAAGCTGTTGCTGTAATAATAAAGGCAACCGTATGTTTTTGATAAAGGTATATTTATGAAGGTATATATGTCATTAGTGGAAACGATAGTACATGCTCTCAGTGATTGCACTATAAGTAATTCTATTTTTCAGAAAATATTGCTCGGGGCCCAAATTTGATGTCCTTGATGCTGAGAGGAGGCCTGTTGCCAAGATTAAGGGACCTTACTGCATGCAACTAAACAGCTTTTGCCAAGGAGAAATCGATTTTGATGTAAGTTACAACCAAGACCTGGGCCCCGTTGCACAAAACTTACCATTGATGATAGCTTTGCCATCAATGGTAACTACCCTGGAAACCTTGATTTTGATTGGCTGTTGAGCCCTGTTACCATGGTAGTCGCCATTGATGGCAAAGTTTTCATCAATGGTAAGTTTTATGCAACGGGCCCAGCAGCGAGTCAAGGTTTCTTCTTCTTTTTAACTTTAGTTTCTTTTCTGATAACATAGAGGAATTAATAGGGTAAAGAAGTGATTGTTCCAAAGGAGGTGATTCACGTACATCCTACCTTTTCTTTAGCAAGTGCAGTGCATACTGATTTCATTATTTTAAAGGAATATAAATTTAAACTTCTAGCTTCGATAAAGTTGCAGTCAACGATTTGCATACAATGCCAATGCCTATATTCTATAAACAATTCAGAATTTTATTTTTTAATAATATCAAAATGTAGTTATAATAGTTCTGACGATTATAACTGAAAGAAAAATTGCGCACCGTGTGTGGAGTTACTTCGCTCATTTTTTTTTATTATAGGGTTTCTTTATATATTGTTGAAAACCAATTCAAATCTATTGTTTTGTTCTTGCTCAAGAGTAGTTGAATACAAGTTTTTTCTTTGGAAAAAGGGGGGAAAGGAAGATATTTTAAGGGCATTCCTCTATAAGTTTCGTTTTCTCCCTAAGATGAATGTTTAAACAAATGATTAGTACTCTCCTAAAAATGAGATGAGTATTTTTCTTTAGTTTGTAACTTTTGCCGAGTAGATTCATTAAACAGATACTCTGAATTTGTTTATACCCAACATATGAACAGAATTAACCTCTTTTATCTTATCATTGTGATTAGTATTCTCATGTGTCCCTGCTCCATCGTCCGTTGTAGGTATTTACTGTTGACATGGCCACGACGATTGGAAAGGTTTTCAAGCAGCGGCCCGGATGTTTTTTAAAGGAGTGTTGTACCAAAGTCGATAACGTTGGTGTGACATGTAAGTTACCAGGAAAATGGTGGATCAACTTTATAGATTTTACCATTTAACAAATTGTGAGAATCTGAAACCACAGTTCCAGGAAGCACATTTAATAGTACAGTTCCATTCGTTTCCTTTATCAGAAGAAAATCTACCAGATTGATTGCAGAATTTTTTTTTGATTGTCATATTCGGTGCCTGTGTTGGTTTAAGTTTCACTCGGATCGTGTATGAAAAAAAAAAAAAAAAAATCATAGTAGAAAATCTTAACATCAGTATTGAATGTAATAATACGAAATGTATCTCTAAGGTTGATTTTTGTACGTTTTGATGAAGGATTTATTTAAATTGATTTCCATCCTGTTTTTTTTTTTTCAAATTTTCTTGGGGGATTCTTTTTTCGTTTTTGTCATCATAAATTTGTTTTAAATATCTATTTTTTTATACCGTATACAATAAATCAATAAAACATATTAGTAAAATAGTTGCATATAGATGCAAGACTTCTGAACTTGGGTCATAATAGACTAGTGATTGTTACGTACGTACTCAACCTCAATAATTAAGTAAAGCCCGAAGTTAGTATCCCTAACTTGCACTAATAAATGCAAAATTCATTGATACCTGAGGCATTGCCTCTGTCTAGTGTCAAGTGATACTAGAGTGCGTTTTAGTGCATTTAATTGTCATAGCTTCTATATAATAAGCATCCATTAATCAAAGTTTGATGGTGTGTTCTCATTATCCAATTTTAGTCCCTGCTGACCTGGATGTAAACGTGAAGGCGACTCTTTTGGCGGCTGTGTTCTTCATTGTAAGTTGTATATTCATACTCTTCACCAAAAGTAGCATGCATGTTTATCGTGTGGACACGTATTATGTTACTTGTGTTTCAATAATGATTGGTAGTAAATGTTTTCTGTTCCCTTCGAGTCAAAAGGACATTAATCATTTTATTGTAAATTTACACGAGTTAACACACTTCTGGTTCTCACCAGAGGATATTTTGACAATAAATGAGAATTGAACATTTTTGTCAAATTAGTTTACTGATTCCTCTATATCTTTCGTTCTTCCTTAATAATCTTTAAAAGTGGCGTTTGCATAAATTGGTAATGAGGGGGGGGGGGGTGGATTTACCGGCTCCTCCATCCTCCGCTTTGCCAGTGTTTATACTAGTGATGAAATATTTCTTTCTTATACAAAGGGAAGATAATACATGCACAAACAATTCCACTTTTCCAGAGTTTCTACAACCCTCTCTCTCCTCCCCCTTCTCTCCCCTCTCTCTCTCTCTCTCTCTCTCTCTCCCTCTCTCTGCCCCTCCTTCGATCTCCACTCCCTCTCCTCATCTCCAAGTAGATAAGGCATGTATTCTGATTTGATGAGTGTTCTAACTTGCATGTTTGATTTCATGAATATTTATTATTTTTATACATCTTAGTAGTGTTGTTTGGGTTTTCTTTCTCCTTTAGTATTATTAATTATTCATCTTTTCCTTCATTGTAATCTCTCTAACCTCTCTCTCTCTCTCTCGCTTTTTTTTTTCTCTCTCTCTCCATCTCTCTCTCTCTCTCTCTTTCACATTTGTCCTGTGTACTCCGTGTAGGACTTAACGTTCTTCCCGCCGTCAAACGAGATTGAAGACAATTAAATAAAAGGTAAAGTTCTACTAACTCGGAGGGACTAACTCGGAGGGAAACATTAGGATATGGAGAGTAGTGGCAATGCAATAGTGTACTAAGGTGGCAGAAAACAGAGATGTATAGAAAAATGTTGCAATCTATCTCCGAGCTGGGAGAAGAAACCTTGACAGATTTTTTTTTAATTGTAATTCAATCTGCGACATGTCTTTCGTAACTCAATTCTCTATAGGCCATTCACATTTTGGCCAAATCGTCTTCATCGTAATCACATCGCGACTATCTTGTTTATCTTTTTTATGATATCTTACAACCATTGGTTTGTTTTTGCCAGGGAGCTGCTGTCATTAATTCAGTTCAAAATAATACCATGAAGACACAAGAGAGCTCCTTTTATTCTTACCAAGTTCGAACCTCGGGGTCGAAGCAAGATGTAACGTCCCCTTGAGCATATAAAAACAGCTATGCATCTCGTAGCAGTTAAAAAATGTTATGTACAGGGCAAATTGAAGAGGAGCTCACAAAATATGTCACAGTGTTGCCAATTTGTGTTTGATTGATCACAACTTCAACAATTCATAACTGTTCTACTTATAATCTGATATTGCATGAGCTTTCACTTATTTGTTTCTCTATTTGATTGCTTTCATTAAAGCCAATTTAGTATCAGGTTGGACTTTCCCTTTAAAGTCCCACTGTCCTACTTGTAGCTACTTGCTCCCTCTATATAGAATACTTCCCCAATCGGTGCCTGTTGGTCCCCCATGATCCTCTTTTTCTTATGTTAGTTGAGAGCTGAGTTAATGAGATAGCCACCTGTCAGTGACCTCGCTGTGTGGTCTAATCCCTTCTGGTCCAGTAAGGTTGACGGTCTTTAAGTCATAGCGTTAACATGGTTAAGATGTCAATTTTTAATTGTAAGATATGATTTTATCATAAGACGTCATGTCGTTATTAGATTAAAACAAATAAAGGCAATCTAGCGGCCCAAATATAAAGCTGATGGTTGGGAGTTCCAAACTCCCGAGGGGAGGTGGGGAGGTGCAGCCCCAGCCCGAGCCCCTCCTTGAACTCCCATAGAAGGGGTGGATCTAAGGAGGTTCGCGGTGTCCGCCCCCACACACAAAATAACTGATTCAAAATTAAATGTTTGTCTAAAATTCAGTTAGATGTGCATTTATACCACAACAATTCTGCAATAGTGATTTGTATCAATCGCCAGACCTAGCATTGGTAATCTTTAATGATTACATCTCTCTCTCTCTCTTGTTACGACTTTTTTTGCAGGATTTCATGTTCTTCGAGAAAGCAAATAACAACAACAACAATAAGATTTCGGACATTCCTGTGTTTCTTGGTTTCAACTAAATTATTGACTGTAATAAACTATGATAACATTAAATATTCCCATGAATGTAATAGTATAAAAAAGTTATACAATTTAATATAAGATAAAGAGGAGTAATGTATATTGCATGATTATATTAAATCAAGTTTGATTATAGAACTATCCAGTTTTTATGTTGAAATAAAAATCATCTCAATAATTTATGTTAAAAAAGTAATACAATATAATATATTATATACCTCACTTAAGAAATCCAGCCATCTGATTGGTCGAAATTGCATTCATGTAACCATGGTTACCGGGAAAATAGTTCAGTCTCCATGGTTACCCCATAGTTTTACATGTTAAAAAATGGTCTGAGCGATCGAGGATACCGTACGTGTGCGAAGAATTGGTCGGTAATTTTATTACAATTGAATCTCGATCGATTTTACCGACAATTTTATCTTGCATTGTTGACATGAAGACGAAAATAAACTTCCAAAAACAAAAAAAACAACATCTGCCGATAGATCTTGATCTAAGTTCGTGCCAATATGCATTGCAAAAGTAAAAGTAAAAGAAGGGCCCGTTTAATGGAGCAGCGGCGAAGCATCCACCACGCGAAGCCGTTTTCAATCCATTTTAATGTATATATTTGAGAAAACTGCTAGATATAGTAACAGAGCGCGATGGCCGAGCGGTTTAAGGCGCTGATTTTAGTTACATCACTTTTAGTACGCAAGAGATCGAATCCCATCTTCGACAAAAAAAAAAAAAAAATATTTTTAATTTTTTTAGTCTATTTTTTTTCGGCATATAAAAGTATTAATGACTGCTTTAATATTCGAGAAATAGTTGTTTTTATACGCTCTCGGGAAGGTTACAATTGGGCTATTGCCCTCGGCACGCCTCGGGTAATAGCACAATTCTAACCTTCCCTTGAGCGTATAAAAACAACTATTTCTCTCAAAGCAGTCATTAATACTATAATATAAAGAGGAATAATGTATATTGCATGATTATATTAAATCAAGTTTGATTATTGAGCTATCAAGATATCATTTTGAAATAGAAATCATCTCAATAATGCATCTTGTGTCTCCCGGAATTATGTACATGGAATTAAAATAGGTTAAAGAATCTTCTTTTGCATCGTTTTTGGAATTCAATTACATTAAATAAAAGGTTTGTACCAAATTTTGAGTCATTAATATGAAATACCAATAGCTGAGCAGGTATTCACTTTTCGCTTAGACAAACAGTAGGGCGAGATTTAATCACTTTTCATCTTTCGTAGTATCTTACTATGTATTCACCGATCTTACTTTTCCTTCTCATGATAAAATGTTATTTGCTTGCGGGTTAGGAGTGTATCAGCGCTCTGGAAATAGTAATAACATAATTTGTTAAATTTGTTACAAAATTGGTTGAAGTCGTGATTTATACTTCCATTTTTGCAAACGTAACACGTACTTTTTGTATTAAATAGAGGCTGAAAATTATAGGATGAATTTATGTATAGTTATGCTTAGTTACAATATTATTGTATAGGTTTGTTTTTTGTACGAATTTTAACATCCACAACCGTATTTTAATGATTCATGTTGTGGAGCTACTCTTTGATAGTAAGGATATACTAATTTTATGAGGCTGCAACTGTATTTATACTTTATATCATAGAAGATAGAAGACTCGGGCACCGTTTTCGTTTACAAATGATGTATGTTAATACTGGAGGCAATACGTGATTGAATTTCGTCAGGGTAATAACTGACCAAGGCTGAATTGCTAAGAACTTTTAATCAGTCATGTAAATCAATCTTGACAGAAGGCCGTACAAGACCTGTTTTTTTTGTCATGCTTCAATTGTATTCATTTTTGCTTACGTTTATGGTAAGGATTTTTAAATAGCGAATAAAATTATATTGATTTCAATTGTTGTATAATCCATAGTAGAAAATAATTTACATCTGATTCATTATGTTCTTTCTTCCTAGTATATAGTAAACACGTTTTTTATTCTTCGGTGAGAATTTATATTACTGAAATCAACTCTTATGCAGTGATGTTATTTATTCAAGGGGTGTATAGTCTGACCTATCTCGTATATTAAAAGATTATGTATAGATATACTCAGGCGCGTACACAGGGGGGGGGGTCTTGTGTGTAAACCCCCCCCCCCTAAATTTCCCTAACCCCCCCCCCCTTTTTGGATTTTTTTTTTTTAATTAAAAAAAAAAAAAAAAAAATCCAATGGCTGACCTAAAAAAGCTGACTTACCCCCCCCCCCCCCCAAAGGAGCAAAATGTCAAATTTTCAAATTTCGAAACCAAAAAAAAAAAAGTCTTACCCCCCCCCCCCCCCCCCCCCCCCCCCGCTTATTCAGCGATCGGCTGAGTCGTTGCGATTTTTTTGGGACCCCCCCCCAAAAAAGTGACCTCTTACAACCCCCCCCCCCCCCCCCCCCCGCTTGTTCAGCGGCTGGCTGAGTCGTTGCGAAAATTTCGGCCCGATTTATAAATGTTAAACCCCCCCCCCCCCCCCCCCTTGAAAAGATCCTGCGTACGCGCCTGGATATACTAATAAATTAGTGTTCTTTTTGTTGTAGACGTGACTCCTGTCAAAACTTCGCTAATTCCCGATCAAATCGTGCTACATTTTGCACAAAAATTTTTTATACTGATGTACGTTGACTGTATAGAAGTCAAGGTGCATGTCCGAGAATTGTGGTGTGTTGCAGGGAAGAGAGCGAGAGAGAGAGAGAGAGAGAGAGAGGGGTGAGGGGTGAGATACAACATGTATGCAACATGAGTGGACGCTATACAGATAAGAGAAATTGATCGATTGAGGGAAGAACTATCAACCCTATGGGGATGGATGGATTGATTCATTGATTGATTTAATTTGTCTGAATTGATTCACATTGAACGTATGGCATATCATTAAATGCTTTTCAATAATTCCGCCACACACACTCATGCAGGAGCGCTTCTTAAAGGTATTACAAAGTTTTGGTATGGGGTCATGAATTAGGTTCAAATGAACATATTGGAAGCATATGCGATTCTACAATATTATGTGATCGTTGTCGTGGCTGAAATCAAGTCCAAAGTGATGAAATTGTAAATATTAAACTCTTTATGTCGTATAGCGCCCTCTCAAGGTCAAGATATTAATTTAGCTATAAAACAATGTTATTTGACTAAAATCGACCGATTTGCCATTGCCGTTTGGAATATATATATCACAACTACATATTCTGAGATTTTCATGGTCGCAGCTACCATCGTATGGCCATAGACGCTATTTGAAATTTATCAAAATTTACCGGGAGCACCGGTAAATTTTTATATCCAATTTTTCTCGAAAGCAGAAGTGTTTTAGAGGCTATTTTTTTAGTGCTTATAATACATCCATAGGGGCATCCAAATATATCAAATTTGTAAAGAATCACTATCCAGCCAATTTTCAAAATTTACCAAAACTTTGTAATACCTTTAAACTTGGAGGGGAGGGCCTTTGGGGGATTGGGGGCTTGCATGATGTTCTTATACATTCACACAACACCCCCTAGAAACGCCACTGCATATACCCCTAAGGCCAGAAATCTATATTCCATTATTATGATTATGTACGTACACGACCCCTATATGCTACCCAAGGAACAATATTTTGGGAATGAAATTGACCCCTACGGATGGTCAGACATATAATTACTCTCTTAGGCAATTTCCTCCAATTACTTATTCATTTTTACTCTTTTTTTATGATTGAGTTTCTCCCCCAATTATACTTTGTAATACTTTAGATCTAATTAATCAAACTTACTCCACATCACATGCACCCATCCTGGGGTTGCCAATTAGGCTCGCGGTCCTGCCCTTTTCATGTTTTCCGAAATGGAGGCCTATACACTATAACTGGCAGGGCTTTCTAATTGAAAAGCAGATCCACTGGCTTACAGTGGAACTGAATGAAACTACGTACCTGTTGAAAGAACTCATTAATATTGATAATAAACAAATAAACAAATAAACTTACGGAACACATTGAAACAAAGTACCAATTTTTAAAAAAATTATCATTAATACAACCCCTGTGGAATAGTCAACAACTATATACAACATGAAAAATCACACAATTACATGTTCAACATTTTGAGCTATAAGAAATCAAGTTTATTTTGCAAGACTACGCATGGTCGATATACACTCCAAATAAATATATTCCTTGATTACGTAATAGCTTTCGACACTTCCAGTGCTCGTGCAAGTGTACGACGTCGCCTATATAATATGGTATGGCGGGCTGTAAGCGTGTCATGTATATTTTCATCTCCTTAGCTCATAATAGAGGAGAGTTTTGCATACACAGGTTCACGCACAGAACAGAGCGAAAGCTGCATTTAGATGCTAGCGTCACACTTCACAATAGTCTTGCTGGGAAAGTATATACTATAGCATTCGCTGTGGAACTGTATTAATCGTACGGGTAAGTTGAATACCGACTGCAATTTCGTTATGATTAATCGTGATATTCCCGATATTCACATATAATGTCATGGAGAGGCGGGTGAAACATATATGATTGATATGAATGCTGAAAAAAACTATGATATATAAAGTCAGGGTGATATATTGCAAGAGACGCTTTACATGCGAGAATATTAAATCAGTATACGTGCCTGGAGATGAGTTTTTTTCATGTGGATGTGGGCTTCCATATCATAGAAAATGGATACGAAAGTACCATAGAAAATGGATACGAAAGTACAAGAGGAAATCATCATAGATCAAACGGGAGGATAAGACAACAAATTGCCTGCAGATAATTATCTGATATGCATGTATTACTAGGATTCTGAATGTGATCGTACTCCATGCAGCTGCAGGGAGGCGTTTTAACTCTCATATCCCTGCGTACACTGTATCCATCAGGGAGGGAATATGCCTATTATATAAACATGTACTCATATTCATGGAGGCATAAATAATTATAGCATGGTCTACTAGCTAAACTGTATTCATCTATTATAGGTGCCGGGCTGCTGGCTATGTGTCATTCATTTCAATTCAATTCTTTTATTCATCCAAATTCACGAGAATACATGGAAATTTGTTTTGGTTACACTTTGTAAAAATTCGTAATATAGAGTAGTTCGCCGGATGCCGTTGATATAATATCATGCATCGATACGCGTCGCCAATCACAGAATTATAGAATTAAAAAATTGGTTCTGCTTGTAGATTTTGACTTGAATTTATTTAATCTTAAAAATCACATCAGTCTAAGAAGACTGCTTTCTGCAAGAAATGTTGAATATAATTAGTTTGGCAGTCGAGCTTTAATCATGCATGCACTCGTGGCCGTGGTGGACTTGTCTATACCATTTATGATTAGCTCAACCATTTGCAGTTTCCCTGTATATCATTTAATTTATTGTTTTGTATGTGACTTTACTTCTTTTTTGGGGGGTAAGGGTATTTACTTGTTCGTTGTGAAGGATAGTATTGTTGCTATTGCGTATATATGAAAGTGTTGATTCAGCAAGGTAATATCAATATACCAAAGCCCATCGCTCATTGTAATGCGTGACGTACTCATCTATTGTGTAATCCAGACTCAGTGAAGTGGTCGACCTCGATCGGCTCGAGTGGATTTCTGGACAATTTATTCGTTCGTGTTTTTAGTATATTGTTATGCGTTGCATGTGTTGTCGTGTTTTGGTATCGTTGTAATATTGTCAGGCATATAGTTTCAGGCAAATCTATACATTTTTTTCTTCTTCCTCTTCTTCTATTTCTTCTTCTTCTTCTTCTTCTTCTTCTTCTTCTTCTACGTGTTTTTCTTCTTCTTCTTCTTTTTTTTTTCTTCTTCTTCTTCTTCTTCTTCTTCTTCTTCTTCTTCTTCTTCTTCCTCTTCTTCTTTTTCTTCTTTTTCTTCTTCTTCTTCTTCTTCTTCTTCTTCTTCTTCTTCTTCTTCCTCTTCTTTTTCTTCTTCTCAGTCTTCGTCTTCTTTTTTTTGTTTCTTTCTCTTTTCTTCACATGGGCAAAGGTAGAACAGAACTTCAAAGGATTTTATACTAAGAGTGTAATAATATATACCAAATTTCAAATGCTGTATCAATCCTGGTTTTGTTAGTGTTTATATATATTTCAGGCTAGTTAATATATAGTTCATCATCAGCGGTATTTTCCATCGAAGAGTGAATGGATAACGGGGCTAGTCGTATTCCCGAAAATGAAAAAAGCGTTCATAATTCCAGAAATTAATTTATAAAAAGGCTAGTCGTTTTCCCGAAAATGAAAAAAGCGTTCATAATTCCGGAAATGAATTTTAAAAAGGTTCATCATTCCGAAGGTTTGTAAACCCGAAAATGATACAAGGATCTGTTTCATTTTCGTATTTATGAACCTTCGGCATAAATATGACTGACAGTTTTTCATTTTCGTATTTCTGAATTCTGAACCCTAATTAAGTTTCATTTTCGGAAATACGAGCTCTAAAATGCTGATTCATTTTGGGAATCAACTTTTAGAATTATGAATCTTCGGAGCAACGAACGTTCGAGAAAAAACGAAGAGTAACACGAAGAACATGACTCCCTGGTCGTTTATCACATGCGATCTATTCATTTATTTTTTGCTATTAGCTATTTGTTCTCTATTTTTTTCAATTTCTTATAACGAATTAAAGGAAAAATAAGAAAAAAGTTTAGGCTAAGGATTGTGAACAAAAGATAGATGAAAAAATATTTTTTTAAAGCATAGTTTCTGTGCTGTTTTTTCACTATTTGTCGCCTAATTCTAGACTTTATTTTATTTTGACTATGGGTGGGACACGAAAAGGGCAATAATTCTATAGGCCCTACATAATAATGTCTGCCATACGCTATTCAGCTCTGCTGTTTTATTACCATGTGTTGTCCTGTAGCTCATTTTTGAAAAAGTGATCGCCCCTAAATAAGACCGCACCCCCCCCCCCCCCCCGGCCCCCACTATTGAATTTAGCGTAAATGACGCAACTTTAAGGGGCTACGGATTCCGGTTGTCAGTTCATAGGCCCACTGACGCTTTTCTGTTTTGCTGATTCAGTTATGATTACTTAATCATTTTGAAAAGTCTAGCTATTTTGATCCATCGCGCGTACCTTCGCGCGATTTGCTTGCGCGCGCATGCGCTTCTCGGTCGAATTTACTAACTAGCTAGGGCTAGGAAAATAGACTCCAATTTAGTAATAATAAATTACCATTTACAACATTTATTTCACAGAAATCGAGAGGAGATCTTACCTGCTTGAAGATTCAGACTGAGAGGCGGAAAGAATATGACGGATGTAAGTCTGATACTGATAGGTTAACGTAGAATCCAACTGAACAGTGACACTCCAGCCAGGCAGTGAGGACTGAGCCTGAGGTTAATAAAGTGAAGTTTAGAAGAATCGATCTAGGCCTAAAGTTAGATCCCAGTCTAGCGGCCTAGCACAGCCTTTTTTAACCGGGGTGCCATGGCGCCATATGCCCGTGGAGAGCCGCAATTTAATTAAAGATTCGTTTGGATCCATTTCAAAATAACCGTCAGCTAATTCATGAAGAACACAAATATTAGAAACCGCTAATGAAGGTGCTATGTATTTTCATGTGGATGTAAGATCAAATGAGACAGAGATGAGAGATTCGAGAAATGATAAAGTAGGCTAGATCTAGATCTAAGTTAGACCCCTCTAAGTCTACAGTTGAAAATGCTTTTCAATTTCAAGTGAAATGTTACTGTTCATAGACCCTAGTGTTATTTATTGTAATGTTAGTGTTAGGTGCGCAGTTCCCAAATCATGAATAAATCACTAGACTCTAATAATAAATGTCAATTTAAACAAATAAATGCCCAGATGCTGTGTGTCCAGACAGGCGCAGGCTGTGTATCCAGCTTTAAGTTCTAGGCCTATTTAAAACCGCAATTGGAAGGAGTTTACATGCAAAATTTCATAAATCTTTGAAGAGGTCTAAGTTAGATCTAGACCTAATCTTAATTTATAAAGAACACCTTGATCTAGCTAGGTCTAGAATCTAGATCTATTTTTGATTGTTAGTGCTGTTTGATGCGATGTTTTGGTCATATCCAAAGGCAAAAGTGGCAGTTTTATCTGGATACACAACCCCCAAGGGCCCAAGTTCTATATCTAAAATAATCTACAAACACACTGTAGGTAGGGGGTCTAATTGTAAAAAACTTATTTTCTCTTTATAAAAAGAACTACACGCAAAAGCCTGTTAGCAGCCAGCCTGGAATGCCTGGGGAATGGATGCCGATGCCTCAAGTCCAGAGCTCGCCAAACTGCCCTCCTGGACTGGAATATTTGGCCCAGATAGACCAGCTTTTAGTCCACCAGCAGATTGAGATTTTGGAAGGTATGTTGCTCTCATGAACTCGGCCAGTGGCACAAATACATGATTACAGGAGAGAAGGGGGAGGGGGCATGCAGGTGACCCCAATTTTATAACTGCATTAAAAAAAATAGGGGGGGGGGGTGAGGTGGAGAGGGACAAAGAAAGGGATCGCATGGGGGACTTCCTCTTTCTATATTCATTGATTGGGTAAAACACTGACGCCCCCCATTTATACCAGTGTCCCCCCCTCCCCCCCCCCCCCCTATCATGGCAGAACCCACATTATGCCACAAATCTAGGCCAAATGTCTAAAGGTTTTAAAGCCATGTAATGAGAAAATACAAATAAAATACAGCGTTCGTTCAGGGAAATCTCCTTGGTTCGTTTATCCCTTGTTATGTGCTTGAAATTTCTACTGCATAAATATTATTGTGTATAGTTTTTTTTTTTTTGTAATATGGTATGTAGGCATTATAAAGATAAGGAGAAGCAGATTTATGGTATACCTTTGCAGTATTTGCCCATTTCTGCTTTAGGTGTTTAATGTTTCTTCATTTCAGAATTAAATGTGAATAAACATCATGTCATGATGCAAAAATGCAAGGAAAAATCCCTTTAAATTTTTAATTTGTGATCTATACTTAGTTTTTGCGATGTATTGTAATATTTTTCAATAAGGCTTCATTATTGATATGAGACCTCTATGTTGAAGAATGTGACTCTGAAAGAAAAATGTTAATATTGCCAATTTCAAATGGAAAATCTTATACAGTGAGCTGAAATGTTCGTACTATTCTTGTAAAGAGTTGACAAAGTTGAACGAGATGGAACTACTAGAGTATGTATCTTTCATTTCCTTGTATTCAGTACTTACTGGCATTGAGATGCAGAATAAATACCAGATCAAAAATTCACTTGGACAGCAGATCTACTTTGCTTATGAAGGTAAGTTGTAATGAAATTGTATGATGAAGGTAAGTTGTAATAAATTGTTTGTATCACAGGCCTGATAATTATCCGATATAAATCGGTTTCCCAATTTTTTTTTCCCCCAATTTTTTCCTTCTTCTTTTTTCCCCGATTTTGTTTTCTCCTCGAATTTACCCTTGATTTTTCCCTTATTTTTCCTATTTTGCCATATTTTTGCCATATTTTTCCAAATGTTCTTACTCAAAAGGTGGGGGATGTTGTAAGATGCCATTTATTTTTTACTCAAGGGGTGGGGGGGGGGGGATGGTTGAAGGAAAGAAAAAAAACTCAAAAATCTGTAATGCACTTTAATATTTGGCTTAACGATGTATATATCACCAAAAGTACCATTGAGCCAGTTCATATGTCAGCCAAAATGTATAATCGTTAAGTGTCAACTTTGTTTGTTAGGTGCTTCCTGTAAATATGTATCTGAAACCTAAATGAACACTTATTTCAATAAACAGACTGATGTTCTATCCAAATGACTACTGAATAAATCTCATTTCAATAGTCTTACCACGTGAACCATGCAGATCCCTAAAGAAATTTGTTAAGAAAAGGAAAGTTGGTCTGCATGGCATTGTATGAGACAAAGGATCTGGACTCTGGACTTTAACTTTGAAATTATCAAGAGACCAAGGGCAGAGTGCCATCACTAATGGACAGTTACCTTTTTTTTTCATTGTAAGAGATATTGACAATAGTCATAAAATGACCTAAGAATAGAAGTTATTGTTGATCCCTGATATAAGTTTAACCAAATATATGCCTTTCCTCTGTTATCCCTCGGTAGCAAGCTTTCAAAGGGAAGTCATGAATGTTTAAAATATGAGATCACTAAGTCTATGCGAATCTCAAATTGGTAGTTTGGTCATTGGATTGTGACATAGGACGTTGATAACTCTCCCTTTTGTTTTGTACAAAATATCCTTAATTTCTGTTTAAGTAAGTTCCTTCTCCCTTTGAGCACCACTCAAAATATATTATAGCTAGCACATTATTATAGGTCCTTTAAAAAGAATAGACCCTCCTGAGCATTGAATTTTTGAAAAATATAAATTTTAGTCATTTTATCTGTTGGAATAGATAGGAAAGGAGGCCGGCACTACATCACATTGACATTTTCTGCTTTCCTTTAGAGTAGTTGTCTATTTGGGTTGAATTTTCCTTTAAGTTTTTCACGAGAAATACATGTATACATAACCACATACCCGTTTCCTAGTTTCTTAATCCTAAAAAAAAATTATTGCATCTACTTTCAGTAATTCAGAAAGACATGAATTAACAAATTGATTTGTTGCGTCATTTATTCATTTCCATGTATACAGAGTCTGGGTGCATGCATCGTATCTGCTGCGGGCCTCATCGTGGATTCGTCCTACACATTACTGATAATTCACAGCAGGTATAGTGGCCTTATTAAATTAAAATCATTGATAAACTTTAGTCAATACCGGTACTAGGATATAAATTTAATGGATATAAATTTGATGGACACATGCCCCGGCAAAATTTGCTCTCTGGTTGGTTTCCTACACTTTAAACATGATTATTTAACCCCCACATAATCCTAACCCTACATGATTTAATTGTTCAATGAAAGATTTTATTTAATCATTCATTAATACAAAATTAGACATTTGGGTAAAAGCACACGTGGTTATAACAGAGAACCAGCTCAACTTCATGAAATGTTTCAGCATAAAAGAGCTGTTATATCACCTTTAATTACCAGCTTTTCCCCAACAACATTAATAACTAAAAGATTGATGTTATATCCATGCTAGAATTTTGTAAGAGAAACTTAATGGCATCAATGGCTATATGGCATGGCTGCGGTATGATACCCTTACACCTTCAATTAGAGAACTCTAGATCGCTGGTGAATGATAAATGCTGTATTATTATTATTATTATTATTATCTATTCATTAAATCTATTTTACTTCTCTATCTTTCATCGTGTTGCCAATTTGATGCTACCAGGAGGTAATGAGGGTTGTGCGTAACTTCAAGTGTTGCGCAGGATGCTGCTGGTGTGCTGACTGTGCCGAATGCGGTTTTGAGATCCAGGTCGAGGCTCCACCTGGCAACATTGTGGGATATGCAAAACAGAGGTAAAATATATGTAGCTTCTATTATAATCTGATGGCTAAGAATCGTAATTCATAAATCATATTTCAATTAAAGTCCTGTTTAGGTTTTATTATTCATTGTTAATAGAAGTAGTAGTAGCAGTTTTTAGTAGTAGCAGTATTAATATTAGTATGACATCATCTTCTCCATCATCACCACCATCATCATGACTGTTGTTATTGTTGATGATAAATATGTAACATACACTATGAATATGGCGGACAAAATATACAGTTCCTCAGGTAGACAAAGGAACTGCTATTATGTTAAAATGTGTAAAACAGGTGTTACATGCATATTCACCTGTTCTACACATTTTTATATAATAGCAGTGAAGGGATGTTCCTTTGTCTACCTGAGGAACTGTATATTTTGTCTGCTTTCTTTGTCCGTCATGTTCATAGTGTATGCACACAAAATGGCCCAAATTCACAAAAGAGGTTGGTCGACAAACCTCCTTTGTGAATTTGGGCCTATATGTCTGTATCATGTGTCATCTGATATGATGCACATTCTCCACTCACTGGGGAGCATTCCAGCCAGGCAATGTTTAACAGATGCTCACATTGCTGAGAAGAATGTTTTAGTATAACATTTCCTTTACTCATCTTTTTCTCTGGTGATTGTATGCACACAATATATGTCTGTATCATGTGTCATCTAATACAATGCACATTCTCCACTCACTGGGGAGCATTCTAGTCAGGCACTGTTTATCAGATGCTCACATTGCTGAGCAGAATTTTCAGTTTAACATTTCCTTTACCATGCATCTTTTTCTCTGGTGATTGTATGCAGACAATATATGTCTGTATCATGTGTCATCTGATATAATGCACATTCCCCACTCACTGGGGTCTGGGGAGCATTCCAGCCAGACATCATTTTTGAAGATGCTCATCACATTACTGAGAGGAATGTTTTAGTTTAACATTTCCTTTACTCATCTTTTTCTCTGGTGATTGTATGCACACAATATATGTCTGTATCATGTGTCATCTAATACAATGCACATTCTCCACTCACTGGGGAGCATTCCAGCCAGGCACTGTTTAACAGATGCTCACATTGCCGAGAAGAATTTTTTAGTTTAACATTTCCTTAACTCATCTTTTTCTCTGGTGATCGTATGCAGACAATATATGTCTGTAATAATGCACATTCTCCACTCACTGGGGAGCATTCTGGCCAGACATCATTTGAAAGATGTTCACATTGCTGAGAATTTCCTTTATCTATCCTTTTCTGTGGTATTTGTATGCAGACAATATTTCTGGAAGCCTGAACTTGATGTGCAGAATGCTGAGAAGGACACCATACTGAAGATACGTGGCCCATGCTGTCTCTTCTGCACAATGGAAGACATTGACTACAAGGTAATAATAATAATAATAATAATAATAATAAAAAAGTTGCTTATAAAGCGCTTGCCACCAAAGTCTCTTAAACCTACAAATAATTACAATACCTATGGAATACACATCAAAGTGAACAGAGTTAATTAATCATCGAACGTAATTAAGGGTTCGTTCTTGTGTAACGCAAGGAAATCACATCATTTATGTTTTTAATTTGTTTTTGTTTGAATGTAAATGAATACCTATTAGGTAAGAAGTAGTTGGGCACAACAAAGGTTCTACATGTACTTGCCATCCATGTGCTATAAGATGTAGAGGTGTAGTGTGGTCTAGTGTAAACGTCACCGGACTGTGGGTCACATGGTTCATATTTTTGAGTCCGGCCTTTTCTGTGGCAAGGCATTAAAGTTAAAACCCCACTGCACTACTTGTAGCTACTTGCTCCCTCTATAATTTATAGAAAACTTCCCCAATCAGTGCCTGTTGGTTCCCCATGTTCATCTTTTTCTTATGTTAGTTGAGAGCTGAGTTAATGAGATAGCCACCTGTCAGTAACCTTGCTATGTGGTCTTATCCCTTCTAGCTCAGGAGTATTGACGGTCTTTAAACTCTTCACCCAGTTGCAATTAATGGGTACCAGTAGGAGTTCATTCCTTTAATGCTTTCAACTCCTGAGGGCATACTTTGTAGGCGCCTTGAGCATCCCCTGGGATGGATACATGTGAAATATAAATTCAGCTATTATCATTATGACCACTCACTATCCATGTATTATGAGACATGGAAAAAAGTGCATGGTATCATATGTGAATGAGCCTCAAGGCATTTCCATTTTTTTTTCTCCTTATAATCTGCATCAGATTATACATGTAAATGACTGAAAAAAGAAGGGAATGTATGTAGCTTGATGTTGTATAATCATAATGCACCTATGTTTCAATGTGCCTTTAGGTATCACCGTCTTTGTACGTCATAGAGAGCTATAACAACTATCAGTGTTACATTGTACATAATACATAAATATTTATTTATTTATTTATTTATTTATTTAAAAATATTCATACAGGATAACAATATCAACCAAGGCTGTTTATATATTAATTATATCATATTCACATTCATACCTAAGTTAACAAGAGTTTACCAGAGATTAGGTATGAGGCATTACAGCTGGAACAGACAAAAGCATTAGTATTAATGAACTTCATAACCCCTGAAATGGTTTTGAAGTGGGTTTTTTTTATATCATTTCTTTATAAGATAAATGAATCTCTTCTCATTTCTGTTTCGACCTAGGTCATGACCCCTGACCTCAAGACCGAGGTTGGTTTGATTACCAAGCAATGGGGCGGATGCTTCAGAGAGTGCATCACCAAGGCTGACAATTTCTCAATCACATGTAAGTTTTTATAAAAATTGTTCTATCTTTATTCTTTTCTATATCTGGGCCCCGTTGCACAAAACGGCATTGATGGTAACTTTGCCATCTATGGTAACTACCATGTAAATCTTGATTTTGATTGGCTGTTGAGCCCCATTACCATTGTAGTTGCCATTGATGACAAAGTTACCATCAATGGTAAGTTTTATGCAATGGGGCCCTGATCTATCAATGATCTGTAATCAAAACCAATTTTAATTTTGATCATTTCTTTTTGTTATTGTTCTCCTTGTTGTATGGCAATGTTTGCATTTATTTACTTAATGTTGCAAATGTACTACAAATTTATTTTTATTCCATGTAATAATTTTCACATTGCTATATATGCATAAATATCTCTGGTTTGATGACAGAACATCTAGGTTTGTATTTCAATTTCCATTATTTGAGCTGTGACCAATATGGATATTTGTAATATTGAGTGCCGATAGATTTGATCAATTTTAACTCAATATTGTTTCTGCTGATTCATGCCAACAATTAAAATGGATAAAGGAACAAAAGTTGTTATGTGTGGTATGATTCAAGATTATTAGTTGGGATTACAGGTTATATAGCTATGCCTGAGAGAGGGCAGCATAACAGTAGATATCAGCTTGGGTCACTGATAATTTTGTTAGAATGTGGTAAGTTCGTTTCATTTTTCTTTTAATTTTGTTCTTTAGTTCCTCAGGATCTTGATGTGAAAGCCAAGGCGACCTTGTTAGCGACCAATATTCTTATTGTGAGTATCATGTTTAAGTATATTCTCCCCCCCCCCCTTTCTCCTTCTCTCTCTCTCTCTCTCTCTCTCTCTCTATCTCTCAATTAACACTTATTGTTTACTCCCTCTTTCTCTCTGTTACCCTCTTGTCTCTTGTCCCTCTCTTTCTTTCTCTCTCTCTCTGTCTCTCTCTCTCTCTCTCTCTCTCTCTCTCTCTCTCTATCTCTCAATTAACACTTATTGTTTACTCCCTCTTTCTCTCTGTTACCCTCTTGTCTCTTGTCCCTCTCTTTCTTTCTCTCTCTCTCTGTCTCTCTCTCTCTCTCTCTCTCTCTCTCTCTCTCTATATATATATATATATATATCTATTTCCGTTTCTGAATAACTTTCAATTTTCCTGAGAATATACTTGCCATCATGCACATGGTTTAAAAAAAACAGCTTTCTGAAATGTATATGTATATCCAAAAGATCAATTAATTCCAGCAGTATTGTATAGGTTCCTGCAATTAAAACATACACATTAAAATACTGATAATGATGGTCACATTTGTATTACATTTCTAAGTGCTTAGTTTACATTGCAATTACCACTACCCGGGTTATAGGATTCAATTGCTAATCTGCACATGATAGTGCACACCCTACACTTTCCTTGGGAGCATTATACAGTTAAGCACCATTTTGGAAGCACACAAATGCCAATCCAACCGCATTGATGTTCCCATCCTACCAGTACCGGGTACCCATTTACACCTGGGTTGAAAGTAGCAAATGTAGATTCATTAGATTTATATAGCGCCATTATCCATTTTAATTAAATGCTCAAGGCGCTTCAAAATATTAGGAACACATTACATCATGACAAAGAATCGTGTACATTTACATAAGAAAGAAAATGCAAAAATGAAAGAATGAATGAATGTCCGTCTTCAAAACGCAAAATTAAACAAATGGGATTTAAGGTTGCTCTTAAAAGATGTTGAAGAGTCGGAGTTCTTCAGCTCCTGTGGAAGTGAATTCCACAGGGCTGGTCCGGCATGAGCAAAAGCTTGTTCCCCCCAAGATTTCTTTGAAAGCGGTATGTGTAGAAGACCAGAGTTGGAAGATCGGAGGGTACGTGTGGGTTGGTAGAGGTGAACTAAAGACTGGTTGTCTTACCAAAGGACATTAGTGCCATGGCAGTACTCGAACCGAAAATCATATCTGATGTTCGGTCCGGTGGCACAAAAACTAAACCACGACACCTCTAGAATTTCTCTCTTTTTGAAAAATAACTTTTCCCATTTCTTGTTTATAATTTCGTTCCAAAAACAGGAATTCATGATTTATGAGCAGCAGAAAAACAACAACAACAGCTAAAGTACACCCCTTTGTACGAAAACTGCTGAGTTGCTGGTAAGCTGCCTCGTCACAGAACACAATATTTTGAGATGTTCACTATTTTCACAATATAGTTGTACGGCTGATAAGTATTCAATTTTTGTGTCGAAAGCTTTCATTGATCTGTGTCTGTATTCAAAATGGATTTTTGTTTTGTTTTGCTGTTACTTTGACAAGATGCAACTTCACCTTAATGAAAACTACCCCTACATTCAGAGTATGGGCCCAACTTCATTGTATACGTATAGCTATATGATAAGTAATTCAATTTTTCTAGTGTGAACATTTCTAGTGTGAACATCGTATCAGGAAACATTGTATAATGAATGAAAACTTGATAAAGACTTGTCTAGTCTAAACATCGTATCATACTAAAATCTAGTAAGTGGGCGGAGCTTGTCGTGAGCGAGCACTGATGATTGGCTAGCTGTCATGTCAATTGTTATTATTTGATCATCATTACAATGAAAAGATTTCATATTTTTTGTAATTTGTGATAAAATGGTGTTCTTTTTATTATATGTTATACTTGTTGCTGATTTTAGTAAGGCTGTACTTTTTTAACTGTAATATCAAAATGTTTACGTTTTCAGGTTACCAGTATCAAACAAGATTGAATCATTCTTGTGAAGAGAAGGTTGAGTCGTGGAAAGGGTGAAAAATAATTTGTGAGCTTTCCTCAATCTTTGTATCGTATTTTAACTAACACAACTTGTAAATTAGTGCTAGTTTTACCACCGAAGGTTCATATCGTCTCTTTGGAGCCAGGAGGACATTAACTCCTTTCATTTTACACAGAGTTAACACCCTTCTGGCTCCAAACAGATGATATAAATGTGCCCCTAGACAAGCACATGACTACCTCAAGGGGCAATATTATAGGGACTAAGTGCCTTGCATTTGTAATGCAGGGGTCTATTTTCAGGTTATAACTGTTTGCTATTTTATTTTCATGTGAGGCTGTACCAGTGCTTTTGCAACAAGGCTGGAGAAACTATGTGTAATATAATTCATCTAGGACTTCTATTTTATCGAAATGATACTAGAAATAGCGAACAACCAAAGAGCATTGTTTTCATGTGTTATTTCATAGTTGGTGTCTAATTATCGTGTAATGCTTGTAAACAGAAGAAGCTCATAGCTTGAGTGTTAAAGTTTATAAATGGAAACTGATCTGTTGTGTATTATAATTCAACCTTTCAGGTGTCTGATGACTTCTAAGATATTAATTACTGTATTATGTCTATTTTGAGATGTAGATTACTTTGAGTCAATCATCACAAGTCTTTACGAGACAGTTCCTGTGCCGGTATCTGTTTCTAGTTTTAATAATAGAAAAACAATTTCAAGTGTTTCGTTGCACGAATGCATACCGGTATGTTTCAGGACATTTCTCAGACTCAATGATCTGAAACATTTGGCAGAAACTGCCCTGACAAATGCATAGTAGCACAAGTGATTGTCATTTATGTTTTAACGTAGCTTTTGAATAACGCAAATGTTACAGGAAGTATATCGTATGTGTGTGTTTATTCACAAAAATGCAATGTGTCTTTCTTTGAAATTTTTAAATTGTAAATTTGACTTTTATTGATGTTACATTATAGTGTATTGCAACAGATGTTTATATTTAATATTGTAAATATTTCACAAGAATTACTCTAATTGTTGTTTTAACACTTTGCTTTCACGTTTTACAATATTCTATAGTTTAAAGGTTTAAGTTTTATGAATAATCAACTTCAGCTAAACTGGTATTGTGGCACTTGGTTTATAATTACATTTCCCTATGTACACTCTTGACTGACAACATGTGAGGAATATTAGCAATAATTTACTGTACTCTGTGTACAGTAATGAGTTGATGCCCTTCTGGGTCCAAACAGATGCTATGTCAGGGCACTGGTCTGTCAATTGCCCAATTCTTTACAAAGTAGTATGTGATTGCTGTAGGATAGTGAGGTTTCACACAAAACTATGTATGCCTATGGTACTTATTATCTTATTTTATGCAACTATATTAAGAGTATGGAGCTATTTACTGAAACACTTTGTCTTTGTAATTTTGAGGCTGTATAGTAAGATTTATTGTTTGGAAATATATAGTTTATTAAAACCAAACGTTTGATTCACATGTGTTCTGTCAGTTAGAGGAGGCGCTTAATTGATTTATCAACTCCTTGACATTGCAGTAAACAATTCACAATTTATATGAAGTTAGACGTATTGCAAAGTGAATGAAATGTGATGCACAGAAAAAACTTCCTTCGCATTGAAAGAGGTATATCAAATTTGACAAAAGGAGGAATGTAGAACAATTTGTTGTATGTTGTATAAACAAAAGGTTTTACCAGACTTGAGATCAGTTGCCTCAAGAAGTGCACTTATCTCTGCCCTGAAATAATGCTCACTAAAACGACTGAAACTTGATGGTGATGATGATGATGGTGGTGGTGATGGTGATGATGATAATGGTGTTGGTGGTGATGATGGTAGTGATGATGATGATGGTTGTGATGATGGTGGTGATGGTGATGATGATGATGGGGATGATGATGGTTGTGATGGTGATGGTGATAATAATGGTGTTGATGGGGATGATGATGGTGGTGGTGGTGGTGGTAATGAGGATGATGATGATAATGGTGTTGATGATGATGGTAGTGATGGGGATGATGATGATGGTGTTGTTGGTGGTGATGTTGGTAGTGATGCTTATTTTAGTTGAATGTTATGTATAAGCAGGGGGCTGGGTAACGGAGGACTTGAGTTTTACAAAATGAAGTACATGTATAGCGCATCGACTTAGATTTTTAACATGGGACCTTCCTCATATGACACTACTGTACGCCCCTTCCTACTTGACCACCCCCCCCTCCTTCTCTCTCTCTCTCTCTCTCTCTCTTTCTACCCCGTTTTTAATTGTTTATTTTATTTATTTATTTATCACTTGTTGAACGGAACAACTTGATCAGCACAAATATTGTTTTCATTGGTGTCCACTCACATTAAAGTAGATATTCATTGATTTTAAATCTAGCTCTATTTTCATTATTGCAAAGTTGAAACTTTGATTCGACAAGGTTATCAAAATTCAATGCTTGGAAACATTCGAAGTAATGATTATTATAAATTACAAAACGCTTAAATACAGCCCCGGCATAGCACCTGAATAGCTCTCCGAACGCTGCTGAGATGTGTGAGATCACAGCAGGGACATGATTTGCACAAGCAGACGATGTCCCATGACATCTCACACATTTTCAGTGCCTGTGTTTTCATCTTCTCTTGAGTTCTTTCTCTTACTTCACTACCGTCAGGTTAAATGTATAATCTATTGCCTCACTCTAAACCCCGCGCATGGTTTTATTTTGATGACAAATGTAGCGATACAAAAATAAAGGAATCTGTCGCTTGTAAACAAAATAAGACGCCATTGTATATTCAGCTGCACACACCGGGGTATGTTCGGCGTTTCAAGAGGGAACACATGCCGTCCTTAATATCAATCCGGGGGCTTTTCAATTTGAAAGTCTGGTTTATTTGATTGTCAATTAACTCCTATCCTGAGTATTTACAAGCAAAAGATTTTAGTTATCAGAATCGGGTCATGTCCCCTTTTGATCGGTTTGACATGCCATTACATTTATTACACTAAACTCATTATAATTTGAGAAATAATAGCATTGCAATTATGTTCATTCTTTATGGGATGTCGTCTGCTTGGGCAGTATTGGTCCCTGTTATGACGTCATTAAAACATCGTTATTTTTCTGGCGAATCTCTCGTATATCCCAGCTGCTATGGAGGTGGTTGTATTTTTATTTTTATAAATCACCCGATATATAGCTGACCTCAAACTTGTACGATGGCCATCTGTTAGGTTACCAGTTTCTAGTGATACGTTAGTTGACATATTTGTGATTTTCTTTGAATTTCACCTTAAAACAAACAAAAAATGCAACGATAGAATTGGAGATAAATATACAGAAATATAATTAAATGAACATAATAAGAAAATTAAAAGAAAATCGAAGAAAAATACACACTGATTATAATATATATACTACATACACCACTGGCGTTAATCGTCGAGTCCCTCCGACCCCCCCCCCCCCCCTCCCCCCTCTCTCTCTCTCTCTCTATCTATTTATCTTTCTTGCTCTTCCATTTAATCAATCCATGGGAGCAGTTCGCATACTGAATGATCCGACTTTTGAAGAAACTGTGTTTATACCTATGAATACCTGCTGTTACAACATTTTTTTACAATTAAGTAATACTTAATAGTTCTTGATGACTCATTAAAGGTAAAGACCAGTTATGGTCATGCGATTGCATTGTGAAAGAAACGTTGTGGAATCGATCAGAAAAGGTTGATCATCTAGCATCTAGCATCTGCAAGGTTCTGGAATCATCAAAATGATAAGAAATTTGGCCCATTCTTCGTAAAGTTACAAGCACTATACACAGAAAGATGTATATGGAACTACCCTATATCTCTCACAGATCATGAGAGAAACAAATTTACCAAATATATGAATTAGTAGGCGGTTTCCCGCCAAATTTTTTATCATCATGTATTAGTCAAAACATATTCTTTCACATGATTGGTAATGAGAGCTTCCATTTCATTTTTTGAAATTGGGGCGTTTCCAATACTGGTCTTTACCTTTAAACACAATGTGGAATCCAATAGGTATTACCCATGTAGAGAATACAATATATAATATGAATATATTGACCCTGTATTACACTGCAAAGACCGCTAAAGGGAGACAAGAAGGGTGGTCTCTATGTACAGGTCCAGTTTGTACGTGTTTCAATGTGAAATCATGTGCAAGGAAAACAAAAAAAGTGGTCTTTATAGACAGGTCATCTTTCAACACAGGTGGTCGCTATAGCAGGTTTAACTATAATATCCCGTTTTGTAATGCTGCAGTTTCATAAAAAGCTTTTAATATATTGTACTAATTTTGATTCATTACTATGTCATCTTGAACAAATTCTGTGTTGTTATACTGCATTTTTATGAACGCTTTTACCATATACTGTTTTCAACATTTTATATATTTACTAAGGATATTAATCCTTTTATGCAGATGTAAACATTATTTCCAAACGTGGAAGGGTTAAATACATTTTAGCTATTAAAATATATCTTTGTAAAATGTGTATACATATCAACATACCGTATATATTTTGATAAGTTAGAACTTATCAACAAGAAAATTATGAAACAAATAGAAGATGAAATTGGTTTGCATGAGGCGGGAAAGGAAAATGAAAGAGAACACAGAGTTAGGAGCAGAGAGAATGGGGAAAAAGCCGAGAGAGAGAGAGAAAGAGACAGAAAGAGAACGAAATAGAGTAGGAGAGAGAGATGAAAAATAGGAGAAAGAGGGCAGCGCTGTACCGGCAAAGGGTAAAGCCACTTCTCTCGTTTGATCGCCACAAAAAAAATAAGTAAATCGGCAGTGGGTGTATGATATGAGGATCTAACCAGATATAAAATTCCCCCCCCCCCTGTTTATCATTTTCTGGATACGTCACCGAGAGAGTAAAAGCAAAGACAAAAGAAAGATAGAGAGAGAGATTTATTGAATGATTATATACATGCTTTTTCGCTGTTAACGAACCCATTAAATATTTTATCTAGCTATTCTATATGTCTGATATGCTTATCTTCTGTTCAAGTGCTCAATAATTTCATGTTAAACCACCTTTTCCAAACGATATTTTCATTTTGTTTATCTCTCCGTTAAAAGCATTAACTGTTGATTGATCGGTAACTTCAGACATGCCCCTCAGCTGGTAATAAAATATAAACTGCCATTTTGTGACGTCATGGTCCTAAAGTGCCTTTGCCTTTATAAGCTAGAATATTCGTGTAATACACCCTTTCACGGTTACAAGAGTGCGCATGCGCTGACGTACATTGGCGCCATTTTAAATTTCGTACTTACTTACTTTTTCAGCCATTTTCGATCCACTGCAAGATGAAGGCCTCAGCATGATGTCTCCAAATGCCTCTGTTCAGCGCCTGTTGGTGCCAATTTTTCTCCCCATCTTTGACAAAGTTGTTTAATCGTAATTTAAAATGGGGCCCATGTCAATATGATGTGAGCACACAGCGCAGGCAGACGTGACGCAACAATACATGCGCATCTGAAAACACTGATGACGCAAAGTTCACTCGCAACAAGCGCTTGCAGCAACAAACGCTCTGCAACGCCGATACATGCATTGATAGGAGACCAATATATATTTGCAATCAGACAAGGGCTAGTGCAGTTGCAGAGTCTACAAAGCAGTCGAATTGGAATTCAGCTCTAATTAATTTTTCGACGGTATAGAAAAATAAATTGTCAACATGCGTGAAATCGTCCACGTTCAAGCTGGCCAGTGCGGCAACCAAATCGGTGCTAAGGTAGGTTTTTATAACAAACATTTTGTTATCTTTTTTTATTGGAAATTAGAATGTGAGATATTTTAATTTGATTTCAATGAGTGACAGGATACATTATTATTTCAGATGTGAGTTTCGACAGTTTTATCTTTGTTCCTGTAGCTCGATCTTCTTTTTTCCAGTGTGTGTTTGCATATATTTCAATCAAATAAGATTATTTCGATAACAATTTATCATGAGGTACTTTATAGTGATTATGTTAACTGATTATTAGGAAGCCGTCTTGACAAGCGTTAATTCGTCACAATTTTCCCTAGTATCTTAACAGTTTAATATTCTCAGTTTCGTATCTGCACGACACTTTCTTAATCTTAATGACCGAATGGGCAACTGTAACCAAGGTAACAGGTTTCTTAGCTATTGTAAATTAATCCGTTGTTAGGGTGAGATGTAATATGTAGCTTTTGAACTTGTACCAATATCTTAACAAAAAATGATAGTTTTATTCTTCTTTTTTTTTGCAATAGTGTCTACACACTTTCACGGTTACAAGGGTGCTCGTGTGCCGACATGGGTGCCACTTTAAATTGCGAGTAGGCCCTAACGCCATTTTAAATTTTAATTAACCATTGCGAGTAAACTTTTATTTGATGCAACATACATGCGAAGCGCATGTTTCGATATGACAACAATGACAATTTATTCTCATGTCACCCGCATTGGGGGTAGACTACTGGAGAAGTTTACAATCAGTTTGAATTTGTCAGTTTAACACTGTACAATAAACAATTCAAATCGAATTAATGTTAATCAATAAAATATTATCATCGACATTAGTGAGAAAAATTATGATGATAATAATAATAATAACAATATTTATAGTCTAATGATAATAATAATATTGATGATAAAAAATCAAAACAATAATAATAATTACAACGATAATCAATGACAGAATTAATGGAAACAATTAAAAAAGAAAGTTACTGGCACCAGTAAATTGTTATTTAAATAATGAATTACTGATAATATTCTTGAGATCAAGTTAATAATTTGATATTATGATGTAGGCGCGCAGCGCAGGCAGTGACGCAACAATACATGCGCGTCTGAAAACATTTATGACGCAATATTAACTCGCAAATTTAAATTCAATGCATTCAATGCAATTCAATTCATTTATTTTTAAACGGCGGCCTTAATTGTGAAGGGGTGTATTGCTTGCACCACTTCTCCATGACGCCACGTTACTATTTTTGTAGCGTTTGCCATAAAAAGCATGGTGTCGCAAAACGTGTAAAATCCAAGGCTGAAACTTGCCAAATCTTGATAAAATTGTCTAGCTTACAGGCACACCCTAAGTTGAGTATATGGATTTAATGGTAATCGTAAAACCATGCATGAAGTCTTTCGTCTACGGCTGATTGTCAACGAAAGGGAATTAAGTCTTTTGTTAATTCCGTTTGATGCTACGGCAGGCAGCCAGTGAAAACGAATTCGTTTGATAAAATTAAGGAAATGCAAGCATTACTTTAAATAAACAGAACTTTGTCATTCCTTGCTCATTTTTCCTGATTGAGGTGTCATATGAAAGGGCAGAAACTCAACTTTCTAGAAATGTAATTTTCTCTTTGAAATTCAGATGCCGTCCGCCAAATGACTTTTTGGTTTCCTCGTTTCAAATTGATTTTGATCACTCATGCGTGGAAAATGCATCATATGATTTGCATCAAATGAAAGAAGAAGATCTAAGCTTTACAAATATGTGTCATTTATTGATTATAATTGTGATTGAGTTATGATAAAACATCGATAATTCTCGGTTTCGTTTTTTTTCTGGGATGCACTATATATATATATATAATTTAGACATCTTTCCGAAATCATACCTAGGGGAGGAATAACAATAGTTCCTTTCATAATCGTGTCATTTTGTCGAGAAACTATTTGGAAGTACGATTGAAAAAATCAAATACATTTGATTTTTACATGATTCGACCATTCTAATCAATATGGATGTTTAATTTTTTGAGCATTCATAAAAAGCGAAATGGGAATTTAAAAAATTCAACAACGACTCAACAAAATTTTCGTACACCGCAGTTTTGGGAGGTGATCTCAGATGAACACGGCATCGACCCGACTGGTACCTACCATGGCGACTCTGATCTCCAGCTCGAGCGTATCAACGTATACTTCAATGAGGCTACCGGCGGCAAGTACGTTCCACGGGCCGTGCTCGTCGATCTTGAGCCAGGCACCATGGACTCGGTCAGATCTGGTCCCTTTGGTCAGATCTTCAGACCAGACAACTTCGTATTTGGTCAGAGCGGGGCAGGTAACAACTGGGCCAAGGGACATTACACAGAGGGCGCTGAACTGGTGGACTCTGTCCTAGATGTTGTCCGCAAAGAAGCTGAAAGCTGTGACTGTATTCAGGTATGTAATTCCTCTACCTCTCATTCGAATACTAATTTTCTCGATATATTTTCAATCAGATGATGAATTGTTCAATTGTCATAAGTTTTGGTCAAACAAACATTTCTCTACCCGTTTATCAGTGGAAAATACGGGTTGCAAGGACCGATTGTGTAGTCAATATACATCCCAAAATCCGGGAAGTGAAATATTCATCAACATAACTTAAAAGACCTTTAGAGTAAGCAGCAACAGATCTTAAATTCGTAATCCATGTAATACAATAAACAAAGTTTCGTGCGTCGTGACATAAATAAACTTGAGATTATTACCATGATTACTTCATCGTCCTCTGTTCTACAGGGATTTCAACTGACGCATTCACTAGGAGGTGGAACCGGCTCTGGTATGGGAACCCTGCTCATCAGTAAGATCCGTGAGGAGTACCCTGACAGAATCATGGTGACCTTCAGCGTTGTTCCATCACCCAAGGTTTCAGACACCGTCGTCGAACCTTACAACGCCACCCTGTCCGTTCATCAACTGGTAGAAAACACCGATGAGACGTTCTGCATCGACAACGAAGCCCTGTACGACATTTGCTTCCGGACACTGAAACTGACCACTCCGACATATGGCGATCTGAATCACTTGGTGTCCGCAACCATGAGTGGCGTCACAACCTGCCTCAGATTCCCTGGACAGTTGAATGCAGATCTGCGTAAGCTGGCTGTTAACATGGTGCCGTTCCCACGTCTTCACTTCTTCATTCCTAGTTTTGCTCCACTAACCAGCCGTGGAAGCCAGCAATACCGTGCCTTGACTGTTCCAGAGCTCACACAGCAGATGTTCGATGCCAAGAACATGATGGCCGCCTGCGATCCTCGCCACGGTCGCTACCTGACTGTCGCCGCCATGTTCCGTGGTCGTATGTCCATGAAGGAGGTCGACGAACAGATGCTCAACGTTCAGAACAAGAACAGTAGCTACTTCGTCGAATGGATCCCCAACAACGTCAAAACCGCTGTCTGTGACATCCCACCAAGAGGTCTTAAGATGTCCGCCACCTTCATCGCCAACAACACCGCCATCCAGGAGCTCTTCAAGCGTATCTCTGAGCAGTTCACAGCCATGTTCAGACGAAAGGCCTTCCTTCATTGGTACACTGGTGAGGGAATGGACGAGATGGAGTTCACTGAGGCTGAGAGCAACATGAATGACTTGGTGTCCGAGTACCAGCAGTACCAGGACGCCACCGCCGAAGAGGAGGGCGAATTCGAAGAGGAAGAGGAAGAGGATCTCGAACAGTGAATCCCAACGAAAACTTAAATTCTATAACAAACAAAAAAACTAATCCACAATATCCACACATCACTTATATAACGACCACATCATCAGAATGAAGACAAAATAGCACATGAACTGCACCAGTTTTATCATTATTGTTATTATTTGTATTATCATTATTATTATTATGATTATTATCATTATTATCAATGTACAGACACAATACATCATGGAAAAAGAACAATAGCCACTAGTAATTAGTTATCATCCAATACAAATTCCAACGAGACGTCACAAGTCATAAGAAGAAGTTTGTTCCTTCAATGCCTTAAAAATGCTGAATAAACTTTAGAGTTAAAACAATGAAAAAGACTCAGCTAAATCTAAATAACAAGTACATTTCTCAAAAACCAAGAACGCATTTAAGACTTCCACTTGTTTTTGTTTAGTTATTGAAGTAGTTGATTGTCACTGTGCAGTTATTCAGCGTGAATGGTGTTTGCTGAACTTGCATTCTGCGACTGTGCTTGCTTGTAGTTAGTAGTGCTCCTGTTTGTAATGATTCCTGCGGCAGAGGCACTTGAAGAAGCTCTATTGATGTTCATATCCAATGGTTACAGAATATTATTTCCTGGATCCAAACAGATGATATAAATGTGCCCCTAGACAAGCACATGACAACCTCAAGAGTCAATATTATAGGGACAATAATTGCGTTTGTAATGCGGAGGTCTATTTTCAGGTTAAAACTGTGTGATATTATATTTTCATGTGAGGCTGTACCAGATCTTTTTTAATAAAGCTGGAGAAACTATGTGTAATATAATTCATCTGAGACTTTAAATGATACTATACATAGCAAACAAACCAAAGATCAATGTTTTTACGTGTTATTTCATAGTTGGTGCATAATTATTGCATAATGCTTGTACAAAGAATGTAAAAAGAGGAAGCCCATAGCTTGAATGTTAAAGTTTATAAATGGAAACTGATCTGTCGTGTAAATAATTATATCTTTCAGGTATCTGATGATCTCTTTAGATATGCATTACTATATTATGTCTATTTTGAGATGTAGATTAATTTTAGTCAATCACAAGTCTTTACGAGACAGTTCCTGTGCCTATATTTTTTTCTAGTTTTAATAATAGAACAGAAATTCAAGGAAACCAAAAAGTCAATTGGCGGGCGATATCTGAATTTCGAAGAAAAAATCACATTTCTAAAAAGTTCAGTTTCTGCCTCAATCAGGAAAAATGAGCAAGGAATAACAAAGTTCTGTTTGTTTAATGTGATGCTTGCATTTCCATAATTTGATTTTAAAAGTTCGTTTTCACTGGCTGCCTGCCGTAGCAGCAAGCAGAATTGACAAAAGACTTTACCGTTTCATTGACAATCAGCCATTCATGAAGTCTTTCGTCTTTCGTTTGTGAACCAGCTGGAACCTTCCTTGTAAGACACTACATGTTCACCCCTTCCTCCTTCGACCCCGCCCCCCATCTCTCTCTCTCTCTCTTTCTCTCTCTCTTCTCTCTCTCTCTCTCTCTCTCTCTCTCTCTCTTTCTCTCTCTCTTCTCTCTCTCTCTCTCTCTCTCTCTCTCTCTCTATTTTTTGTCTCTCTCCCCTCTCTCTCTATTCCATCTCTGTATTTATTCATCATATATATATTTATTTATCTTATTTATTTATTTTTCACTGGTTGGATGGGACGCCTTGATCACCACGAGTGTTGTTTTCATAGGGGTCCACTCACACACCCGTTTTTGTTCTTCTTTTGTTTTGTTTTTTGTTTTATATATTATGTAACAAACGTACTATGTAAAGAGAACCTTAATTACAAGCATAATACTTCCAAGGTTTCCTCCTCATTACTGCAGATTATTGTTAGCATCATTTGTATCTAATTACTTGCCATCAAATCGTTATATTTTACTGTTGTATCTATCGATTATATGTACATGTTTTCTTACCTCGTATGCCTTACTTTGTAAATTCTTTTCATATGCAGTGTTAATGTGAAAACAAAACCTAAATAAATAAAAACATTAACAATTAAAGAAATGAAACAATACAATCAGAAATGAAATATACACAAATAAAATGCAATGAACATAATATGAAAATTAAGAGCAGAAAATCAAAGAGAAATACACATAGGAATATAATATATACACAAATAACCCTACATACACCACTCGCGTGAAAGGTCTAGTCCCTCCTTGGATTTTTGGTCTGTAGTGCTCTTCACATTCTCCTTCGTTGTCTTTCATATTTTGGACATGATAATAAAAATTGCTCAATTGTTTCTATCGTTTAGCATTCTACACATAATCCAGTGTCGTGTTTTCTAATTAAATATTTATAGTAATTCAGGTTACATTTACCAAGCCTGAATTGGTGGATTAATCTTTCATCCTTTCGGTTCAAACCGAATGGAGAAATTGTGTGTGGTAGGTTTTAAAGCTATGTTGATACCGAATACCCGCCGTTACGATTGTTTTTTCTTCAATTATGTAATACTTGACAGTAATTGATGATTCGTTAACGTGTTGCGGAAAATTTGTTCGTATTCATTACGTAATCATTCTGTATACGCATGATGATAAGCATCTCTATGTTATTTTCATAGCACACAGTTTACTGTAATCAATGACGTATTCTGGATTAATTTCCGGGGGTGGGGCACAAGTTTGTGTAAACAATAGGGAGGGGGCATCTGTCCCCAGACTCGACCAATAGATGAAGATTCCTCCGGGATCCACCTCTAATAATTTAAAATACATGTATATGTTTAAAAAAATATATAATTCACGAAAGGATTTAAGAATTGTTTTTTCTTTGTAATGCAATTAATAATATGTTATTTTAATCCTCAGGAATGATCAAATCCACTCTTCAATGCTAACTGGATTTGCACAATGATACTCATTAACTATTTTAAACCTAGTCTGAAGCTCAGACTGTAATGATGTTAAGACCGAGTCTTTCATGCGGTATGGAAAGGTAGACTACAGTAATGTTGCCCTTCACCCTAAGTTATGCGGTTTAATGAATAACTAACTAGTACGGGGCTTTTTAATCCTACGAACACACTGAACCTTTAGTATCAGTTTTATGACCACATTAAAACTGGACTTCGGCTAGTTAGTTGAGGGTAGTCGGTCGTACAGGATATACGCATCGCAGACTCTACAGAGATTTTTTTCAGGTAAGTTCTTCATCATTCTGAATTCCTTTCGGGTTTAATTCAATTATTTTGCTTTATTCTCCATATATCACTTAAAATTTAGATCTCGAATAGTATAAATGAGATACATGACGCAGGAACAAATATTTAAAAGATAGACCCCGTAATTTACATTTCATGCAGCTGATGGGGCATATTGTCATGGCTAGGCGATGATCCGTTGCAACAATGGCTCCGGACTTTTTTGTTTTTTGTTTTTCCCCTTCAATTTTTCGTGTTTTTTTTTCATTCATTTTCAGGAACGTAGGGAGTATAACAATAACAAAGAATACAAGAAAACGAAATACAATTATTAATACAATAAAAGAAAAAACATCAATTAATGCGTGATGATTACCAAAAGAAACTACCAAGAAAATGCAAAAGACAAATCATGAGATCATAATTTAGGGTTAGGGTTAAACTTAGGTATAATGTTGGGTTCAGGGTAGAAGTTGAGAATTCGATTAGTGAAGAAAATGCGTAGGATCGAATCGTCGTACAACAGGATAAGCACCGGGTTTGGTATTCTATTGTAAGAATTCTCTTTTAATCAAGCTTCATCACAGATAACAGGGTTTCTGTATTTGGTGTAATGACGAAAAAAAGTTGTTCAATAATATGAGGGTGAAGGATATATTTATAATAATTTATCTGGTATTTATTTTAAAAAATGTTATGAGATAACAGTCAATTCTATTTTTATTTGTATCAAAAAAATATGAGAGAACCACCATTTTTAGTTTAATCACACTGCATAACTTACATAGCCATTTTCTACCACAGTAACCGTGTAATAGAAATATTAATTATAAAGGAATTTAAATAATAGAGTAGGTTGATCTTAAAATCATTTTACGGAAGAATATATCCATTTAATATGCACTGTGTTTAATTAGAAGACCATGGGAATATTAAGACAAGTGCTTTGCATAATATGTGTATTATAATTTCTATTCCTAAACCACATTGTTATAATTATATTTTGTGAAACATTCAACTAATATTTCGTTTTTTGTTCCTATATTATCGCAAACTTTCTAGAGAATTACACAGAGAATACAAACATGGCCGCCGCACCGAACTTTGACGCGGTAAGTACTTGTGCAAATTTTGCAAAGACCAATTAACTTGGTTTTTATGGCTTTAATGTGTATGACAATCAATGATTATGAGAATACCGAATATCTTTGTGTACTGTCATCCGCTACCATTCATTCTATTCTATAACCTACTCTTATACTCTGATATACAGTATGTTGAATCTGTTCTATACTCTATGCCCTGTGTTAATAATGTGCTAAATAAGAGTAACTATATATGTAAATGCAATTGTGTTCCAATGAATGAAAGGAACTTTATATATTATTGCTGAAAGCCTGAAAGTCAGTTGAGTTCTGGGCATGACGAAACATAAATTTTACATATTCAAACCACACCTCTACTGAATGTTTAATACTACAAATAAATCATAATTTGTCGGACGTATTTGGTAGGTATAAATCTGGGCAATGAGCAACAACAAAAAAATGAAGAAGAAAAAAGGAGCTTTTAGTCCCGACCGCGTACCGAGAAAAGGGGATGCACGGCTTTAATAAAATGTGATTTTCAGAATGTTTTGGTCAGTAAATTCGTAATTTGCCAAACCAAGCCCACCGATTATCATAATTGATTTAAGCCACTTTCTCTGCGAAATATATTTAATTTAATACAAGAACTCAAAATCTGCTGAAAATATAGATCATAATATATATGAGGCTTCACAAACATATGGGGCCACAGTATCCGGTGGAAGTGATCAACTGTTTTTAGTTCCTGGATGTGAAATGGGTGCATGCTTCTATGCTACTGCGATGTTTTTTTCCCAAGGGGAATGTATAAAACGTATTGGGACAGTTCATAAATGTTTCTTGTACCGTCACCATTTTTAATCTTTCACTTCACTCTAGCCCTGGGCCCCGTTGCACAAAACTTACCATTGATGGTAACTTTGCCATCAATGATAACTACCATGGAAACCTTGATTTTGATTGGCTGTTGAGCTACGTTACCATGGTAGTTGTCATTGGTGGCAGAGTTACCATCAATGGTAAGTTTTATGCAACAGGGCCCACTGAACTGAAGTAGATATAATGATAATGTACTCTCTTGCACAGATCGAGATGCAGCCGGGTCAGAAGGCGGAATGGATTACCAAACCAGACCCAAGCGAGGTCGTGGGATGCCCTCCCGGTCTCGAGTACCTTACCCAAGTCGATCAGATACTCGTTCACCAAATCGTCGAGATCTTCGAAGGTAATTAAATAATATTAATAATAATAGGCATTTATTATAGCGCCGTCTATCTAGACAATTCTATTCCGAGACGCACAAGAAAAATAGAAAGAATAAGAGAGTTAGGAAGAGTGTCATGTATAGTGCCACGTAACGACTGGTCTGCAACCACAGACTCTAATTTGACACTTTACCACAATCGTTTCTAAAGCCTCGAGCAGAGCCCAACCCTGTCAGTCTCTGGCTGTGTCAAGAGACAGCTAAAGTTCAGTGCCTATATAGGATGCCGTCACGTAGTCTCTCATGTCAGACACTGCTACGCGTAACGCCAGCAAACTACACGTAGATAACAATTCCAAATACATGGTATAAGGAGCATTATGATTTATAGCGGTAAAGGCTCTCGACTCTCCTACGGGAGGTCCTTGGTTCAATACGTGTTCAATACGTGTTCAGTGGTGTTTTGCCCTTATTCGTCCAATCCAAGTGTAAATAGGTAGGCCTACTTAATAGGAGAAAAGCTGGAAAAGAAGTATCAATTATGATGTAGACCGATGTGTATATCCTGGTGATATTACAACATTTTGCATGAACTTATTTAAATATGTTATTGAAAACTAGCCCAAAACTAGAATGACATTTGTGTCGCTTAACTTTATTGTGCAAATCTAGTGATATCGACACCCGCATTTCGGCAATGGCATGACGCATTGCGTCATTTCGCGCCGAATTCACCTTCAGCTTGATATATAGATACCTTGTTTGATACCTTTTACCTTCATATCACTGCCCCCCTCTCTCTCTCTCTCTCTCTCTCTCTCTCTCTCTCTCTCTCTCTCTCTCTCTCTCTCTCTCTCTCTCTCTCTCTCTCTCTCCTTTCTCTCTCTCTCGCCTTCTCTCTCCCTCTCTCTTCTCTCTCACTCTTAATTCTCCCTTCCCACTCTCTCTCTTCATCTTTCGCCTAGTCCTTCCTCCCTTACTTTTCCTCTTCCGTTTTATGTCTGTCTTTTGCATTAACTGTCTTTTCCTCCCCTTTCTATACATTTCTATACACTTGCGTGATCTGTATCTGCTTTCCAACCTCACTTAACCATATTCTATGCTTCTCGATGTCATTGTATTTTTTAGCCATAACAAACATTGAGATGAAGAACAAGTATGCAATCAAGAACTCTTTGGGTCAACAAATGTTTTATGCTTTCGAAGGTGAGTTTGATCAGTATTCTATTCATAGAGTATCCTTTCTTGTATAATTTCTAATATCACAAAGTTATCAAACGTCATGTTTCAAATATGTAAGAGCTCTCAATGATGTTTGTAGGCTAAATCCATGTTTATCGGAAACACAAAAACTCTATCCATTCTGTAGAATATGTGTAAAGTTTCTTATTTATATGAAACATGTAGCACCGTACATTATGGTATTTCAAGCAATATTTTCATTGATGTTTTTTAGATTATTTTAATCCATATTACTGGGTGGCTTTGATAATAGATGTTTTAAAAAATGAGGAAAATAATCAGATACAGATTTGTTTGTATTAAAAAAAAATACTTAATAAAAAATGAATGATGTTATCTTTGAAGGCTTCCATGGTGAGGATAAACTTGAGCGAGGTTTGCGGTTACAAAAATAAAGACTCGCACTATTCATGTAATTTGCACTAGACATCGGGACAGTCGCTTTTGTTTCGCTTTTAATTCAATTCTTCTTATGGATACGTATGCAGTTATATAATTATTCCAATACACAACTACTCAATCACAATACTCAAATAAACCTGCATTTTGCATTATAATGTTTAAGTAAAGATTGACAAATGGCGGCTCTTATTTTAATGTTTGCACACGGTTCTATACTCTTTGAAACTGCAATATGAATTTCCTACACTGAAGTTTCTTTTATTTTCCTTTTTTTGTTTAAACATATCTTACTTTCTCTCCGTAGAATCAAGCTTCTGTCATCGTTTCTGGTGCAAGCAGGGTAGGGGACTCGATATCCATGTCGTTGATAATGAACAAAAGGTTAGTAATTGTTAGTAGTGGATATGTCACTGGACTGTGAATCACATGATTCGCGGTTCGAGTCCCTCCGCAACACTGATGCCCTTTGGCAAGACAATAATCAAAATTTGCCACTTTTCACTCAGGGCCCCATTTCACAAAAACTTGGCATCAGTGACAAATGACGGTTGTTGCTACAAGCTAGGGAAATCCTTGCTTCTGATTGGTTCACTGATTTTTGTCATTTGTCATTGAAAAAAAAGCTTTGTGAAAGAGGTCCCAGGTGTTAAATAGGTACTCGGTAGGATGCGAACTCTAATGTGATTGGATTGGCATGGGTGCGCTTGTAAAATGGCGCCTTGCGGAATGCTAGCCAGGGAGTGGAGCGTTTACACTACCATGTGCGCAATAACAACTGAATCCAATAATTACAGCGACAATAGAAACCTAGTATTAAGCGCTATACACATATGACTATTATTTTTAGATATGATTAGCAACGAACTCAAAATCAAGGGATATGAATATGTATATTTTTTTTTCTTCAAATATAGTGTTGGTTTTTCTTTCTTATGTCTGTCTCGTAAAAAACAGCATTTGCTGAATGCAGGCACAACTGTTGTATTTGTTTAAACCGTTAATAAATAAAATATATCAAAACAAATATACCCTACTCATCACTTATTAGGAGGTGATGAAGATTGTTCGACCCTTCCAGTGCTGTGCTGGATGCTGCTGGTGCGCCGACACTGACTGTTGTTCTTTCGTCATTCAAGTAGAAGCACCGCCCGGTAACATCATCGGCTATGGGAAGCAGACGTGAGTATTCTCAGTCCCTACAAACAAAATACGGTCGTAAAGACTTTCGAAAAATAAAATCAACCTATGGCAAATTTAATAGCTTTCTGCTTCACCTTTTGAAATGTGCAAATTTTTGTCTCCTGATACAAATATATATTTATCCTACTGTAAACATGTTAGCCAAGTAATATTCATACTCTATCTGTAGGACAAAATTAGACAAAATTCCATTCTTTTTTAAATCATTATTATTTGTTTCTTTACTTCTAGAAAGAGTTGGTGGTACCCTCATCTGGACGTCCTCGATGCCGATAAGAACTCGATAATGAAGATCAGAGGACCTTGTTGCTTCTGCCAGACAGTATGCTGCAGGTGTGATATCGACTTTAAAGTAAGTGACATACCAATAAGGGGCCACAACCCCCCCCCCCCCCCCCCCCCCCCATCAAATGACAAAAAAAGGAACCAACGAGAGAAAAGGGTGAAAGAGCGAAGGGGAGGGGGCAAAATAAAAATAAGATGATTATTAAAGAAGGTAGAGAAAGGGAGGGAGTGTGAGAGAGGGGAGAGAGGGAGGGAAAGAGAGACAGAGGGAGAGGAGAGACATAGAGAGAAAGAGGCAGAGAGAGGGGTAGAGCGGAGGAGAATGAGAGAAGGAGAAGAGGAGGGGGAAATAAGAGTTTATGGAAGAGGAAGAGGGGCAATGAGGAGGAGAAGGGGGATGAGTTCGAACAGGAGGAAGAGGAGGGATAGGAGAAGGAGGAGAAAAAGGAGGAGGAGATAGATAGAGAGAGAGAGAGAGAGAGGGGGTGCAAAAATGAAGGGGGTGGGAGGAAGTGGAAGAGGAAAGAGGAGGAGAAGTAGAAAGAGCAGAGTGGCTGTGATTGCAATCATATCACATCCAAATTTATAATTTGAGTAAATGATATCTTGTTTTCTCTATTGCCATGGTTACCTACTAGGTGATGTCGAATGACTTGAAAGATGAATTAGGTGTGATTCAGAAACAATGGTCTGGTTGTATAAAGGAATGCTTCACCCGCGCTGATCACTTTGGTATGACTTGTAAGTATATTATCTTTTATCATCAACTTAAAGCCCCACTACACTAGTTATAGCTACTTGCGCCCTCTATATAGCAAATAATACCTAATCGTTGACCATTGTTATGTAAATTGAGAGCTGATCTGATGAGATAACCACCTGTCAGTGACCATGCAGGGAGGTATAATCCCCCCTGGCCAAACTAGTGCAATGGGGATTTAAATGCACCTTCCCCTAAAATAAACTTGGTTGGTTGGTTTTACCTGACTGCTAAGAAAGCATGTGCTTGTAAGTAGGCAGCCAGGGGACCGACGACTTTAAGTCCCCTCCGAGGTACTTGGTAATCAGAATTAATGCCTTACCAAAGGGCACCAGTACATCGACTTGGTTTCGAACCCGGGACCTCCCAGTTACGAGACCCCTGATATACCACTGAGCTATCGCGCCTCACTTAAAACAATTTAACCTAGGTGTTTATTTAGAGGAAAGACACAAACAGATCTTAATATCTTTGGGTACGTTTAAGCTCAACTTTTTCTGGCCAGAATGAGGCATTTGTTACGCGTTTTAGTTAAAAACACGGTTGCGTCCTTTCTCATTTTTGTAGAATCACAGAAAAACGGCGATTCTGGGGAAGCATAAACGCACAATCGTTATTTTGTAAACGCGTTTAAATGGGGTCAACGTAGCATGCGCAGTGTAGACTCTGCACTGCACTTCTCTGGCTCCTCCAGGCATGATTCTGGCTCTGAGCCAGAATCATGCCTGGAGGAGCCAGAGAAGTGAGCATAAACAGTACACCGTGGAACTGCGATTACGATGAGCGTTTACGATGAACGTTTCAAATCGCTCATTCTGCCTTCAAATTGAGCATAAACGTACCCTTAATCATGTTGGAGCAATTTCATGACTCTGCTATATAATTATTGGTGAAGACTTTTGAGAGGTCCTGAGTTCAATACTTGCCCGATGCTTGTAGAAGTTATATTGCCAACATCTGGGACCCGTTTCACAAAGCCTTTTTTCAATGGCAAATGGCAAAAAAAATCAGAAACAAATCTGCTGATAACCAATCAGAAGCAAGGATTTCACTAGCCTTATAACAAAAACTATCATTTGTCACTGATGACAAGTTTTGTGAAATGGGGCCCTGTCCTTCTCATCCAGATGCATCAATTGAGTGCCTGGCAATGATACGGTAATAATAATTGCAGTGCCGCAGGAAGAGCAGTATTATCCTGCTACAGTTTGTAAATAAGACTTATTCTTTTTCTTTGGAATACTCCTCAACGTCCCGTTAGGAACCAAATGAGGAGGATAAGGGGGTGCGCACTGTTGCTTATTTAGTTCTTATTGCTTGAGTCTTGGTTGCGGAAAAAAAAGTTGGTTGCTTGTAGTTTGAAGGTGTCGATGTTTGCGGTCCGTTAGATGTCTAGGGGGGTAGTGAGTTCCAGTCCTTGATGGTACGTGGAATATAAGAGTCCATCAATATTGACAACAATAACGACAAAATCTAGCACTTTATCCTTCAGACTATATCAGTCTCATCCTCTCTTTCTAAATTATGCTGTCATTGCAGTTCCTAAAGACCTTGATGTAAAAGCAAAGGCCACTCTCATTGGTGTTTTGTTCCTGATTGTAAGTATTAAATCCTCTAGAAAAATTAATGATTCTTGCGAGTTATTCATCGTTTTTTTTTAAAGATTGTTTGTTTCTTTATTTGTTTTAGTTTTTGTTGTTCTACTCTTACCTATTTTCACGTAATTTGCAATACATTCCTTGCATACCTAATTTGCATGATTTGTCCAGTTATTGATGCGATTTTTTTTTTAAACACTGAATATTTTAGTCATTGGAGTACGTCTGTTTTAGCTTTGCTTATGACGATCTTAATTTCCTACGTAACATTTCATCATGATCATGGTGATTATCTGTGTCAAAAAATCTTTTAAAAGATTTTACGTGAATGATGTGATGTAATAAGAAATGAACATCAATTCAAGAATAATTTTACTCTTATTGATTCGTTGGACTGTTTAAAAAAATCAAAATTCTTTTGATTTAATTTTGTATCGCTCTTACAGGAATTCATGCATTTCGAGCAACAAAACAACAGCGGCTAATTTGATTGGGAATATTTCAGAGAAAGTCTGCTTCCAGCTAGCATAGAACTCTACACTAATTATGGAAGACTGCGGGAATGACAAATGGAAGTGATTGGCGTAAATACAGCAGGCACAAGGGGGGCAAATACCCCCCTCCCCATCGAATAGTGAAGAAAAAGAAGGGGAAAAGACAATAAAGAGAGAAGGGAGACAGGGCGAGAAATAAGAGTACTTATAAATGCCCTAACTCTGCATGACTAATGTACGTGCTCACGGCACAAAAAGAAATTTAGGAACATGAAAATACACGCTGAAGTGAGACAAATTAAAAAATACAAGTAGATCTATACTGGGAATCAACTTCAATTTCAAAAAGATGAGTTTTGGGGACATTTTAAAAACGATGAACACTTGAAATAATAGTTAATAGTTATTTACAGAATAGGTCCCAATATACAAGGTATAATAATTTTGATTCATCTCTTTCCAAGGTTGAATGCGGAATTCCGCAGGGATCCATACTCGGTCCCTTGTTATTTTTGCTGTACATTAATGATTTGTGTAATGTTACTTCATTTTTTCATTTCGTTTATTTGCTGATGATACCAATATCATTTCCTCACATAAAGACTTTAATACGCTCCTACATAAGACTAGCGAAGAGTTAGGCAAAATAGTTGACTGGTTTGATTCCAATAAGTTAGTAATTAATCATGACAAAACATGTATTTTGTATTTCTCTAAACCTAATATTAAGTTTCCTCCTCATACAATCAAAGTGAAAATTAATGATATATACTTGAATGTTTCTGACTCCGTGAAATTTCTTGGAGTTTTATTGGACAATCAACTTACTTTTCAAAACCATCGTATGTACATTCTAAAAAAGATCTCTAAAAATGTCGGAATTATCTGTAAATTGCGTTCTATTCTACCCAAAAAACATTTATTCATGCTATATAATTCACTTATAATTCCTTTTATCCATTATTGTAACATTACCTAGGCCAACGTTGGGAAAAGCAAATTAGAACAATTTCATAAACTGCAGAAAAAAGCCTTACGCATTTGTACAAAGTCACCTTATTTAGCGCCATCTCGCCCCCTCTTTATTTAATTAAAAACACTTAATATTTATCACATATATGAATTTAAAGTCGCAGTACTGATGTATTATGTCAAACATAAAATGGCCTTAGCCAATACAATTAATTTGTTTAACTTTAATAATGATTTTCATCAGTATTACACACGTTCAGCTTCCCAATTTCACCTTCCATTAACTTCTAATAAGCAAATGTATAATTCTTTTAAACATGTAGGACCGAAGATTTTTAATAATTTAAATACAAACATTCGTCCATGTTCAACAACCTCCTTCAAAGCCTTACTTAAAAGTCACTTTATTCATAAATATACTTCTTGATTTTCGTATATCTTTTTCATAAGTTTACCTCATATATGTACACTGTACATGTAATCTCTCTTTCTCCTTCCCTTTTCTTGGGTGAGTGTGTGTGTTTGTGTGTGTGTGTGTTGGATGTGTCCGCTTGTGATTATTATTAATGTTTTACTTATATTTTGTTAATTTTGTCAAAGGGGCACCAGTCCACAAGATCCTGATCTTTTTTGGTTGCCCCTAACGATATGTTAATTTTACACATGTATATGATTATGTCAATATGTTTAAAAGCATTGTTCTATTTTCTTTTATATCGTTGAATAAAGATGAATTGAATTGATTATTACGAATGTATTATCGGCAAAAGACCAACCCACCCCACCACTACAATGTCTTAGTCTTTAGGAACAACAAGCAATTTTGAATTTGATGATCTTAGGCGTCTGGGAGGAGTGAAAGTGAGACTGATCCATGTATACAGTCGGAAAAAGGGGCATTCATTACCATATTAATTTCATCTTGAACGTATCCTGTGTATATTGTATTTTTGTAAACAATAACCATGCACTGATCTTTCAACATTGTATACGATTATTTACGAAGAGAATAATCCATTTATGCAGATGTGAACAGTATTTGTTTCAACGTGGAAGGCTTAATTTGCTATTAAAACATATTTTGGAAAGTGTGTATACCTATTAAATTTATGAACAAGAAAAAAGTGAAATAAATGGTAGATGAAAGTATCTTGCATGAATTTGGAGAGGTGTGTGTAAGAGAGGTAGAGAGGGAGAGGGAGAGAGAGAGAGAGAGAGAGAGAAATATTAAGAATTGTAGTAGGACAGAGAGATGAACAAAATATGAGAAAGAGGGCAGTACTGTATCAGCATAGGGTTAAAGGGGCACGTTCCCGCCAGCGACTTTGCGTTTTACACCCTGGCCTGGACATTTTCCCGGTAAATAGCAATGAAACTGCTTGAATGAGTCTAGTCTACGCTCCTCGATCGGGCGCGCCAGTTCCAAATCGAATCGTACATGCACAGACGTACGTCGATGCAGCATTTATACACACCGTACGCAGCTGCAATACTGAAGATTAAGGGAGAAGATATAGGATTTCAAGTTCAGAACAACAAGTTAAGACGCTTGCTGCACGATGGAATTCATCGAGGATGATGACGGAGTGGCAATGCAGACGCCTTTGCGGGTATGAATCCGCCTATGTTCAGATCTCTTTTTATCTACATGTGCATGTATTTTCAAATAAAACTTCTTATAGTCATTTCTTGCATCTAAATCTTAACACACTGTCAAATTATCTGTTCAAATTTCTACTATTGTTTGCTTTCACTTTTACTACATATTTCTTCTTAATTTATATAACTATTTATGCATACACATACTCCTGTATCTTTTGTATTACTTCTCTGACATTGAAGGATTAGATTACCTTCACGAAAAAAAAAGGTATATGAATGTAAAGCAGTAAATAAAGTGCAAATGAATTCATGTAAAACTGGTGTATAATTTCCTTTATATGTTATGTGTCTGTACATTACACTAGACAAAGTGATGAATGGAAAAAGAGAGAAAGAGAGGTCTTATAAACAAATATCATGAATTTAAAATGAGAAAGAGAGAAAGGGAGAGAGAGACAGAGGTCTTAGAAACAAATATGAATTCAAGAAGTGAGAAAGAGAGGGGGTCTTAGAAACAAATATCATGAATTGAGAGCTAGAGAGAGGTCTTAGAAACAAATATCAAGAAATGAGAAAGAGAGGGGGGGGGTCTTAGAAACAAATATGAAGAGAGAGAGAGAGGCCTTAGAAACAAATATGAAGAGGGGGTTAATGAGAGAGAAAGAAAGAGGGGTCTGAGAAATACATACGAGAGAGAGAGTGGGTCGAGAGAGAGAGGTCTTAGAAAACAAATATGAATAGAGATGGGGGGGCGGGGGAGAAATGGGTCTTAGAAAACAAATATGAAGAGAGATGAGGGGGGGGGGAGGTCTTAGAAAACAAATATGAAGGGAGAGGGGTCAAGAGAATTAGAGAAATTAGGTCTTAGAAACAAATGACATGAATTTAAAAAATGAAAGACGTGATCCCACAATAATAGAAAATGGTACGAGTGCAATATTTAAATCACAGTTTATGTATTACATTACCATTACACATATTATGTCGAGTGTAGTCTGTGTATGTGTCGATATGTGTACACGTGTGTTAGGGGGGGGGGGGTCCGAATCAGCAAATGGTTTGAAAGTAGGCTACACGTCAAAAATTGAAACCCTGAAGAAGGCGGAATTAAACCACAAAAACCATAATATTATTTGGTTTCTCTCTTTCCTTACTTTGATTAATTCCTTCTCTAATTTCTCTCTTTCTTTCAAGTTAGTTTTTGTTTTCTCTCTCTGCTTATGACATTCTTTGTTTCCTCTCTGTTCTTTAATTATTTATTGTTTTTCTCTATTTCCTTCTGTTGTTATTCGTTGTTTTTCTCTCACTCGTACGTCTCGATACAAAAGTACATGTACCGCGTACCGCGACACTGGACATATAGGACGTACGTTGAGCATTGCAGAAGAGCTACGTGCGCGCGCAATATCTTGTCATGGATAGACTTTTCCCAGTCGGTTCCTTGAAATTTATTGGGAAAAGGTCCAGGCCAGGGTGTAAAACGCAAAGTCGCTTCCCGCCAGGGTAGTTATCGCTGCTCTAGTCATCGCCATCTTGGTTCCGAAGATCGACTTCTAATTTGCATACAGCTGTCAATCAAAGTACGTGCGGCCTGGCCTGCCTTCGCCAAGCCAGTTGATCGCTGCCGATAGTGACGTCACGAAAGTGGGTGGAAACAGCAGCCGAATCTTAGAGCCGAACTGCGATTTGTATTACTTCGGCACATGTATGCGATAATCGGCATTGTGCGGGCATTCGGAACATCCCATCTGCGTAAGGGCCGTATTCTGTTGGTGTCAATAGGCAGCTAACACCGTCCGCCAGCGGGTACGTATTTTTAACGCCCTCTGGAATACGGGGAACATGCCCCTTTAAGCCCCTTCGAAATTCCCAGTTTGATCGCCACAAATGACATAAGTAAATCGGCAGTGGGTGAACGATATGAGGATCTGCCCTGGGCCTTGACTTATAAAGAGTTACAATTGATCCAAATCAATCGCAAGTCCTCCAATCAATCGCAAGTTTGCAGTCTCCATCTCTTATGTACATAGTTGCGATTGATATCAACTCTTTATAAGACGGGGCCCAGATATATATTCCGCCCCGTTTTTTTTTCTTCTCAATTTCTGGATACGCCACCGAGAGAGTAAAAGGAAAGATCGAAAAGAGGAAGAAAGAGAGAGAGAGAGTCAGATACATGTATAGAGGCAGTAGAAGAAGAGCATGCAGAACGAATCCATGATGTATATACAATCATGAAGCCTAACGTGTTTTTTGAAACCTTCGTCTCTCCATGATTTTATCTTAAGAGATAATCCCCTCCCCCCCCCCCCCCACTCAGTGTTATTTAGGGTACGCATATGCTTGTTCCCTCTTTTTGAAAGCACCCCCTATCTGAGGACTGCCAACATTTCCGAACCCCCCTTTCGCGGGCTTTTCGCGGGCTTTTCCTGCCTTGGAGACCCCCCTAAATCATGAAAATGCTAGTCCAAAGAGATGAGAGAAAAAAAGAAAAAACACCCCCTTTTTAAAGAAATCTCCGGGTGAAAAGTTATTACACTCCTTTTTTTACAATTCTCGGGCCGGACTTTGTCGCACGAAAAATACCCCTTTACCGGACATTTTGGTAACACGCATGGGGTCCGTCCGTTCTCGGAGTGGGAGGGGGGGCGGGAGAGATAAGTAGCTCTCCCACATTAATATTGCATCGCCTTGACTATATGGACTATATTAATCATATTGACCGATTCATAGCATAAGATAAAGATAACGATAACGAGCTAAAGGCTCACAAATACCGACGCTCACACAAACACACGCACGCGCACGTACACGTTCACGCACACGCACACCACATAACTGGAAAATACGTATTTTCCAGTTCTGTGACGCACCACCGTGTTTGCGCACAGGCGCCTACCCATAGACTGGCAAACGCACATGCGCAAACACCCTCACGTACCGTATTAGCATAGCGATAGCAAAGCTATACCATGGTGTTATAGCAATCCCTAATAAAATAGAACAAAAAGGGAGTTTTTTATGTGTTACCTGCCAGAAAATATTATTTATCCAACTACATGGTTAAGTTGCCTTTCAGAAACATTGCTAGATATACAAGGGATAAATATACACATTAGGTCGAATTGACAAAACAACCTCAAAAAGAAAATTACCTTCAGGCCAATTTGGCTCTCATGGCCTATAGACAATCTAAAGTTTTTTTCCGAAGCTTACATCTTCCACAGTGAATACCTTCGATTTGGGGCCAATCTTCGCTCTATGGGCCAGACAAGGAGTTAACATGAAAAAGAATATACTGCAATAAATCTTTTTCAATTTGACAATCCATTTGAATTGACTTCACATGACAAAGAATATATGACAAATAACATTCTTAAAGGGTTGTGAACTATTTACAAAAAACAAGAAAGAAAAAAAAAAATATATATATATATATATATATATTGTTAAGTCTATTAACATGTCTTATTGATCATAAGAGAATTACATTTATATTCGATATAATGAGAAGTAATATAATGCTTTAAGTAATATCTTACATCTGTGAAATACTAATACATTTGAGTGGTCCTGTGACGGAGTTTGGTGATATAATATTTCGAATATTGACATTCATCGGTAGCAAAATAACAAAACACTGCTTAGTGACAGCATATTGTTGCCGACTTTTATACGTCTCTTCGTAGTGAGTATAAGTCTATATACAAAATAATTCATAGTCCCGATAGTTTATCACCGAATCGACATGCTTGCTTAGCAACCAAACACTCCCTCACAAAGCATTAGGGATTTTGATGAAATCCAAGTAATAAAGTCGGACTAATACAGCCTAGTATAGAGTAGATGCAGGCCTATTAAAACACATGGTTTTAGTTGATATACGTCGTTGACGCAGTAAAAACTTTTACGGTGGCATTCAGCTAGGCGTCGACAAATATAATATTGGTAAGTTTATGATTTTCAGGGATCGTCTCAACAATAGACTATATGCCAATCAAACTATCTGATCTGCCCTTAGCTCCTCCTCTTTGATTAAAATCACGCATCACTATATCTTACTCGCTAAACTATTATCCTACTAAAGCCAAAACTATTTCACAGAACATTGTAACCTCTGGTGAATATCATTATTATTTTGTAATTAATTTCTTGTAACTTTACGAGATTTGATAAATTTTAAATAAATGGACAACAACATAAAAACGCACTTGTAGTTTCAAATTTGACTTTAATTTTGAAATCAGTCTAAAATGAAAATTTTAGCAGACATCGTTCCTTTTTCAAAGTAATGTCTTCGGTCAGAACTAAGTATCTTGGATGACGTACCATTTCTTAAATTTAAAAACACTTTTCCTTCAACCTGATCTTTAACTGTGAAATTTCTCCGTAAGTAGGCATCATCACCCAGCATCAAATAACAAAAAATAAACCAACACGATACGGAATAAAATCTCAAGAGTCGTCATGGTTTAAACGATTTGCAGACGATCCCTTGGTGTTCGCCTCATCCTGGAAACCGCTACCAACACGCGAGCGCAGGCAACGCCGATATTGATTAAAAGACCAAATATTTGCAAAATATGAGCCATTCAATATTTGCAGTCAGGCAAAGGCAGTTACAGTGTCTGCAAAGTGTTCGAATCTGAATTCAGCTCTTGTTAATTTTTCGAAGGTTAAGAAAAAAATTGTCAACATGCGTGAAATCGTCCACGTCCAAGCTGGCCAGTGCGGCAACCAGATCGGAGCCAAGGTAACTACAATTTTCTTTTCTTTGTAAAACTGAAAACTGAAATATTTGATAATTTGGTTGTTTATCAGGTTACACTATCTTGTTAGAAATGCATGTCACAACGTTTATATTTTTCTAGTGCCTCAATCTTCTGTTTACAGACACTACTATTCGAATCGACTTAGAATATTTCGATAACAACCAATTTCAAGGTACATATCAGATGATGATATTTGATTATTCAAAAGCATTTTGGAAAGGCGTAAATTCGTCACTAGTTCTCCTATTATCTTAGTTTGATATTGTCAATTTATAAACAAGCGATACACGATAATAACATTAATAACGGTATGACCTCTTTGGAAGATCTTACTGGACGCATTCTTGACCTCAATGATCGAATGAGCCACTGTACCCATGGTAACAGGTTTCTTAGTTATTGTAATTTTTTTCTTCTATTTCTGCGTTTTCAAGAAAGAACATAATCATATACATAAAGTAACCATTATTTCTTTATCATACATAATTATACATTTTTAAGTACATTAAAATAAGATGCATATAAGAAAGAAAAAAACATTTCAATGAAAAAAGATAAATTACAGAAAACGCAATTATAAGCGGTAAGTTTGAAATCGATGGCGTCCTCGAGAGAATAGCGGTAAACTCTTAAATTATATAATTGTAAACGCGAAATTGATCAAGTGGGTGCATTGGTGCAGTGAAAGTGCATGTGCAAGGGCGAATGTCACCCTTTGTTAGGGTGAGATGTAATTTTTATACCATTATCTTTTTATATATTTTTAATGATGTTATTCTTTATTTTTGTGCAATTACGTTCACCACTTCTACGTGACGCCACGTTACCATTAGCGTCAGCCATAAAAAGCATGGTGTCGCAGAACGTGCAAAATCCAAGGCTAAAACGTGCCGAATCTTGATATTTTTGTAGTTTGTAGGGCAAACCCCAAGTTGAGTATGGATTTCTTTATCTCTGCCGCCATGCCTTAAATTACTCAAGTTTACAAGCACTTCCATGAAATTATCGCTGCAAATGATGCAGTATACATGGCAACCACACGCGGTAGTGCATATTCTTATATTTATGTTGGCGGCACGGAGGGGGGGGGGGGGGGTAAAGAGACCTGATAAAAATTTTCATGCAACCTTAGGTTAATAATACTGAACTACGATGCACCATTATTTGTCAAAAGTCTTTGAAAGACTTTTGACAAATTAGCATTAAAACAACAAACAACATTAAAGCTATACACAAATTTCTGTTACTATATTACATTTGGAGAGGAACATTTGTGAAGGAAAATATGGGAAATATATGTATTGGTATGTGGATTTTCATACATTGTATATTGAGAATCTCTAGGGCATCAAGGTAGATTATAAACGAGAATTATCGATGTTTTATCATAACTTAATCACAATTATAATCAATAAATGACACATATTTGAGGGATGAAAACAATTTGAAGAGAGGGTACTTAAATTTAGTTTTCTGCCCTTTCATACGACATCTCAATCAGGAAAAATGAGTCAGGAATAACAAAGTTCTGTTTAAAGTAATGCTTGTATTTCCATAATTTTATTAAACAAATCCGTTCCACTGGCTGCCTACCCTAACAACAATCAAAGAAGATGAAAGACTTCATGCATGGCTGATCGTCAACGAAACGGAGTTTTAAAAGTCTTTTGTCAACTCGGTTTGTTGCTACGCCAGGCAGCCAGTATAACCGATTTCACTGAGTGGTGAGGGCGGGCTTTGAAAGAGGCAGGTTTTTTTCTTTGTAATGTTGAATGAGGGACCTTAAATCCACAAGCCTTGCTTTTAACCAAGGTCACCTCATCTTTCTATTGTAACGTCATATTCTGTTAACTCTTTATATTCATGTCATATTTGTAATGTGTGTTATGAAAGAAAGATAAATAAACTTGAAACTTGAACTTGAAACTTGAATTATCTTAAGTTAGGAGTTATATACATGATAAATCACAATCACTTGTCAAAATTAATATCGATAAAAACTATATTGTGTATTACATGTATTCGGAACTTTGCTATATCACACCTAAAATAAGTACAGGTGTACATGTCTGTTCTCGCTTATGATCGGTGATCATAAAAGGACACAGCGTTTGTCTACAGACAAAAGTATCGACATTTTATCTACACGCCCTATATCAAGCCGTTAAAATTGGCGGGTTAACATTCTGTCGTATTTCCTCTCCGACGATTCCGCTTCAGCTGTCTACCACGGCTAATACAAAAGAAGGAACCATAAGCACATTCCTAAAAACGACAAAATAAGCAGCTATACAATTTTTGATGAATGATTTCATCACCGTTGGCTTTTTACTACGTTCCGGCCGGTGTTGTATGGACGATCGTCCCCGTCTACCAACACGGCTGTTGCTATGGAGACGATACGATGCTGGGAAACATCCTGAAACGACCTCTTTTCAGTTTTGTTAGGCCTTTGCTTTTTCAGCTTGATCAATAAAAGTTACTTCAAAGGAATTTGAGTAATTTTTTTTAATTAATAATTTCATTAATAATAATTTTATGGAAAAGTATATATGTAAAACAAATCTGAAAGAAAAAATATTATGAAAAAGTGATTACTTTTTGCAAGGTGTTTCTGATTGTGTATTCCTTTTAAATTATTTTGCCAACTAAATCTGTGATATTTTAAAAATGAACTGCAATTTGTAACTAATATCTATAAATGTATGTTCTTATCATATTTTGAATTGCCAAGAATATCATTTTGAAATTCTGCATGTATTATCTCTTCTTGTATATATCATGTGAACGATGTTATTTAATAAAGGAACCTATTGGAAAGGGGGGGATAAAACAAAAACAATTTTATCTATTTTACATGAGATTTCGAGTGACTAATGTTTTTTGTAGACTAATGCTATAGTTTGTAATGATCGAATGCACGATGGTGGGTCATCTTAGTAGAGCGGCAGCCCGCGAGACCGAAACTGACAGTGACACCGTCGGTCTGTTGAATCCTTAAAAACGTCATCAGGCCTTCAAGACCGAAATTGTCTCTTTGGGCTTCCGATTTTATGAGCCGTCGATCTCTTGAATTGTCGATCTCGTGGTCTGTAGGTTTTGTTGGCAGTAGCCGTATGACGGACGAATGTCACAAATAAGTGCTTTAAAGGTCAAGTCCACTCCAAGAATAACTTACTTTCAATACAAGCAGAAAAATCAGACAACCCAATCAAAAAAGGTTTGAGCAAAATCGGACAACTTATACGAAAGTTATGAATTTTTAATGACATGAAAAACTTTGAAAATCATAATACTAATTTGCGACTCACTCATGAGTCTGTGACGTCATTGCCTCACTATCCACTAATTGGTTTCTTTATATTTATAATATAAATTTCCCATTTTCCCCTTAAGAATCTTATTTCTTTAGACCAGCATTCAAGTTAGATTGATAGTAATATGTTTTTATGTGGATGCACTAAATATAGAGTAATTTTTTTCATTAAATCATGAAAAAAATGAATTTTGATAAACTATTTATATAAAATCAATGATTATGAACAAAAATATGTAGACAATAGTACCAATTCTTCAAAGTTCATAGAAGATTTTGTGAAATGTCATGCATGTAATATGATACAAATCATATAAACTGGGCAAAGGCATGAGGAACTAGATGGGATAAATATACATAAAGCAATTGATAAATAGTGAGGCAATCACGTCACAAACTGATAACCTAATTGACAATTTGTTTAGTGATTTTCTAAGTTCCATAGTTTTTCATAGTTTTTAAAGGAATTCATAATTTCCTTATTAGTTATCCGATTGTACTCATTTTTTTTGCTCTGTTTCTCTTGTTTTCTGCATCTATTAACATCAAATTATTTTTGGAGAGGACTTAGCCTTTTAAAAAAAAGACTGAAGCGATATTCTGAGGAACAATGTGACCAATGAATTGATACACACTGACCCGTATGGTATAAATTTTTTTGAAATGAATCTCGTCTGAAGAGTCGAACGATTACAAACCTTGTGCTGAGCCAATGGAAGGGTTTCAGTATTAATTTTACTCGGAAATGCTCAAAACAAAATCAAGGGGGATATAGATGAACTAATTCTTTTTTTCCTCACACCTATCAGATTTGGAAGATTGCTCATCTACCACCGTAATGCTTATACATTGCTGAATCGTTTGTTTGACAACCGACACACTACTCATTATTTACATAAATCAAATCAATGTGTTTGTATGTCCGTCTAGTTGGTTTTACGTGCAGGCAGCTGGAGAGTCATGAAAACCCATTAGCAATATTTAGCCCGATGAAGTCGAATTTACAGATAAAGAATTAATACATCAGATTACAAGACTGAAAGTCGACCTTTTGTTTATATATATATATATATATATATATATATACTTTAGACATCTTTCTGAATTCAGACCTAGGGGAGGCAGGACAATAATTCCTTTTATACTTGAGCCATTTCGTCAATTACACTATTTGGAGGTACGATGGATAACATCAAAGACATTTGTTTTTTACATAATGATTTGACCATTCTAACGAATATGTACAGTTAATTATTGAGCATTAAAAGCGAAATGGGAAGGAAAACAATCCAATAATGAATCAACAAATTTTTTTACACCGCAGTTTTGGGAGGTGATCTCCGATGAACACGGCATCGACCCAACCGGTACCTACCATGGGGACTCTGATCTCCAGCTCGAGCGTATCAACGTCTACTTCAATGAGGCTACCGGTGGCAAGTACGTTCCACGAGCCGTGCTCGTCGACCTTGAGCCAGGTACCATGGACTCGGTCCGTTCCGGTCCATTTGGTCAGATATTCAGACCAGACAACTTCGTCTTTGGCCAGAGCGGGGCAGGTAACAACTGGGCCAAGGGACATTACACAGAGGGCGCTGAACTGGTGGACTCTGTCCTAGATGTTGTCCGCAAGGAAGCTGAAAGCTGTGACTGTCTTCAGGTATGTAATTGCTCTACCTCTCATTCGAATATTAATTTTCTTGATATATTTTCAAACAGATGAAGAAATGTCATAAATGTTGGTGAAACAAACAATGCTTTATCGATTTACCAGTGGAAAATGTTGGTAGCATACACATCCCAAAATCCGGGAAGTGAAATATTCATCAACAGAACTAAAAAGACCTTTAGAGTTAGCAGCCACAGATTTTAAATTCGTAATGTATTATAATGTATTGCAATAAACAAAGTGTCGTGCGTCGTGACATAAAAAACTGGAGATTATTACTATGATTACTTCATCGTCCTCTGTTTTACAGGGATTTCAACTGACGCATTCACTAGGAGGTGGAACCGGCTCTGGTATGGGAACCCTGCTCATTAGTAAGATCCGGGAGGAATACCCTGACAGAATCATGACGACCTTCAGCGTCGTTCCATCACCCAAGGTTTCAGACACCGTCGTCGAACCTTACAACGCCACCCTGTCCGTTCACCAACTGGTCGAAAACACAGATGAGACGTTCTGCATCGACAACGAAGCCCTGTACGACATCTGCTTCCGGACACTGAAACTGACCACTCCGACATATGGCGATCTGAATCACTTGGTGTCCGCAACCATGAGTGGCGTCACAACCTGCCTCAGATTCCCTGGACAGTTGAATGCAGATCTGCGTAAGCTGGCTGTTAACATGGTGCCATTCCCACGTCTTCACTTCTTCATACCTGGTTTTGCTCCACTAACCAGCCGTGGAAGCCAGCAATACCGTTCATTGACCGTTCCAGAGCTCACACAGCAGATGTTCGATGCCAAGAACATGATGGCCGCCTGCGATCCTCGTCACGGTCGCTACCTGACTGTCGCCGCCATGTTCCGTGGTCGTATGTCCATGAAGGAGGTTGACGAACAGATGCTCAACGTTCAGAACAAGAACAGCAGCTACTTTGTCGAATGGATCCCCAACAACGTCAAGACCGCTGTCTGTGACATCCCACCAAGAGGTCTTAAGATGTCCGCCACCTTCATCGGCAACACTACCGCCATCCAGGAGCTTTTCAAGCGCGTTTCAGAGCAGTTTACCGCCATGTTCAGACGAAAGGCCTTCCTTCATTGGTACACTGGCGAGGGTATGGACGAGATGGAGTTCACTGAGGCTGAGAGCAACATGAACGACTTGGTGTCCGAGTACCAGCAGTACCAGGACGCCACCGCCGAAGAGGAGGGCGAATTCGACGAGGAAGAGGAAGGGGATCATGAACAGTGAATCCTAACGAAAACTTGATGTCCTAACAAAAATAATACACATTATCCACACATCGCTTATTTAACTACCAGGGCTCCGGAATGAAAACAAAAGAGCACATTAATTGCACCAGTGTTATCATTGTTATTATTATCAATATTTTTTTAATTTTTTTATTATTATTATTATAAATATGGTAAGAGGTTGCCTGGTCTATAGGTATGTTATCGGAATGTGGATCACATGGTTCGCGGTTCGAATCCCACCATATTATATCACTTAGCAAGACATTAATCTATATTTACCACTCTCCACCCGGGGAAGTGTGGTGTATACATACCAGGTATGAATATTTTCTTTGAATGCTTTCATAGCCTTATATGGCAGTAGGCAGCTGGTCTGTTTAATACCAGGGTGATGATGATAATTTGGCATGTATGTGGGCGCCTTGGGCATCCCCTCTATAATGGATATATGCGCAAAATAGTTATTATGATGGTTATTAGTTATATGGGAAGTACTTTCGTGTACCTACTCTCTCCTTGTATACGTTATACACTCTCTCTAAAAAGGTTGGTCTTTATAGACAGGTTCCAATGCATTTCTTCTTCCAAAACTTGTACTAAAATGTACAGTGTCACCGGTGTGTGACTTGAATCCAAGTTGTCAAGGTATATCTGAACTTTAACAAATTCGAGCTAGTAGTAGTAGATGGAAAATGCATATACAACACATATAGACACAAGCAACATATTTTGAAAATTTTCCAAATTACTGCGGGAAACTATTATTGCTCCACTTGTATTAACAAACAAGTTTTGTGTAGTCATTGATTACAATAGACTTTGGTTTTTCGCTTGTTGAAGAGGATCCCAAACAGGATAGTAAACAGGATAATTGAGAAAGGGCGTCGTGTGTGACGGCGGGCATTCCACAAAACACAATGACTGTTTGTTGGGTACTTATACTCAGGGTTCACGATAAGTATCATATTTAAAATAGTATGAAAGCATACGGGTTATTATTTATTGCACAATTCGTCTGTTTTGTGCCAGAATAGGGTATACTTTTATACAGGGTTAACGCCCTTCTGCCAGCTCCTGATTTACGAAATATTACTTACGTCTGACTTTACCCACAGTCCACAGATATATATTTGTCTGTTTGTCGTTCATTCTAACTTGTTACATGTTTCACTATCCATTTTGTGGAAGATTAAAGTTTGGTTCATGTTACTATTAAACCTATTTCTGAGTTGTTTTGGGCCTTCACACATTATTTACAAAACGGAATTAATTTAAATGTTTTGTTCATTAGAGAGAAATTCCATATACTTGGTGGAATCAATTTAACTATGAAATTATTCTTGCAACTGCTACAGCCGTTTACATAGTTTAGCTTCAACCTGATGCTACGGTCACAAAGGTTCGTACGAACGATAATTTCGTACGAATCTCCCTGTTTTTCCATTGTCTTCCCGAACTTCCATTGTCTGAAAATTGTTTGTACGGCGTTCGTAGCAGTTCGTAATGGCATTTGTGACCGAGGCTTTACCTTTCAAACTTTATGTGACTTTGATCCATGTTTAAGATACATTCTTTTTTTTCCTCATAGTTCATTGGTTCAGTCCTAAAATTACTCAAAATATAACATGCAATATTCAACCGAATCATTATTTCACCATATGGACCGACATCGCTTCTTGTATTGCATAATTGTTCCACGGCTATCGTTTAGTCCGTATAGTAGAACCAGGGACTTGCTATGGTAAAACGTAGTTTTTTATTTTCTGTTTGATGTTGATGATGATGATGAGAGGATGTTGGTGGTGGTGGTGGGGTATGATGATGAAGATGATGGTGGTGGTGGTGGAGGTTACGGTGTTGATGGTGATGGTGCATGTTAATGATGATGGTGGTGGTGGTGGTGGTTGTGGTGGTGGTGGTGGTGGTGGTGGCGGCGGTGGCGGTGGTGGTGGCGATCACTTGGGGCGGTGGCGGTGGTATTGATGTCGGTGAAGTTAATGATGATGATGATAACGATTATACGTTAGTTTCATTGATTTAAGTTGCCATAAAACTAAATATTGTGACTATAAACGTAACACCAGAAACTAGACCCCCAATCTCAATAGAGCTGAGATACTATAAAGGATGACGCTTCCCCCCCCCCCATCTCTCTCTCTCTCTCTCTATCCCTCTCTCTCTCTCTCTCTCTCTCTCTCTTTCTCTCTCTTCCCCCTCTCTCTTTCTCTCTCTCTCTCTTGATCATCTCACCTCAACCCTTTTCCTATCCCAATAGCACGATCGCAAAAAATGATAACGAAATAATGTCAAATGAATAAGCCATGTCAAATGAAACCAAATCAACATGTGATTGGTGTTTCTCTCTCTCTCTCTCTCCCCCCCCCCCCCTCTCTCTCTCTCTCTCTCTCTCTCTATTTCTCTCTTGTCTCTTAAACCTCTTCATAAGATGTTACTCATCAACTCATCTTTATTGTCGCTCGGTGCTAATATATGATATTTACCTTATGTAAACAACCTCCATAGCTAGGCTCTTGACATGTCATACTTTCATGATTATTAGTCAAACCTACGAGATCGAGCTCAGACCGAACATTAATTACACTGCCCTAATGGCTAAGAATCAGTCCGTTCGGAGTCGGTTTGGTTGTGTGACAGGGGTGCTATAGGCCTGTGACGTCGGCTGATTAAAATTACTATGCACAACTTATACACGAGTCCAAGAATATGCCCTCGTTTTTGTTGACGTTGTTTTATTTGTTGTTGTTTTTTTGGGGGGGCGGGATATTTTCTTCAAGTTCCGGTTTTGGTTTTGGTTTAGTTTGAGTTTTTTGATGCTGTTTTGTTGATTGTTGGTAAATTTCGTGAATTTATTACCCCCTTATAACGAAAAAATGCCCGGTTCCACCTTTGGGTTTCAACCTTTCTGCACTAGTTTGGCCAGGAGCGATTAGACCTTCCTGCGTGGTCACTGGCAGGTGGTTATCTCATCAAATCAGCTCTCAATCAACATAAGAAAAAGAAGACCATGGGGGATCAACGGGTACCACTTAGGCATTGTTGGCTTTATAGAGGGCTCAAGAAGCTACAAGTAGTGCAGTCGCACTTTAAAGACGTATCGGAGTCAGTTTGGCGGTGTGGCTGAGGTTTAAACCTGATTATACCCCCTATCACATCAACGAAACGGACACCAGACGGACAACACAACTTACTGATCCAACAAAATCAAATTGGCCAGAATACCAAAGAACCAGTCAGTTTGGAGTGAGACTGGGGTAATTTTTGAGTGACTTCAGCTAATTAATCTTAAAATTCACACCTTATGATATTTTAGTACGAAAGCTTCTAAACGTGCCTTTCCCCTTTATGTCAGCAAATTGGGGGGGGGGGGTAATTGTGCACCTTCTTTAAAAGTAGAACAATCTTGGCTACCCACTTAGGTTTAAATCGCTTCGGAGTCGGTTACTCGGTGTGACTGAGGTATAGAATTGATTACTTGCATTAACACATAATAATATAGTTCCTCACATCCCGTTGCCTCCTGTCTCTCTTTTATTTTTGCCACCTGCGTAGGGCGTTCTGAAACAAATTAAACAAACACAAATCAGAATTGCAATTTAATTCGTCATCCATTCACGTTGCAGTAACCAAGACTCCAGACGGGGCTCTTTATCAATGCCCACTGTACCGCGGACGATGTATTTCATCGTTTCTTCTTCTCTCTCTTGCTCTCTCCTTTTCGACATTGACACTGCTACCCTGCACTTTGATACTAGTATGAAATGATTTTGATAGATGGCTTGGATATCTGACAATGGGATCTTTGGAGCATTGCGACTGGTACTGGTAGTGTTTTGGCTTTGGTAACACGCAACTTAAACCAGCTATGCGTTTAACACACGTCTCGATGCGAGATCATCTGCAATTTCCTGCAGTGTTTAAAACAGTACGGTACATCTAACAACGGATTATAATCAGTTTCATGATTAATTAACTGATACAGAGCAACTTTAGAGGGACACGTAACCTTCAGCAAAAGATGGAATAGCTGCTATGGTTTTTGTTTACATGTAAAGTGTTTTGGCGACATCCCCATGTGAGCCTGTGAGTCTATAATCGTCATGGTATCACGTAACAAGAAATTATAGACCTTTTGCTTTGGAAATATATCTTTAGGTGAGTAAGAGGTGAGTAAGACGAAAATATTTGTCACAAATTATTGTACGAACATGTCCATGTCTTCCAAGCTATGTCCCATACATCTTAATTTTCTAATGAAACTGTAAACATAAATTGACATACAAATATCATTTTAGTTGATGTATTTGTCCGATCCAAGCTCCTAAAGGGGAATTAGCTTGATATTTTACTTAATTTACTTTACTTGAATCAAGCGATGATATAGGACTATTGCCTGTTCATCGATCGTAGATGTCTTCTTCAGTGGTTATACATCGTCCTTGTAATTTCAAATTAATTAATTTAAAAAGTGGGAAAGGACAAAGGTGTGTGCAAACTTGCAATATCAATTATCAGCGTATGCAGCGCATACAGGCTCATAGACAAGATCATGGTATTTAGACCAGTTTATATTTTATCTAGTATATTCTCAAAACAGTTTACGGAAGTTGCTGAGATAACATATTCAGGAAGACTGTTCCACAAATGCACAACTCTGTTGCTAAAATGCTTCCTCATAATTATGAAGCCGAGAGTGCTGTTTGTCTAGTTTCATTCTGTGAAACAGATGTGTGATGTGATAAAGATATCACATACACTGGAATTGCTTGAAATATTGATTTTCAATATAATGTAGCCCTACCATCCTTAGTTACAGTAAAAGTCGGAGCAATTTTGTATTTTATTTTTGTATTTATTAACATTTATTTCCTTCTCAACAGCACAATATAAAACCCAATGTATATATACATGATATATGTAACAATTGTTTCAACATAGAGTATACAGTAAATAATTCAGATACGGAAGGAGGCGAAAACCCGGAAAGCTTGAGTTGGGAACGCCCATAATAAATTAACACAGTTACCGAAAGAACATTATAGATATTATTATGAAAATTACATTGTATATAACAGAACGTTGATAGGAAAGAAAAAATAGTGAAAGGAAGAAAGGAGAGAATTAAGTATAGGAAGGCATGTTCACCCATAAAGAGAAAGTTACATCAATTGGGCTGTACAATTAACTAAAAGAGTAACACGATGACCCGACATTTGCGCCTGTGACAATTATAAACTGGTTTACTAAAATATTCAAATTGTATGCATACTTTTTCAACGAAGTGAATGCTTGCCCGAGGCTTGCCCGACATAGCAACAAGTAATATATGCAGACTGGATTCCGAGTATTGTGGGAGAAATTTATCGCTTTAAACAGTTTGTCACTAGGTCCCCAGGAAAGAAACATCCATCAATTTAAATATGTTAGTAAACCGGCTTAATTTCTCCACGCTTTATTTCGGCATAGGTATAAGATCAGGGTTAGAGTAAAATAGGGTATGATGTAAGTTTGGGATTAGAGGTTGGATTAGGTACTATTGGGTCCAGTGTTGAAGTTAGGAATGCGTTTGGTGTAGGAAATTGACGCTCAGCCTTGGTCGCATGGACAAAGATTAGTGTAGGTCCGTGGCACTGGGTGGTTTTATATTGTTTACTTTTGAGGGCCACTCTAATCCAACTAAAATAGCCTTTCAAAACATGAATACACCTCTAGTTATTAATATTCCAGCCTCTTATTTTTCGGAAAATCTTTAAATTGACCAAAAAATGATAAAAGCCCTCCATTTTTCACAGTTCTCACGCTTGCTGGGCTACGCCCCTCGAAAAAAGTAATACGGTCATGTGGCTTGATGACGCATTTGACGTCATTGCGGGCATGTTCGATTTGATAATTTCATAATTTCATAATTAGGAATGACGAAATTGCCAGAAACGTACTGGGATTATCAAGTGCATATTATTTTCTTATAATTTTTCTTCTTCTTCAATTAATATCATAGTTTGCCCTTTTAAAGACATTTATGCCTAAGTCACCCTCCTTTTCACCGGAGAGGCGCCTGAAGTAACGTCAAATGCGTCATCACCGAAATTGGGCCTTTTTGTTGTTGAGCGTTCTAAGTCGTCGTTTTTAAAGCTAGATTCCAGAATTATTGATGATTTCTAAAAAAATCATTATCATGTTCGGAATCTCTGTCAAAAATTATTCTACATGTCTTTTATTTCTCCATCTTTAGCCCGTTTCGGTTAGAGTGGCCCTTTAATGGCGCAGTTATTGTAACATTGGCGAGGTTAACTGTACATATTTAAGGTATAAAATGCAGTTGTACATGCAAAGTATTAAGGTAAAGAGTAAATCAAGTTTTGGTATGATGATAAGTTCTTCTGAAAATAAAAATCGCACTTTTGTCTCGTTGGTAATTGTCTATCGCGTATTTTTTTTAATGAGGCGTGGTGGATATATCAACGCAAAAACAAAATTGTCAGGCATGGTGTCAGTAAGTAATTTCCAACATATTGTTACATGATTGAGAAATAAATATATACGGAATGAACAGTGAAAGAAAGAAAGAAATCAGATTTAGAGTAATTTCTTCTCATTCATATATATATAATGGTTAATAAAAACGGAATTGCCGAACTTCATAAGCAAGACTTGTCAATGTTATTCATTATTTGATTAATTCAATAATGAGTGGGTTCTTCTTATCTAGGCCTACAGTGCTTTTGTCGGTCACACTTGACATTCCTGGCGCTGATGTACTTACCCCTGCTTTAGCATGGCTGCTATAACAACGCTCTAACATTTTCATTATTCATGCCATAACTTTTTCCTAATTGGATTAAAAGGATTTTCAATCAATGCCACTATGGAATGGTTTGGAAAACACGCATATTAAAGATTAATATAAACAAATAAGATGTAATATCAAGTTAAGTAAATTCGAACAAAATAGTACTGACTTGCAGTCATTGAGTAAAACAATGTCTTTGTTCAAAACTATTCTGCGAATTTGTAATACTATTAATATCTTTATAAACATTCTTATATTAATCAGTGTAAGAAAAGATTCAGGAGAACAAAAAGTAAAACAAGTTTTAAATGAAGGTTTAAAATTAAAGGGAAAGTCCACCCCCAAAATAAGTTTGTTTCGATAGAGGCAGAATAATAAGAAAATCAGGTGAGTGAAAGTTTGAGCAAATTCTGAATGAAAATAAGAAAGTTATGAATTATTGAAGATGTGATCAATCAAATACAAATTGGCAACTCTGTGACTTATTATACGAGCTCTCCTTCATTTGCTTTGTGCATAATATTCCATAAAATCATGTTTTCTTCGTTATTGATGACGGAATATATATTTGTTCCTTGCAGGGGGAGTATAGAAACATATTTGCAATTATTATATTTAGGGTGCATGTATGGTTGAAATTTTTCTTGAGGGAAAATGAAAATTTTAGATTTTTTTAGTACTGAGCAAATGGAAGTTGAGCTCGCATGATACGTCATAGAGTTGCCAATTTGTGTTTGATTGATCACAACTTCAAAAATCCTAACTTCCTTATTTTTAATCGGAATTTGCTCAAACTTTCACTGACTTGTTGCTCTCATTTTTCTACTCCTATTAAAACTAACTTAATTTCAGGGTGGACTTCCCCTTTAAATGATACATTTAAACATTTGAAATTTATAATAGATTTATTTGATTTATTTCTTTTCATATTGTAGGCCTTATCATCATAATGGCGAGTATTTTGACGACCACTCCTCGCTTCCTGCAACTTGGGCTACTGATTCTGCTTGGTTTAGCGCCCTCAATGTCTGCTATTAGTACCTCCAATTTCACCGTCAGTGACGTCACGACCACAAGTGCGACATTCAGCTGGCTCATCGTCGGGCTCGACAAGGAAAACCAAACAGATTTACTCCGCAATTATATCACATTGAGCAACACTCTCAATTTCGCAGCCGGTACGAGTTGCCTGAACGTCGACGCGACCTCGATTACGTTTGATAATATCCAGCCGTACACGACGTATACCGCTTGCGTGGAAGTCATCCGACTAGAGAATGCCGATGACAAATGCAACGATGATTCCGTCGTTGTATCGCAAGATAAGGATCAGTGCGCGTCTTTGACGACGGAATTCGCGATGTGGAGCCTGCCCAACATCGCCGCCTTAGGCTGCGCAGGAGGGATCGTGCTCGTTTTCGTGCTCTCCTTTGCAGTTAATGCCGCACTTCGGAAACCGACCTTGAACGAAACCGTGGACAAGACGAAGATGAGAGATTGGTCGAAGAAGAAGAGGACTGAAAGCGTACGCGACTTTTTGGCATATGTCGACCTTGATCGCGAACCTTGAACACCTAAAGTGACTATAAAAAAATGTGTGTTTTCCTTTTAAATGTTCGTTATGGCGTGTGTTTTTTCTTCCCTCCGGGATTTCCCCGTTTTAAAGAGGGTGTAGCATGACGAGACTACTTGTCTTTCCCGTGGCCTGACTCAATAGGGACATTTAGATTTGCACGTTGACAGCTTTGACTGCAACGTGTGACGTCATTTTAAGGCACTGCGCATGCGTCACGTCGTCTCAGTCGGCGATCGAGAATGCGTCAACCTTGATTTTCCTAAATCTAGTACGGTACTGGTATGCCGCGTGCGCATAAAATATACAGTTCCTCAGGTAGACAAAGGAACATCGATCCCTTCCCTGCTATTATGTAAAAATGTGTAGAACAGGTGTCACATGCATATTCACCAGTTCTACACATTTTTACACAATAGCAGTGAAGGGATGTTCTGCATGTTTATCGTCGAGTGCAATCTAAGATTTCTAATAGACCAGTTCACGGTTAGCACATTACTGCAATGACCCCGAATATCCACAGATCTTCAAAACATGAAGAGGTCCCACTTTGTACATTGTGAAATAATCATTCCTACAGCGATGAAGGTGCTATATAACATAGCCTTTGTTTTCCCCTTTGAAAGAATACTTCCACCTGTGTATCATGGATTGCACTGAATGTGCAAGAATGAATAACGATTACATAACTTTCATGAGCACGTATCCAGTATTTCGTCTCCGTGTATTTCACAATTTGTTCTGCAATGACCTTGATCTGCTCATGCTCAGACTGCAACCGTGAACTCGCTTATTGTAGTCAACATGGGCAGTTGAGTACGTTGACACGCATGATCAGTCGGCGTTCACCGTGTTCTCGTCCACTCAATATAAAAGTCCCTAATGTTATGCGCGCGAAACCGAAGCGTGAGGAGAACTTCGGTCTGTTTCGCGAACGCTAGCGCGCTGACCGATTCGTTTACGTGCAGACGTCCAAAAGAAGTCGTAGATGGCGTTAACAAGTGTTTGCAATGCTACACCCCCTTTAAAACACACCGAAAATGATAATCCAGTGGACCTTCGATCACTTAATCTTTTGTGATTGTGTGTAAATATCACAGATACAACGAAATGAAGTCCTGCAATTCATGTAGCTTTGAATGAGAATTGAGACGTGTAATTTCCTGTGAAGAGAATAACAAATAGCTATGTATCTGTCGTTTTCTTTTTTTATTTCGGTGCAAAACCAAATACGTCTTGCAGATGTACTTTTGTATAAACTGAATAACGCCTTGGAGACTATAAATAATTGTGTGTGAATAAAATCCATTGCCGTTTACTGATTGCCTGAGTTGTTATAATCCGCATGTCATTTTGCATTTAATCTAAAAGAATTTCGATTGTACAGTCAAACTTACTTTAGTGACCACCTGTCTACAAAGACCACATTTTGTTGTTTCCCTTGAAAATGGTTTCTCATTGAAACATGCACTGAAGGAACCTGTCTACAAAGAACACCTGTCTACAAAGTCCACTTTATGTGTTTCCCTTGGGCGGTCGCTATAGACAGGTTTGATTGTGTTTGCATTCGAATAAAGGGTTTTATCAGAGCAGAGGGTAAAGTAATAAGATGATGACCGTTGGTGAACAGTGTAAAAGCTGAAGGAAGTATTACCTGTGGGGAGTCGAAGGGAGAAGACAAAGGAAGAGGAGGGGATATGAAGAGTAAGTATGTCTGCGAAGGAAAACCAAATCAAGCGGGTTTATTCCCCCCCCCCCACACACACACACACACACACACACACCCCTCTCTCTTTCTCTCTCTTTCTCTCTCGCTTCTCTCTCTCTCTCTCTCTCTCTCTCTCTTTTTTTTTCTCTCTCCACACAGTCATGGTCGGGTCCAGTGTTTTCCAAAACTACTAATACTACTACTACTACTATAACTACTACTACTACTACTACTACTACTACTATTACTCTACCACTACTACTTTTACTACTACCAATACTACTACTACTATTACTACTACTACTACTACTACTACTACTACTTCTACTACTTCTAGATAGATAGATAGAAATGGTTTTTATTAAAAAGATCATCGCAGCCAATGGCTGAATTGCGATCCATTTCACAAGGTTATATACAATACAATTGCAATTCAAATTGAAATAACACAACATATGACATAAATCAATAATCAAACATATAGACATTTCATAAACATTCATTGATCAGATTCAAATTTTTGTTAAAAAAAAAAAAGAAAAAAGAAAGAGATAGGGAGAGGTGTAGGAGAGGGAGAGTTGGAGTGATGACAAAGAGAGAGAAGGAGAGAAAGAAAGAGAAAGGGGACGGGAGAGAAAGACGGAAAGAGAGAGAGGGTTGAAGAGAGGAAGAGACAGACAAAGGGTACCTTATCATTACAGATGAGGGGAGATGGCAAGAAATATTCAGTATTGCAGAAAATTGAGATAAAAACTATCAAAATTCATTCACATATTTCAATCATGGACTGTGAAATTCTAAAAATATTGATATTACATTTTATTCAAAAGATTTATAAAGTAAGGAAGAGAGCTGCACTGGAAGCGTTTTGTTTTACATTGGTATTGTTTAAACTTTGATTGAGATCTTAGAGAATAAGTGCTTTGTTGTCTAAGAGGTAAACATTCTTTAAATTGTGGGTGTTTGACAAGTGCATTTGCAAAGTCTATACATAACTGCTTACGTCTTGCTTCTAATGAACATAGATTGCACGTTTCCAATGCTGCTTCATAATTTTCATACTGACGTCCTAAAATGATTTTGCAAGCTCTTTTCTGAATACGTTCTAAAATATATACATGAGTTTTTGTTAAATTACCATTAAAAACCGGTACCCCATAATCTAAAATCGAACGAATGTATCCTTTATATATTAGTAAAAGGTCATCTACAGGCAATCCATACTTCTTAAGGCAACGAAACATAAATAACTTCCTATTACACCTTTTTGTGAGATCGGATACATGACTATCCCACTTTAGGTTTGATTGTAAGATAATTCCGAGGACTTTGGCTTGATGAACATAAATTAATTCTTTGTCGCCAATGAACATTGAAGTTTGTTCATCACAATTTTTCATAAATGTTATAACCATAGAGAAACACTTGGACGGATTCAATGTCATATTATTTTTAGCTGACCATTGGTATAGATCAGTGATTGCATTTTGTAGTTTAGACTGAGATGTTACTTTTCGGCTTTCTACAATCGTTAAGTCGTCAACATATTTATAAATTGGTAAGTTAACATCATTACAGGCATCATTGATCATTACAATAAATAGAATCGGACCAAGTTTGGTACCTTGCGGAACACCAGCATTGATTGTTTTCAAATTAGATAACTGACCAAGATATTTTACCCTTTGTTGACGCAACTCGAGGAAACTCAGTATCCAAGATATTACACATGGCCTCACTTGCAGATGGATCAATTTGTTAATTACAATATTATGGTCGATGCGATCAAACGCCTTAGAAAAATCGGTAAGTATGATGGTGGATAAAGATTTGGGTTTATCAGCGTTGGCATATATTTGATGAAGAAGTTGTATCAAATAGTGGTTAGTGCTTAAGCCAGGCCGATTTCCATACTGATTGGGATCAATATGCCTGGTAATACCTTCAAGTAACCATTTACATATGAAGGATTCAGCAAGTTTTGCAAAGTAAGAAGTAAGTGAAATAGGGCGTAGATTTTGCAATGTGGGTGGTTGTGACTTAGGAATGGGTACAATTTCAGCTTGTTTCCAGAGTTGGGGGACAATAGAGCTCTGAAACGAATCATTTAGAATGTCAGTCAATGGGATACACAATTCGTAAGCAAATTCTCGTATTATTCTTACAGGTAGGTCTCCAGAAATCCCAGCTTTACGTTGATTAAGAGATTGCAATTGCTTGTATACTTCAAAAGGCTGGATGATTGGACATGTACAATGCGACGGTAAAAATGCAGGCAATTTACATCTATCCAAACAAGGAAGATCAGCTGCTACAGAAGAAAAATGATCATTTATGCAATCAGAAATAACCTTAAAGTTTGAAGGATTGCTAGTATCAGTATTTGGGATTTCAATGGGTGAAGATTGTTTCCTATTGTTAGTAAGGATTTTAATTTGTTTGTACCAGCCAGCAGGACTTGTTGTTTTTAGATTACGTACTCTGGTATTATAATACCTAATTTTTTGTTCTTTAATCAAACGTTTAGCTTTGTTTCGAAGGAGACGCCAAAGAGATCGGTCATTTCTGTGAAATGCCAATTGTCGCTGGAGGATGATAGTTTTAACTCTTGCTGTTACCCATGGTTTATCAATTTCATAACACTGAACCTCTTTGGCTGGTAAAAACATATTCAAATGATATTGTACTGTATCTATAAACACTTGGCATTTGTTATGTATGTCATTTTCACAGTAAACATTATTCCAGTCATAATGAACAATCCAATTGCCGAAACTTCGCATCCCGCTACTCTTTAGTGGGCGGATGACCTTCTTCAATTTAAACTTTTTCTGTTTGTAATCAGACCTGTTACGAGGTAACCATATAACACAATTATGATCACTTGTACTAATAGGAGACAAAATATTAACCTCTTTGTACAAAGAACTATTATTAGTTATTATTTTGTCCAGAATGTTCTCACCCCTTGTAGCTTGAGTAACAACTTGTTTAAAGCCACCAATGTTTAAGATTGGCTGGGTGTCGAAATCGTTAAAATCCCCTAAAATGGAGATGCCAGCTTCAGGGTATCTAACAAGCAGGCTGTCAATTGCAGTAAATAGATGATCAGTATAAAGGTGTGCATTAGGGGTTCTCGGAGGGATGTAGATGACACAGACGATCAGGCTAGCTACAATTCGCGGTAACCGTGGTGGCCTCATGTGTATCCATAATGCTTCAACTCCGTCAGGTACCGGGACGTCAAGGATGCTTGCCTGAAGATAATGTTTGGCGTAAAGGGCTACCCCTCCACCTGAACGGTCTTCCCTCGGTTTGGAGAAGAGCGAAAAACCTGGCACTGTAAACATTTCCAGTGGGATATCATGATTGAACCATGTTTCGGTGACAGCTATGGCATCAACCTTATTGACATCAGCTACTACAACTAAATCCTCATATTTATTCCTTAGAGATCTGCAATTAGATAAAAGGACAACTGGAGTATCATACTTTTTAGGCGAACTGCATGACTGTGGTATTACGTCAACTTTAATCAAGCAGGCAGGTAAAGATTCCTCCCTACAACGTCGTGGTGGTAGTCGAGGTCGGATGCGAACCGGAATTGAAATTGGAAAAGAACGATGGCGTTGCTTTCTGATGCCTCCCCGTTTTCCTCGATGACGTGTATGTTTAAAAGAAATTCCCAAATCTTTGATGAGTTTCCGTGTTTGAGTAAGAACACTGTTACTGTTACATAACGGTCGCAAATGGTAAAGTTCGGAAATTGAGTATCGGATAAAAGACTCCTTGTTGCAGTAGTTGTCATGGCGAAAATCTAATGAAGGGCCCGGGTTGGGGTTGATATCACCACATGAAAGGAGTTCAATCTGGAAGGAAGACTCGCCATTGGTATAGTAAAGTATTGGATGCTTAAGGTACTTAAGATGGCGAAGGCATACTTTACTAGATGTGGAGTAGGGTAAATTACTTTGTGTTGCTACGTTGTGTTCATATAGGAAATATACCCCTAGGCAAATACACACAGGCAATAGGCGAACGAAAGTTGCATTCCACATGATAGCGTTCACACAACCACACGCTATTCACATACGTCCATTGTCTTTTCAACATGTTCAAGGCTGAGTGACCAGCGGGAGATTTGAATGTACTGTACAGTGTCGTGCTGCTATCGCAAGATGGTCGTGTAGAGTACAATGTATAAAGTCAATGGCGTACACCAAAAAAAGTCAAAACGCTCATAAACGTTGATAAACAATCTTTTACATAACTTACATGGTCCAGATATATCAGTTCATATACAGTAGTAGAATACTCAGCATCTGAGACTTGAAGATGAAGGAAAAGCGATGAAAATACAGAGCAAAGTCATGTAAAGAGAGAGCTCTGAATAACGACGTGCTGCCTGTGAGGCGCCATCTATAGATTACTCATAGATTACTCATAGGCGCCGGAAGTGGGGTGGCAGGGGGGCGCTTGCCCCCCAGTCAAAAATGGGGGGGGGGGGCAAAACGCATTTTTGCCCCCCCCCCCCTCCAAAAAAGAAAGAAAGAAAAGCAATGAAGGAGTAAAGATGGTTTGTATTTTTAACCCCAAAAAACATAACAATAATACAAACCTGGATTATATTAACATATAAAATTCCATTCAAAGAAAAGGGAAGTAAACAGGAATTAAATTTCCTAAACATTGCGCATGCCACCTATATTTATCAATGGAGGTTTTTATCGTGGAAATGTTGTGAGAGGATGGGAAAGCGTGAGTGTTTTTGTTATAGGGATGAGAAGACATAGGACCCTGAAAACTGGCGCATTCTTTTTTTTTTTTTGGGGGGGGGGTAATTTCTTATTCGATACCAGTGATTTACAAATATTGCTGAAAATGACATTATTTTCCGGTATTTTTTCTCAATTTTTGTGTCATACCTTTTTAATGCGTTTGTTGGAAAAATTAGAAATTCCCAAATTTACAGTCAGGCGAATTATGCTTATTTAGAAGCCTTCATGTCAGGGCTTGCAGAACGGCTTGGCTCAGGGGCTCGAGCCCCCCCCCCCCCCCCCCCCCTCAATTTTCGAAAAAGTATGTTACAGAGAACAAGAAAGAAAGAGAGAGAGAAAAGATAAGTGACCTGCCAATGTCACAAATGAGGTATCAAAATATGATCATCTGACCGTAGTTAAATGCCTAAAATCCCAGAGCTTACGGGGGCGGACCCTGCTAAGGGCCCTAGGGCGTGCCCCTGGATGCTCATCTGACCGTAATGAAATACCTAAAACCTCCGAGCTTCCGGGGGCTCTGCCCCCTGGACCTCACCAAGGGCCCTAGGGCGGGCCCCTGGATGCTTATCTGACCGTAATTATATACCTAAAACCCCTGAGCTTCCGGGGCTCTGTCCCCTGGACCCAACCAAGGGCCCTAAGGCGGCCCCTGGATGCTCATCTGACCGTAGTTAAATATCTAAAACCTCTGAGCTTCAGGGGGCATCAATGGCCTTAAAGAGTGCCCCTGGGGGCTCATCTAACCGTAATTTATTAACTAAAACCCCTGAGCTTCCGGGGCTCTGCCCCTGGACTCCCCGCCAATTAGTGAACTGCCATTGTCACAAATAAGGTATCTAAATATGCCTATCTGACCATAATTTAATGCCTAAAAAAGTGAGCACTATTTTTTGTTCTGGTTCTTTGAAAATTTTAAAAATCGCACCCCCCCCCCCCCCCCCCACCCTTGAGCGCCCGGGGAGGGGGCCCATCTACAAAAAAAGAGGTTAAAATAACGTGTTTTTAGACGTCCGTTTCCCAAGGGGGGCCCCCCCCCCCCCTGGATCCGACACTGGGTGAGCCTCCTGGGATGTTTGCCCCCCCCCCCCCCCATCCCAAACTGCTCCCGGCGCGCCTGCTTCTACTACTACCAATACTACTACTATTATTACTGCTACCATTAACTATGATAATTAACAAAAATGATAATAATGATATTGTTAGTAATAATAATAATAACAATAATGAGAAATTTTCTTGCTTATAATTATATTATAAGTTAGCACATAATAAATGGAGGGGGTAGGTCGAAATTTCCCCTTACAGTTCACTGTACCAGGGTGAAATGTCGACAATCACGATTATCTCTCTACCCCCCCCCCCCCCGGTCCCTCTCACTCTCTCTCTCTCTCTTTCTCTATCTCTCTCTCTCTCTCTCTCTCTCGATGTATACCAGGTTTTCATCACGAATGGAACGACCCCAAAACAAAATGTTTACATACTCAGTATACCCCCGCCCTCGACCCTCTCTCTTCTCTCCTTTTATTCCTTTACTCTCTTTCTCCCTTCCCTCTGTCTGTCTGTCTTTCTATCTATCTTTCTCTCCCTTCTACACCTCACAACTCTCTCTCTCTCTCTCTCTCTCTCTCTCTCTCTCTCTCTTTTCTCTTCCTCTCTCTCTCTCTTTTTCTCTTCCTCTCTCTCCCTCTCTCTCTCTTCCTCTCTCCCTCTCTCTCTCTCTCTCTCTCTCTCTCTCTATCTATTTATATATATCTCGCCTTCCAATTGACACGCTCGGAGTACTTGACCATAATAATAATATGCACTTTTGTCACGCCACACACAAGGGCACACAAGTCGTGTGTATTCAGAGAGCCAAACCTTCTATTGTATTCCGCACTCAAAAGAGTGACATTCTTCCACTCCAATTAGCATGACAGTGGGACGTCCATGATTCACCGGGTGGGAAGATTTTGGTACATTTAATTCTGCTGTCAAAAAAAGAAGGATATAAAATTCCTCGTACGTGTATATAATATTCCACTGTACGTATGGACTAGTATAGTTCGTAAGCTTCGCGCGGACATTGGATGGTAGGTAATATGTTTCTTCTTGTACTGGCAGTTGTAAGTATAAACTCACTAATTAATTTTTTATTTTTTATTATAGCAGATCAATGCTTTGCCTTAAATTGTAAATCATGAAGTTGCGAATACGATTGTCGAATTTGAAGGAGAAGGTCATTCTTGACGAAATGATGATGAACGAATCACTGGGTAGTGCGTTCACATATTTCACGTTCAATTTACAATAATATTGTCACCATAATATTACTTGTTTTTGGTGTACCCAGGCTTATATCAGCTTGCTTGCTTGGAATAGCCACCTCCCCCCCCCCCCTCACTCCCATCCCCTCCCCCTCCCCTCCAAAGATGTTTTGCCATTAATTTTGTTGGTTTGGAGAGAGCGTTAATAATTGACTTTTTATGATGTAAGTGACCTAATTTATCTTCCGAGTTGCGATCCCGCGTCATTTATTTAATTAAATTGAAGGAGAGAATAGAAGACAAATTTACGGTGTATATGCGAATTTTGATGCAATTGTAACATTATTTTAGAGTATGTATTTAAATCTGTCTTAATTTGTCTAGTGAGTGAAAGACGAAAAGCTTCAGATATGCCTCCCTTCAATTTCTTCGATTTTGTATCACCAATCATATCTTTATTTTGCTTTCATTATGTGCTTTCAATTATCAAATCATATTCTTTCCCTCAGTGTTATATTTATAGAAATAGGCCTATAATATCTTAATTAATTTAAACACGTTTACGTGTTCACATGTTAGTTAGTATTTGACCCAATCCCACGTGTGGCATGTGTATTCCTATCGCAATGGTGTTCCCCAGGGCGAGGTGCTAGTTCCTTTCGAAATGTCGGAGGAAGCTAAAATGGTCATAGTAGAGACAGCTAGAGGGTGAGAGTGAAAGGGTTACAAGTTCAAGTTTCTGATTAGTGTAAAACTTTTAAATATCATTCAAAGTCTGTTACTCTGTTATGAGTACCTCTCCTCAGAATTTACAACAAAAATTGCACATTCTCCTCGATTATACTTGAAGATTAAGTAGACCTATTGATTTTGCAATTATAATTATATCAAGTTTGTATATCTGCTGAATAACCAGATAATGTATTGTCATCTTTCGGACTCTGTTCCACCCCCCCCCCCCCACTTTTCTCTCTCTATTTCTCTCCTTCTCTCTATCTCTCTCTCTCTCTCTATCTCTCTCTATTTCTTTCTGCTCTTCCTCTCTCTCTCCATCCCATTCTGCTTTACTCGTGACGTGTATCACTCCCAAAGTACAACAAAAACTATTAATTTACTCGTTTACTAGGTAGGCCAATATACATATTGAACGGCGATTGCAAAATGTTAACTAACGCCTTTATGTGTCAGTATATATCTATCTACCTGCCCCCCCCCCCCTTCCCCAACTCTCCCTTTTTTTCCTTCTCCCAGGTAATCCCATTCACAAAGTACCACCAAAGTACCAAAAAGCTTACTTAGTACATAATTACTGGCGATTGCAAAATGCTAAATAGCACCATTAAATGCCATTATAGTTGTAAGTTACATAATTAGCCTACAAACTTAATATGAAGTTTATGGCCCATTACTGTTACCATAATTAGTATTCAAACATGATAAGGACAACAGGATGAGTGTTAACGACAAAATTGTGATATATCATATACGACCATGGCGAGAGGGAGAGAGAGAAAGAGTAAGAGAAAGAGAGAGAAAGAAAATAGAAAGAGAGAGAGAAAAAAAAATAGAGAGAGAGAGAGAGAGAGGGTGGGAGGGGGTGAGGTGTGTGTGGGAGATGCGGGGGCGGGGTGGAGATTATGGTTCAGTCGATTGTCTATATGTCCAAAAATATAGTATGTTAACTGAAAATATCAAATATAACAAAATTATTATCAAGATTATTAGATGTATTACAAATTCATTTTTAGAGCCCACTTTGATCTGAAGAAAAAATATATGCATTCAAAAAGTCTTTCAACACAACCACTCATCTACAACATTATTTGGTACAATTTTGTGTTAAATATCTATAATATCCTGTACCCATTAAGCTTGAAAACACTTAGTCTATATATTCATTATATTATACACATAATTATTTCAGATAATATTCAGTATTATTGTAAATATACTGAATGTATACGCGTTAGGGTAACACATACACAAATATTATGTACATACTGTACATTTATTTAGCCATTAACGATTGTAGTGTTACAAATATGGTTGCCACTATGTAGTCATCCATATTATTTATTTTAGGGATGACCTTCATTGTTCAGGAATTTAGCTCCCCAAAATATTAAATCAACAGACGGTATGTCATATCTAAAAATATGTTTCCTTAATGAGTTCCAATTGCAAAGCGGGTGTCTAACATAAACATTGAGCAAAACTATCACTTTGACCCCCCAGTGACAAATCAAAATGATTGTTCAGAGTCCTGCACTCTCATTCAAGTAGAAATGTTGTACATATATCTCAAATGGGTTTTGATTATTCAACCCCAAGTTGATAATATGTAGGCCATCGGCTATCGGAGGTTGACCCCTAAAGATTTTAACGAGGAATGTCCTGTAATTTTATGTACAATTCCATATTCCAAAGCCGAACACTTACAAGCAGCATCTAATTCCATATTTTATTCGTAGACACGGAAACCAGAAACCGCGGTGTAAGTTACACCACGTGCTTGATGTTGGAGATGGGTGCACAGGGCCACACGCCCCTCCCCCTAATAAAAGATGATCTTTAAAACGTCTTAAAGGCTTGATTACAGGGCTTAAGGTGGATTTATTTGATCCCCTATCGTTGACATTTTACCCACTAGCTGGCCAGCAATATTCCAGGTTCATGACCTAGCCCTAAAACTCACGAGAATATAATTATTGCACCCTTGAAATTGAAGGCGGTAATCAAAATACAGCCGAAAGTAGTGGCATGGCGCCGGATACCCGGAATTGGGGGGGGGGGCACGGGTGTCATAGAGGTGAGAGCACCCGACGTACCAGATAGGTGAAATGCCAGGAAAGATAAGATGGCTGTCGTGTGGTAAGGGCAAGAATTAGTGGGGGCGGAGAGTTTGTATTTTTACGTTACATTTCCTTATCTTCCGCGCTCTCTCCATCTCTCTTTATCTCTCTCTCTCTCTCTCTCTCTTTATCTCTCTCTATTTCTCTCACGCTCTCTCTCTCTCTCTCTCTCTACCTCAACCCCCCCCCCCCCCACCCTCCTCCCTTGCTATATCTCTCACTCACACAATCTACTTCTCTGTCTTTGTCTAGCTATCTATCTATCTCTTTCGTTATTGTCATTCGATTCGGGGGCAGGTGCCCCTTGCACCTCCCATTAGCTACGCCACTCGGCCGTACATACAGTGGTAGGAGGAAGCGCTCGAGTATTTTCAGTGATACCGTCTGCTTTCGAATTCCTGTTTGCCCCTGTACTGTGCGTAGAAACATCATGGATTCGGGTCACTGTAACTGTGGAGCTTTCGTAAATGTATGCTTATCTGTTTTATTTCGGAAATTCTTGTTGCATTGAACTGTTTCGGGATATTATATCAAGAACTGAGTGGACTTTTGTGTTTAACTGGCATTTAACCATGAGCATGGACAATATATCATTGTTGATGTCTTGTGTTGTGGAAACAAGACAATCTTGCATTTGACTGTGAACACTGTACACAAGGCTTTGAATCTTGGGTTTTGGGTCCATCTTTCGGTGAGTTCTTAATGGACTGATGTTTGTTCCTATGTTATTAATGATTTATAATATTAATTGGATAATTTTATAGAAAAATAAGTGATTTGATACCCTCTTCACATTTTACATAGCATTGTCTTTTTGTGGAAGCATGCGTTTTAAGATGTCTCTTTCAATTGACACTATTTCTGGTAATAAAAGTGACATTTTTTAAAGAAAAATAATAGTGACATGCTTTCATTTTCGTTTTCATTTTTCAGGAATCCCTTCTGAAAGTACGTCGTTAAGATACCCTTTTTCTATTGATATTAATTCTGGTAATAAACGGATATTCTTTCTAAATGGCCGTGATTTGATTACCAGTTTTAGCAATCTCTTTCTGTCAAGGTATGGAAATTAAGATGTCTTCATTATTTCAATTGATATTGGTGATGTACTAATTAACACGATTAACAGTAGTGAGCGAAGTTGGCAATAATTTGTTTGTATATGTATTATTACCACTGTTGAGATAAAGATTTTAGTGAAACTAAAAAAAAACGTTCAAAATGAAACTTCCCTTCAGTTTTTCAGCTAATATGGCGATATGAATTATGGAAAACCAATTTCGCATGCCCCCTGCATATATCTTACGAGAAAAAAAGGAAGGAATATTATTGGGACCTAATTCAATAAAGGATCTTGTCGTATACGTCATATTGTTTCCAAATCATCACTTCCTTTTTCTCTTTCTTATACCTACTGGTACTAAATAATTGCGGGTATGACTGTTATTCAAAATTGTATGTACGGTCATTTCTGAAGAAATATGTAGGTATTCTCTCCAAGTAGTTTTGTCCATAATATCTATTCCATTTCATGTAGAATATTTTGTTAATCCCCCCCCCCCCTCCCCCCTTCCTTTGTAAATATATTAATGCTATTCATCTATTCCTTCGAATCTGTTTTACTCCCTTACTTACTTCGCAATTCCTTATTCTTTACTCTCAATGCATGCAATTTCCTTGATATTGATTTAATTTCTGTAACAAATGCCTTAAGCATAATTATGCAAGAAAGATACGCTGAAGAGTAATAATACAATGAGTACAATGTCGTGGGTAAACGTTTTGATGCGTGTTGTTGTTTGGGTTGATAGGCGTTTATCAGTCAGAAGTAAATATTTACACCATAATGCATTCACGAATAGCCTAATGTCAAGGCTAAAGTGTTACGTAAATATGATATCAATATATTTCTATCACTTATTTCATGTGCTCTTTATGGGGGGGGGGTCATGACCTCCAGATTTGGTTGTCATTGTGATTGTTTTGTTTTTAAACTATATGAGACTAACAAATAAATGTTATGGATTATAATCACTGCCCCCCCCCCCCCAAACAAAATATGTATTGCGCTTTGAAATTAGGCTATCCTCTTCATGCCTCGGGTGGCTTGCTCCATACGTCATAACGTTATACATCGCTTCCGCTTTCGAGCTCAGAGCAATCCCATGGGCGTGTGATACTCATCTTGTTCAGATTTTTGAAGTTTCCTTTCTGAAATTTGATGGAACTGTGCGGTTATTAATATCTAGGCTAATAATATATGGGGGCGGTTTATCGCTGAGGCATATATGGCTGTCAAAAAGAGTCAGGGAGCTATGAGTGTAGGCCTATATTGGACCACACTGCACTATTCCTGGTGAATTTGGAGGGAAAGGGTTATTTAGAGGAAAGTTCCTTTTGATCCCCCTCCCTCCCCATACATAGCTATCGGTGGTACTATCTCTTATAATCAATTAAAATATATGAGGGAATTTGTTTGCACTTAATTATTCTTTAGACGCTTAGGTCTGATGAGCACTAATCATATCTGTTTCACAATTCCAATCACCACCCCCACCCCCCTCTCCCTCTCTCTCTCTCTCTCTCTCTCTCTCTCCCATCTCCACCATCTCTCTAGCCCCCCTTCCTCTCTCTATATATCTATCTCACTCTTTCCTTCTCTCCCGGAAACCCTTTCTGCTTGCCTTTCCTTCCTCATTTTTTCTAATGTAACCCCCCCCCCCCCAGTATCTCTCTCTCTCTCTCTCTCTCTCTCTCTATCTATCTATCTTTTTCTCATCTGTAATTTCCCTCTTTTCTCTTTACCTCCCCATTCCATTTCCATTTCCATGTGGTTTCAGTTGTATGGTAACTAAAACATTGGTCATGGATTCGATTAGAATATAGATCTCTTCGTGCAACCCCTGCAAAATATAGGTAGATGCCAGATTCTTCTTCTTTTTGGGGTCCATACGGTGTCAAGACTTAGTGTCGCATTGTTTCTGGCCATGCTTACTCTAAATCTCTAAATGTATGAATCGGGATATGCCGTGGTTGAAATGATTAGATTCACCCACAATTGACCATGCAAATACAGAAGATTGTTGGACCAAGAAGAGAGTTGGATTAAAGACATGCCACATGCCTCTGGCCCATCAATTATTCAGTAGGATTTGCTAATGTCTCTTAATATCTTCTCAACTTTTGATTAGTGTCAGCTAGCTGATATGAATTTTTTCGTACCTAAACATAAAGTTCGTGATTCTGCAATATATATATCCAAATATTCTATTAAAGGTATGTTGTTTTCTATATTTTTCTTTAACAGTGCGTGATGACCTCTATGTGGTAGAATGATGGCATCCAGCGGCAAGATAGCGAGAGGTATCCTTGTCTTTCTTCTCGTTGTTCTGGGGAGTTCTCTTCGGGCTGCTTCACAGTCTGTCTTCATTGAAATTGCGAACATCACCCACAACTCTGCCTTTCTGTCCTGGGACATCCCCGTTGAGGGCGCCACAGTTCAGGCATTCCAGATCAGCGTTGACTGTCGTCTCTGCGTGCCTTTCGACGTTTCCGCAAACACCGCCAGTACTCAACTTACAGAACTTAAAGACAATACGCGATTCCAAGCTTGCGTGACACCCTTCACAGAGGCTGGTCTGTTGGGATCGGAGTGCATTTCGTTCAGAACTTACTTGTCGCCTCGGACGGTGGGGGCGCTGTGCGTTGGTCTTTTCCTCGTTGTGTCTTTCTTCGTGCTGCTCGCGATGGATTTATTATGCAGGAGGCACCAGATTGAGGTGGAGGACGCAAAGCGAGATGAATTACTCGAGCAAGGCTGGCAGACGTTTAAGAGAAGCAGCACAGGAAGGGTCGGGAAGAAAATATCCAGGGCATCCGCTGCTCCCAGCATGGTGCACGCTCGATCAGAAGATGATGGCTTTCAAAATGTCGGTGACGTCACTTTTGAAGAGGACTTGCCCGAATGAACTTACACGATCTTGAACATGATTGTCAAATCCTGAACGAGCCCCGGATATATTAGCCGTCAGTGCCTCTTCACCAGACTTCGCATAACATTGATCATACAGCGAAGACCATTAAAGAGATCGAGGCATATTTAATGAACCATCCTCTGTATTCAAGCATTATGATACATTCCTGGAGACATGGTAATGACAATTTAAAATCGATCTTTTCTGTCACTGATTATAACTAATTTTGTGTGGATGCAAGTGGTGTACATGGATTCGTCTGCAATATTTGAACTTATTGATGGATGCGTCACTCATGTAGCAAAATATGCAACAAGGATCAACCTGAAATCCGCAAGCATTTCTCGTTTCGCAGGTCAGGATATTATGTAGCTACAGAATAAAATCTGATCTTTTCAGTGGTGTCAAGATGCTGTGCCAAATTGAAAAACGAAGAAAAGTGTGAAATCATGAACTTTTGTAATATCAGATTATATATCATGTCTATTTTTGTTACTCCTCAAACTCGGAGATACGTTGCTTCTGTATTGGAATTATTATACAGTTCTTATTTCAAAATCATGGCGACATTGCATGATGGTGTACTAGGCAGCACTTCACAAATTTCACTCGGTAATGGTGAGAGGAAAAAAATCTGCGCAATTGTAGCGGTATCTTCGGAGGCACCTTACCTCTGCACCAGCTTTGGCAAGAACTGGGGGAGGGGGGGGTTCACAAAACTTGTCATCAGTGACAAATGGCAGTTTTTGTTATAAGCTACTAAAATCCTTGCTTCTGATTGGTATCAGCAGATTTGTCACTGATTTATGTCATTTGTCATTGAAAAAAAGGCTTTGTGAAAAGGGTCCCTGTTCATCCTGCATATGCCTCGTCAGTCACCAGTAAGGCCTGCTCAAACCAGAGAAAAACTTCCAAAAATCTTTTGTGAGAGGAGATGAGCCAGTAGATTAAATGAATTCAGAGTCATTTATTATTTCAAGTACGTTAAAGTAATCCTTTAAACATGCTTGACATAGAGAACCTTATTTCTTTCCTTTCAAATAATGTCCCCAATGGACGGTATTATCTGTTATATATTTTTTGTTACACCCTTCTGTTTCAAAGTTTATTAGTGGGTACGGTATCTTGTTGCATTCACCTTCAATTAATTTCTATTAAAGTTTGCTGCAAATGAGTCGAACCTTCTTAATCTCTTTTGTATTCTGTAATGTTTCCTACTATAGAATATTGTAGGACGCTATTGTGAATTTTAAAATCTGAAATATGAGGGGACGACTCGACCATGTTGTGTGATAATGCGTGGCCGAAGTATTGGGGATAGACAGAGAGATACAGAGATGGTGAATTTGTGAATAAAGATGACGGAGACACAGGGGGGGGGGGGAGAGGGGGACGAGGGTGAGTGAGAGGGAGATGATTTTAAAGTTGTTTATCATATTCTACTAATCCATCATGATTTATTTTTGAACACAACTCTCTATACTATCTACATATCACTTTCTCTCTCTTTCTATCTCGTTCTCTCTCTCTCTCTCTCTTTCTATCTCTCTCTCTCTCTCTCTCTTTCCCTTCCTCCCCCTCTCTCTCTCTCTCTCTCTCTCACTCTATAATCATTCATCGGCAGTGGATCACCTATCATTTATCACACAATTCATCTAATTCAAAACGAGTTCCGACTGTCCATTAACATAGTCTCCCAGTATGTAGAAATAATGATTTGAATATATCACAACAAATATACTTAAAGAAAAGTTGTAATGGTTTAAAAATTTGAATTTTATTCTTCCATGACTAAAAAAAATACTCATGAAATATTTACATTTTCTCTTCATATCTATGATCACTATTTATACTGCTAGTTTCAGTCAGTGTACACAAAGACTGGAACACAAAGACATGATTACCACTTCATAATCATAATTACTACATACATGAAAACACCTGCAATCACCGGAATCAATGAATTACAGCTGAATCAATGGAAGGAAAGATTATCTGGACGAATTTCTTTCTTGCCCGTTTTCCATTTTGCAGCATCGAGTTATTCTTCAAACTTTAGTACGTCTCTAAAAATGCTCAATTTACAACAAATAAAGCCAGGTAAATACATATAGTACTTTTATACTGAATATGGTTAAAAAATAAAATACAAAAATATGTAAGCACAATCGTGCATAACCATTTTCTGAAATATATACATGTACTACATGTATCTTAAGGTATCTACAAAAAAATCTTAACTCTATAGGCTATATCAACTAAGTCGATTGTTTCGGACAATAGACCATTTCGTAGCACATGGATAAAATGACCCCAAATATCCACAAATCTTTTACTCATGGAGAAGTCCCACTTTGTGTATTTTAGAATATTCAATGCCAAAGTCATGTATGTGCTTCATGAAAAGCTTTTGTTTGCCCTCTTGTTTCATAAGTATGTACCGTAGGTGCACACATGAATATGATTACATAACATGAGCACGTATTCCTGTCGGTGGGTTTTACAATTTTATCAGAAATGACCTTAATCTGCCCATGCGCAGATAGTATTTACAAAAAGGCTTATACCAACGACATTATGTCTTACGATACGATCCCATATTTAGGTATGGTATCTGTCTGTTTTTACATCGAAATCCACAGAAATATAAGAGATATCAACGGCAGAATGACGGAGGCGCAACGCGCAAGGACAGTAGGGTGCGCGCTCCCGGTGCACATCGGCGGTTCTTCGGTCGCACGCGTGCACGCGTTATCCTCGCTGTCCGAATAGCAGGCTGCGTAGCGCACGACGTGCGGGATGTAGTTCTGCTCGTGCGGCGGCGCGTTTCCGTTTTACACCCTGCCCTAGGCTTTTCGGCAAGAAATTACACGAAACATGCTGTATCCGAAGTCTAAGTTTGTTTATATCGACGTCAAGAATAGCGAAGCCAAAGCTTATGTACAATTTCAATTGGGGATGCGAGGGTCTTCTTGTTCAAGACGGTTTTCCCGATATATTATTGTTTTGTTATCGCTGGGCTAAATTTTGCGAGCTGATCACGCATCCTCACGCTCTTAGAGTATTGCGTATTAATGGATAAAAATAAATGATACGACTAGGAAGATCAACTAGTTAGTATAGAGAGTTAGCTAGCGCTACGTGACGTTTTCAGAGTTCTGGTGGTGTGCAGAGCGCCGAGGCAAGATGTGGACGACTAGACTCCGAATACCAGTCGGTTTGTAAAATTTTATTGGAGAAAAGCCTAGGGCAGGGTGTAAAACGGAAACGCGCGTCCCGTGGAATAGATGGGACCACGGGCCGTGCGCGTAAATGGCTACGTCAGCACCTCCGTGGGTTTCGGAAATTGCTGGAACCGTTGCATCTTGAACAAACCCTTCCGAATCTGCAGAATCAAAAAGGAAAAAAACAACAACGAATTGATCATCAACTCTAAAATAGTTGTGTATAAACAATATGTAGCAACCAATAATCCGAAAAGTATGAATGGTCGCAACAAGGTAATGGGAATAAAGAAAATTAATAATGGGACTTCATGAGGTGTCATTAGATGGGATGTGGGCTTCAACATCATAAAAATTGTCGACAAAAAAGTGTTTTCGGTAGATTAGGAAATTCCTGACCCCTCTCTGTTACTGTCGGTAAAACAAACGGAAACAAAATCCGAGGACATTTTACTCTTCGTCTTCTGGCTTATTGGAACATCAAAGAAGAATAACAAATTATGCTTGTCGGCAATTTTTAAAATGTTTGTAAACTAACAAATATTAGGCCTTTAAGGGGTTCCTGGGGGTCTATGGAGTTGAGATTCTTGCATGCATGTTCTATATGTGCCTCACGAAAAAGTTTTGAGTCCCCCCCCCCCCCCCCCCCCCTTCAAGAAAGAAAAAGAAGGGAAAATGCTAATGCAGATTAGGTCCTCCACCCTCAAATGGTGCGACTTTTTAGTATACATCTTACGCTCATGTTCTCAAACTGAAACACTCAGGATTGAATCTTGCCCCCTCCCCCATCTAACCCAATCCATCAAGATGTCAAGCATCTACAGCCGCCTCTTGCTTTTGAAAATCTCTAATGTCTGTTGCACATGAAGCGTCGTTTCGATTGCGTTGTGACCTGCGCTAATCAATCAAAATCAATTTAGATAATTGGCCCATAAATATGCTAAAAATGCCACTCATTGTTTGTACTATTCATGTTACGATCATTATTCACACCGCGTCACACTCACACGGGGCGTCAAAATCGGTGCCATTCACTGACGCAGTGCTACGTCAAACAGATGACGCCTCGTGTGTAACGGGCATAAGGTACCCATAGCTATTTGACTCAGAGATAGTTGTGACAGCGGACGTCGATTCTGATTGGTCGGCCATTTCATGGAGTTCCAAATATTTTCCTCCGATAGGGAATGTGCGTGAGAGGTAGTTATTTGGAGTTCCATGATTTAAAGGTAAAGGCCAGTATTGGAAACGCCCCAATTTCAAAAAATGAAATGGAAGCTCTCATTACCAATCATGTGAAAGAATATGTTTTGACTAATACATGATGATAAAAAATTTGCCGGGAAACCGCCTACTAATTCATATATTTGGTAAATTTGTTTCTCTCATGGTCTGTGAGAGATATAGGGTAGTCCCATATACATCTTTCTGTGTATAGTGCTTGTAACTTTACGAAGAATGGGCCAAATTTCTTATCATTTTGATGATTCCAGAACCTTGCAGATGCTAGATGCTAGATGATCAACCTTTTCTGATCGATTCCACAACGTTTCTTTCACAATGCAATCGCATGACCATAACTGGTCTTTACCTTTAAGATATGCATCGCATATATGCGCGTATCACAACTATCTCTCTCTTTAAGATGTTCATGCGTGGGAATATAGTTGTTAGTGAAGTAGGCAACCTGGCAATCACTACCCGTGCGTACGTCAATGTGCTGCCCTCTATATACCCACGCATGAGCAACTTTAACATGCTTTGAACGCACCGTAGTCTGAAGTGTAGTGGTTGGGTCGTGCCCCTGTGTTGATATAGCTATCAGCAAGAGCGATGCCGCCTGGTCCATTGGCGTAAGACAGCGTCAGGTACGGCTTGTCATCGGAGCCGTTGTTCCGATCGTCATAACCTAAATGGGCAGTGATGAAAAGAAAAACACAAATTGGTTGGTTGGTTAGTTTTTAGATCAAAGTGATTGATTGATTCATCGATTCATTCATTAAAGGGCAATCAAACCCTTGTAATAAGCTGATTTGTATGAAAGCAGAAAAATAACTGAAACAGTATGGCAAAAGTTTCAAATGAATCGGAACAATAGTAAGAAAGTTACGAATTATTGAAATAAGAGATCACTAACTCTATATGCGAATCTCCAATTGGTAGCTCGGTCAGTGGATTATGACGTAGGACTTGGATAACTCTCCCATTGCCGTGTACAAAATATCATTAATTTCTGTTTTTCTCGTAAGTTCCTTCTCTCTTGGGGCACTACTAAAAATGTACTATAAATAGCATATTAATATACTAGGTCCTCTAAAAAGAATAGACCATCCTGAGCAATACATTTAAATAAAAATAAAAACTTTAGTCATTTATAATTATTGAAACAGATGGGAAAGTAGTCTGGCACTACATCATATTGACATTCCGCTTCAGCCAATTTGTGCCCATACGTATAGTGATTACAACTTTCAAAATTCATAACTTTCTTATATTTAGTCATTAAAACTTTCATCAGTTGCTTCTCTGATTTTTCTGCTTTCTTTATGAATAGTTGTCTATTTTCCTTTAACCAAGTTACAAAGCAACGCCTACCAAATATCGGGTTTCCTCGACTCGCGTACCCGCCTATAGCGAAAGCATGCCCGTGATCGGCGGTCACCAAGATCAGGGTGTCGTCGCTGTCTGTCATCTCAATGGCCTTGGCAACGGCCTCGTGGAAGGCGATGGTGTCGGTGAGAGCCTTGTGGGCGACCCCCATATGATGACCATGGTCGATACGTCCACCTAATCAAAGGAAATAAACAGAGCAAACATTGGGATGAATGTAGCATCAAGTGTTGTAGCTTCAGTAGTATTGTTGTAGTCGAGTGGTCTAATCACTCGACTGGGAATGCAAAGGTCGTGGGTTCGTTTCTCAGTACGGTGCTTTTTGTACATGAGCAGGGAATTGTATTTCCCCTCTGGTTATTATCTCTGACAGAAAATTCGTAGGGGATACTCTTGCCTTTGGGTAGATTCTTTGGGGACACATTTTTAGGGTTGTTGTTTTTTTTGGGTTTCGAAAGGAGACATGTGTCGTCTGACCCCCCCCCCCCTTAATCAAAGTATGCCCCCACCCTCCATGTTATTTACAGCCCACCCCTAACCCAAATCCGCTTTTTAAAAACATTAAAAATAAGTTAATAAATAGATAAATAAATTTCAGCCCCTCCCCGAAAAAAGGGGTATTGCAGTTACTGCATCGGACTTTGTAGCAAAAGGACCGGAACGTCTTAAACTGTCGTGATGAAACGTGCCTCTTACTCTTAAATACATGTGGGGCGCCCCCAGTTGGTCAATTTCGTTGGAGGGCCTTAAGTTGTCGAAAGGTCCTCGAGGCTAACTAGCATGCCGTCTCTGAGACCTCTGGTTTTGTTGGTCTCCAGTCTCGTGAAACTTCGGTCAACTGGATCGAGAGGCTCAAAAATGAACTTACTTTCCACCATGAGAAAGAAGCCATCTTCATCACTGCTCAACATGTTGATCGCAAGCTCCGTCATCTCGGCAATGGAGGGCTCTCCGGCCGTGTCGTTCAATCTGTCCACCTCGTACTTCATGTGGCTTGGTTCAAACAGACCTGTTTTAAATAACGGAGAACATCAATTTTTCCATATTCCATTTCCGAGAAAAAGAAGCTTTTACAGTGGTCGACGTTAAACTTAATCTTTGAAGACTACGGCAGTTCAGCTCAGATATTTTATTCAACTCAAAAGCAAACAGGGAACATCAGATCACCTAATTTTGATTAAGTTTGAGTTCAATGAAATTGTTGATATCGATGTGCTGTGAGATGTTAAATCTATCCGATATCATGTCATATTATACAACACTATAAAAATGTTGGGTACATCTTTGCTAGGAAGATTTTAGTTTTGTGTCCAGTAAACTTTGGACAATTTTGGGGTTGCCCATTTAAACAATTTTATTCTTTGTTTTGATCTTAGCAATAATATGCAATTTAAACGGAAAATCCCAAAAGTCGATTGGATACATTATTCCCCCCGAGCAGGGTAACTTTGTTTTAACCCAACATTCTTTAAAAGTGAAAGGGCTCAGAATTTAGACCAGGGGGGTGTTTCACAAAGATCCTAAGTTGAACTTAACTATAAGTTGGACTTAAATATTATGGAGAGCCATTTGTAGCCTTTTTTTAAATATATTCAAAAGCAAAAATTCAAGTATTTTAGACTTTTCATGAATTCCACATCAAGAACATGAAATCTCCCACGATAATAGAAAATATGAATGATTTGAATCAACATTTTATGCCTTTTAAAATAACTTTTACAAAATATTTTCAAGGATGCTAATGGCTCTCCGTAATTTTTAAGTCCAACTTAGAGTTAAGTTCGACTCAGGATCCTAGTGAAACACCCCAGAACTTAGTATCGCTAGAACATTCTAAGTGACATGCAACGGTGTCGATTTGTATCCGTGGTTGGGGGGGATGATAGGTGCCAAAATATTTTTGGCAATGGATCAAAGCTACCAAGAGGTATAGAAGCAGGCGCGGATCCAGGATTTCTTAGGGGGGGGGGGGTCCAAATTTGAAATTATGCTAGCCAAATATTGGTACGTAATGGTGACACCGGCAGTGGCAAGAACTTTTTTTTTGGGGGGGGGGGGGAGGGGGGGGTAGACAACAAACAAATCCCCATCACCCCACTCTTACATGCAGGCTCCGCTGAATGTTTCTCGGCGGGGGTCCAGGGGGCGGAGCCCCCGGAAGCTCAGGGGTTTTGGGCAATAAATTACGGTCAGATGAGCATATTTTAATACCTTATTTGTGACACTGGCAGGACACATATTGGTGTTGGGTCCAGGGGCGTAGCCCCCAGAAGCTCAGGGGTTTTATACATTAAATTATCGTCAGATGAGCATATTTTTATACCTTATTATTTTGTGACACTGGCAGGTCACGAATTGGCGTGGGGTCCAGGGGGCGGGGCCCCGAAAGTTCAGGGGTTTTGGGCAATAAATTACGGTCAGATGAGCATATTTTAATACCTTATTTGTGACACTGGCAGGACACAAATTGGTGCTTGGTCCAGGGGCGTAGCCCCAAAAAGCTCAGGGGTTTTATACATTAAATTATCGTCAGATGAGCATATTTTTAAACCTTATTTGTGAAACTGGCAGGTCACGAATTGGCGTGGCGTCCAGGGGGCGGAGCCCCGAAAATTTCAGGGGTTTTGGGCAATAAATTACGGTCAGATGAGCATATTTTGATACCTTATTTGTGACACTGGCAGGTCACGAATTGGCGCGGGGTCCAGGGGGCGGAGCCCCCGGAAGCTCAGGAGTTTTGGGCAATAAATTACGGTCAGATGAGCATATTTTGATACCTTATTTGTGACACTGGCCGGACACTTGGCGTGAGGTCCTGGGGGCCGAGACCACAGAAGCTCAGGGGTTTTAAGCTTTAAATTACCGTCAGATGAGCATCCAGCCGTCCGTCTAAGGGCCCTAGGTGGGGTCCAGGGAGCAGAGCCCCCGGAAGCTCAGGGGTTTTAAGGCATTTAATCACGGTCAGATGAGCAAAAAAAAAATTGGGCCCCGGAAATTGGAAAATTACGTTGTCAGATATTTCGTTTAGGGGCTTGGGGGGGGGGGGGGAGGAACACTTTTTTTGTTTTGCTTTCTTTTCAAGAGGCACTAGATCCATGTGTGTAACTTAAGAAAGAACTCTTTGTTTACCCGATTTTGTTCAGGTGTCTATGAAAAATTGTTATTAAAAGATGCATGTGTTCATAATTTCTCTCGTAATTCAGGTTAATAATTTTGTTCAAGGCAAATAGAGGAAAATGTATATCATTATCTCCATTTGCTATCTAAAGATTTTGCTCCTTTCGGAAAAAAGTTCTTTAAATGTTTTACATGTAGAGATATAAATAAACAAAGAAATGGATGAAATCAATGAACCAAAATCAGAATCAGGGAACACACTGAAAGTTTCGTCTCCTACATGCTGCCATTTGGACAAAACCGTCTTTCTCTTCAATGATACAATATTTTATTACTTTACTTGCATTATGAAAAAAACGCATCATCAACCCCACATAGTCATAGCTTTAAAAATCACTTCAGATTGAACTGGCCAAAAGTCATGTGATATTCTTGTCTCATATTACGGTTGTCTTATTTACTTCGTTTTCTATTTATATATGTATGTATTATGAAAATGAGATAGAAAAATGTGTATATTGATGGTCATCTTGCGGGTAATAACCATTAACTACTCTCATCGGGCTCTCATCATTAATTTTTCTCTTCATTTTTTTTTTGATGGTGAATTATTGGGGGGGGATGATTGTACAGGCCATCCCCCCCACCTAAAATATTGGGGGGGGGGGATATATCCCCCCCATCCCCCCCGGGATCGACACCCATGGTGACATGTATCCGCCCCATGGTAGCAGGACCATTGTGAGTTGTCTCGAAAGTTAAGAAATTTAATCGAGAGCTATGGCCAACCCTCGGCCCCCCCCCCTCCCTCCAGCGACGCCCTCACTTTATAGGCCCAGCGACGCCCTCACTTTATAGGCAGTTGAAAATTGGTCCCTTGTTATTCTTTTTTAATTACGTCGGTATTGTATGTGATTTAGTTATTGACACTCTATGATTAACTGCTAAAGGCTCCTTTTAGATTTGACACAAACAACGCATGTTTTTTTTAAACATTTAAATGAATGGCAACTGCGTTCAACAAAGATCCTACGCGTATTCACCCTGTTTACTACCAGGGTTTCCGCGTCATATCTGAACAAGGATTAAAGGTTGCTACGTTTCGTTTTCTTGGTCAGAAATCTGCCAGAAGGGGAGGACCCCCCCCCCCCCCTCCCTAAGTCCCTCCTTCAAAATTTCAAATACGATAGTGAATATTCAATTCGACACACACCTAATAGGTACTCGGTTGATGACAGATCAACTCGATCAAGAGCGGTTTTGTTCCACACGTACTGCGCAGACGACCCTTTTACCGATAGCCATTGTTCGATCAGATTGAGTCCGTCTGTGCGATAGCCTGTCGTGTTCTCGTCACCATACTCTGGGTCAAGCGTAGTGTTTGGAAGAAAATTAACACGACCGCCACCAAGAATGAGCTTGTAGGAAAACACGCGAGAACGAAAAAAAAACACGATAATAATGAGAATGACGATGATGTTAACAATTATGAGAATAATATAGTCCGCCTGTCAAAAAGCCGGTCGTGTTCTTGGAACCATACTTATGGTCAAGGGTGGTGTCGAAATTTACCCCGCCCCTAAGAATGAGCTAGCAGGAAAAAACATGACGATAATAACATCAGTATAATACAATAAATATCTATGAATTATCATCCTGGATGTATAGATGTACTTTTGTTGTCAAGGGGGTTGTGTAATGTGTTGTCATCTTTTGTCCGCATATCAACTTTTAAGTTTCAGCGAAGCGACTGGGCAATTTTTCTTTCATGTTTTTTTTTCTCATGGAAACAGCCACTAACGATTTTATTATCGTTGCAATGTAATTTCGCCATTAATATGTATTAGATGTGATGAGAATAATGACATGGACTACCTCGCTGCCCGGGTGCACCCCCCCCCCCCTCTCGCCCTAACCCATATCCACGGAATATAACGATTGAACCCCTAAATGTTTTGTCGTTTGCGTCAAGTGGTCGACGGCGGTAATTTCGGCCTAGTGGTTGCCCACCACATCCCCCTCCCCTTATTTTGTTGGAATTACAGCTTGTCTGTTTGAAACATCATCAATATTATACTCACATTAATGAAGTTGTTCTCTTCTACGAGTTGCCTCGCGATGTCGATACACCCCTCGTCAGCCTCCTCATCGGGCACGCGGTCGTTGTTCTCCCAGTCTCTCTCCGCCGAGTGAGCATACGCGGCCGCTGGAGTCGCATGGGTTACGCGAGCAGTGCTGATGAGACCGGTGGCTTTACCTTTGAAAGGTATTGCGAAGATATAGGATATGTTAACATAAGGCAATGAAAATATATAAGTGTTATCTTTGTTTCTAATGATTTGTTTGCGGTGTTTGCGATGTCGTGGTCAAGTGGATATGTCACCGGACTGTGGATCACAAGGTCCGTGGTTCAAGTCCCGCCGCGGCATTATTGTCCTTTGGCAAGACATTGATTTACATTTGCCACTCTCCACCCAGGTGTTAAATGGGTACCGGGTAAGATGCGAAAGTTATTGTGGTTAGATGAGCAAGTGTGCGCTTCTAAAAATGACACCTGGCTGGAATGTAACAGGTAGTGGAGAATGTGCATACATTGTGTGCAGGTAAGCCTGAATCTGATTACCGTGGTAATAATATATACCTGTAAAGCGCTTTGAGAGGGGCTGTGGTCCTGCAAAGCGCTATATTAGGACGAACTATTATTATCATTATTCATTGTGAAAATTGAAAAGTTTCATAATGCGCGAGACGTTATTCTGATTTCTACCAGTTGTCGTTTCACGACGGCATCATCATTACAAGTTAGCCGACATCCTATTGGGACTCGTATACTAAAAATATTACATTTAACACATGTTGTAATGGGATGTCAGTGATGTTGTGCTTATGACTGTCTCGTGATAATAATAACAATATCGAATATATATTTAGGAGCGCTTAAAACAATAAGTACCATAGCGCTTTCAAATACAAATATATGAAAAGAGGACAACAAAATGTACAGTCTCACATGAAGTAGATCACATAGATCACTGGGGGAAAAGGGTAAGTTTTTAAGGGATCTTTTGAAGGTGGCAAGACAGGTAATTTTCCTTATGGAAAGAGAAATGCTGTTCCAAGTCTTTGATGCAGCCACTGCAAGACGTTTTTTCAGCTGCTGAGAGTCTAGATTTGGGAATGATAAGTTTACATGTGTCGGTTGCTGAGCGAAGATTACGAGATGGTGTATATATTTGGAGGGTGTCAATAAGATATTCAGGTGCCAAATTAATGATTGGGTATTTTGAAAACATACAAACAGAATTTTAAAAACATCATTTAGTACCTGCTCGGTTCGCCTCAACAAGAACAGAGTCCACCTCGGTCCCTGCAACAGACGCACAGCTACCCCTTTCGGCCCCGTCGTCAATTCCAAGTGTACCGGCTTTAGCCTTCACGCCGCATAAAAATGCCGTCGCTGTACCGGCCGAGTCCGCAACTTGTTGATCCGTGTTGTATGTCTGGACGAAGAAACACAAAAATGAGAATTAAGTTTACCGCTTCGAATTAGCGCACTTTAAGTTTCAGAAAGATGAAGGCGAATCAGTCTTGGTCCCCCAAGCTTCCTCAGTAGAGGATTAACACTGTGAAAAGGTTGTGCAATATTTTCCAACACTTCGTATTTTGCCCAACAGTTAGTAAAGATTTCCCCAACAATTAGTAGGCTACCGTAGTCGGGCAGTTAGAGGGTCATATCTTTGCCCAAATTTTAGTCAAAATACGAAACAAGTATGCACGTGTGAAGTATAGGGTACTTACGTTTACCACTGGGCAAAATATTGCCCAATAGATGGTTGGGTTGACTATTGGCACAAAGTTGGACAAAGTGTCGAAAAAATATTGCCCAATCTTTACACAGTGTATGTTTGGTAGCATAATCAAAATCCCGATTATTATTTTTTCTTCAGCGGGTATGATATCAGGAATTCTGCCCGCCCCTATTAGGCATATCAATTGTAGTTGTAATAAATATAGTAATATTTCTACCCAATTTTGTATTAATTATTATTATTTCCAATGGATGAGGGCGGCTTGAATGTGCGGAGGTGTCGTGGTATAGTGGTTCAATCATTGGACGCTCAACCCAAGGGTTGACGGTTCGAATCTCAGGCCGGTACCAATGTCCTTTGGCAAGACACTCATCCATATTTGCTACTCTCCACCCAGGTGTAAATGGGGTCATAATATAGCAATTAATGTGGTACTTGCAGAGCCCTCAAGAAGAGCAATATTAATACTGATGAGACTTCTCTGGGTAAAAAGATCATTATTTTTGATATTATTATGGCAGTTTCGGCCCACCAATGCACTTTACCTTCTAGTCTCCTTTACAAACTTTTATTACGCTTTATATAGAAGACTGTACATTTACGCCTTCGCCACCATTCCACAAAGCAATGTACTACAAGGAACATGTGGGCAACATGCAGATGACCTTGATGGCGGAAGATCTGGGCCCCGTTGCATCAAACTTAAAAATTGATAGTAACTTTGCCATTAATGATAACTTCCATGGAAACCTTGACTTGATCGACTGTCTGTTGAGTGATGGTGGCAAGTTTTATTCAACGGGACTATAGGTTGAACATATCCCTCGGACCAGTTGCGTATAGCCTACGGACCACAACCTGAGGGGGGGGGGGGGGGCATTACAACGATGGGGGGGCATCAGTATGTAATACACGGATAATGAAATGCAACTTTACAAGAATACTTATTAAGGGAGGTCGAGGGAGGTGGTCCAGGCACCCTCATTTCTCCTTCTCCTTTCTCCCTTTGTCTCTTTTTTCCCCATTTTTTATTTTGTCACTACTCAATTTGGGCACGTGCCCCGTGTGCCCCCGTCTCCCATGAATGTAGCCACGCCACAGCCACTGCCTCTGAGGACTACTAGCGCGCTTTCGCAAACACGACGGGAGGCAAAGATAACGGAAACGCGAGCGAAAAATCAATCTGCGCATGCACGAACCAGAATTCTCTCTGTCCTGTTGATTTTCACGACCGTACGCGGCCATGATAGCGTTCGTTCCCTAAACACGACGGAAGAGCTGTATCCTCGTAATTCTCCCGTCGTCTTTGCGAAAGCTTTTTACAGTCTCACCTTCGACAGGGCCACATGCGGAAAATCATCCCAGGCCAAGGAGCCCTCCTCCCCCGTCTCACCGTCCATCTGGCCCCGGAGGATGCGGGCAGCGGTGGTGGTGGTGATGTCCATGCCGTCTCCGAGGAAGAAGATGACATTCTTCGCGATGCCTTGGTTTTGTCGAAGATTCAGGGCCTCCTCAAGGGTCCGCTGCGCTTGGTTATTCCAGAAGGCAGCATCTGTAATAATAATAATAATAATAATAATATAATAACGTTTTATTTAGCAATGGTAGCCGCTTCAGTTATGAAACTGCTCTTCCAGCGGGCACTGCATAACATAATATGTTATTACTACCCTTCTCCAATCTAATATGATGAGCGCCAAGCTAGAAGGCAGATGGTCCCATTGTTATAAGTCTTTGGTATGACTCGGCCGGGGTTCGAACCCACGACCTCCGGTTCATGAGGCGGGCGCTCTAACCACTGAGCCGCCATGCCCGTTAATGATTGGTTGGAAGGTATGTTATTGGCTAGAACAGCGTTGGACAAAAAAGTGAAGACTGCATGACCGGTCCCGTCTTGCATTTTTCGATTTGCGATTAATCCGGACTGATCGAGAGAGCTCCAATAAATCAAAAACACAACTGCGACTGATCACAAGTGTTAATAAGACCATGCATGAAGACGGGGCCAAGGCAGTCATATGCAAAAGTCGACCAACACAGCGACGATCATTAGTGTCTTTTTAGAAACAAAAATGGCAATATTCTTTTAGAAAGCTGTCAGAATGCCCAATTTTGACGGATCCATGTTTAATGATTTGTGTGTGAAAAGGTTAACCATTAGAGCGCCCCCCCCCCCCGGCCAGAATGACGCGATGTCCATGGCTCGGGAATCATTTTGTATTGTTACACGATTTAATGTGCTATACGGATTAGTTATCATGGGAAAAGAGAGAGAATTTGAGGAAATGAAGTTGTGTAGCCTGGATTATTTTGTTCAGAAGGAGGGTGTATTCCTTCCCCGTTAAAGCACTAGAGGTGTTGGCTTTTAGTACTGCTGTATTCCCCCACCAATGCATTTTATAAACCTGCAGTCTACAATTGTCGTCAACTCCTGTGTACTTATTAACGAGATTTTTTAGCTGTCTGCCGCTTCGAGATCGCTGGGGGCGAAGTTAGGTGACTATGAATAGCCAGATTGAATGTACTATTTCCCATTTGCAGCCAACATCAAATTCTGTAGAACTTTGCAGGATTATGAATATGTCATGTATGTCCTATCTGTGAAATTTAAACGTCAGCAGTGTCCTAGTAATCAAATTATGCAAGGATAACCGTTTACTTTCTAGACTTCACCGTCAGATACTATTGAGTGACTGACTGACTGACTTCTTTTTTTCTTTGGTAATAACATACATAAAATGAGCTGTATAAGGGGTACATGAGGATTTGTCTATACACTAACCCACTTCTTGAAATGGCCAAAATTAAATCGATTGAATCTTTGCGCAGCACATGAAAAACGGAGAACCATTCGGTACAAGTGTCTGAAAATCAGACTATTTACTAAAAGGATTGCAATCACTAAAGTCGATTCGACAACGGACGGTCGTAATTTCCCACAAAAAGACATTTTCAAGCCCTTTCGTTTTGAGGGAAGTTCTAAATTAGTATTATTTTTCAAATGCAGTTGGAATTTAACATTTTCATTTTTTTGGCCCGCAAATAGATAGTCGACAAAAGTACATTTACTGCCTATAACACAAAACCAAGGAAAAGATGCAGCCACACAAAATTTGTTTTGGAAAAGGAAAAGAAACAAAAAAGGGATCGTAAAAGGAATGATTTTACCCCTTCCCTCTTTTTTTCAGAAAAAATGCTATTACACTTTGAATTTCCTCTCAAACCAAGACCTCGCAAATATATGCATGTTTATTTGTCTGCATCCTTATAATCAACAGCAACCACTCTCTTCTTTCTTTGCTGGAAGACTTTGGCATTGAGTTAGTTTACTCAGCTCTCAAGTCAGCCTCGGTTCCGTTTGTTATCAAATTTCCAAAACCTTCTCTTTTCCTATTTTCAGGATTAAAACTGATCAAAAGAAACTAACCCTGAATAAATTATGTAAATCCTCAAATTCTATATACTTTGAGAAAACACCAAACCCGTTGTCAAACAGATATAGCCAGCTGACCGAGGGCGGGAGTTGAATATTAAACACAAACCCGAAATTCATGGCCATTAAAGAGGGCAAATAATTGCGATTTGGTGATCATTATTTTAAAGAAGGAACTATACCGCGTAATTTTCACTTCTAGCGCGGATCTGCTACGGTTTTTTCAACCAGAAATTAGATTAAAGTCATTCTACATTATACCTACCATTGAGAACATGATTTTTGATCAGCAAACTTATGAAAAAGAGCACATAGTTTTGGCCTGTCCAGGCGCGTACGCAGGATTTCTTCGAAGGGGGGGGGGGGGTTAAAATTTTAAAATCGCACCGAAATTTCGCAGCGACTCAGCCAGCCGAATTTGAACAATTGGCCGATCGATATTTCGTTCCGTTTGGGGAGGGGGTGTAGTCACCTTTTTGAGGTCACCCATTAGCACAATTTAAAAAAATGAGGGGGGGGGGTTCCTCCAAAACACAAAAAAAAAATTGAGGGGGGCATAATTATGTGATAAATAAAACCCTAGGAAATTAATTTACCATCTGGCAACACGAGCGCAAAGACTTTCCGGTAATCAACATAATAAAAATAATGTCAATATCCTCATATGTCACCTATTTATATTCGCGGACATCATAATGACCTTATTACATAACTTGAACTTGGGCAACAGCTTAGGGGATTGAAATTGCTTTCGAGTTTATTCTTGGAACTCTTTTGCGATCATAGAATTTCAATTTTACCAGGAACTCGTATATAGACTATCATAATATAGGTTATGGGGATTTGATCAACGCACAACGGCATGAAAATCTAGGTTTAATTAAGAATTCATTCGCTTTTCTGCATAATTAGTCATTGCAGCGCTAACAAAAGTAAGAAAACGTATCAGAGAGACAGTGAGAAAACGAAATAAATGCCAAGGCAATTCAATGATTACAATAACGATGATCAGGAGGAGGCGCGATAGCTCAGTCGATAGAGCAGTGGTCTCGTAATCCTGTGACCCGGGTTCGAAACCAAGTCGATGCGCTAGTGCCCTTTGGTAAGGCATTAATCCTCATTACCAGGTCCCTCGGAGAGGACCTAAAGCCGTCGGTCGTCTGGTTGCTTACTTACAAGCATTTATGCTTTCTTAGCAGTCAGGTAAAATAACCACCATCACCAATAATTATGATGATAATAATGATAATGATACTTCTACTACAACATTACTACTATTACAACTTACTGTAAATCAATTTTAACAGTATTATACAAAGGTATGAACTGATCGGCTACATAAACTTGCTACAATATACATACAATATAATAAATAGAATATGGAAACGATTTGATAGAAATTATTACTGATACTTAACCGCAACAGGATTTGAAAACGGAAAAGACCAATTTCCCTGAACAATGGCAGGGTTTCACGAAACCGTCTTATGGCGGCTTAAAACGCGTGTATTAAATTTAGCACGCGTTTTACTAGGATGTCGGTGAACTTGTACTTATGACGGTTTTCGTGAAACGACGCCACGCATGTTTGCAATTTGCACGACCCTGATAAAAGTGGTTTGACAAAAAAAAGACGATAAAAACGGATAAGTGGAAATTGGAGGGAAGTCCGATAAAGGATAATAATAGTACAAAATTTGCGATTGTTCATACACAAATTGGCAACTATTTGTTTTACCTCGAAAGCATCGCTGCCATTTGCTCTGTACTGAAAAGATAAATAATTATTTCTATGTTCTTGAAAGAAAATTGATGATTATACATGCTCGCTATATAATAGCATTGCACAAACATTATACAAAATCCCTTAATGCCCAGCGCACACTACACGGCCCTCCCGCGATCTGATTTTTGTTGTTGTTGGTTTCTTTTGTTGGGGGAGGGGGGGGGGCATTTTTTTAATGGCGTTTATTATTTCAAATGGAAATCCAAACAAACATTATCTTCCCGATTTAGGTTCTGAATGATGATAAGAATACCAACCAGCTGAATTGTAATGCAGTTACGCCCCCAAGTCCGAATTAAAGCCGAATCGGTAGACAATCACACCACTGGTCTGACGTCACGACGACTCAGAGCCGATTTAGCTTTTTCGTTCTCCAAGGAGGCACAATTGCAACTATCAAATCAAATATTAACTCAAATGTGATTTCAATACCCTGTTGTATATCCCATAGAAATCATGTGCGCACAATTCAATATTTGACGGGCAAGGTCATTGAAATTCGATTAGAGTACACTTGCTATCGTGTTTTCATCAATAGAAACATTAGAAGAAAGAAGGCATGACCTATGTACAAAGTTTGCCGAAGCATGTGTACGTTCCCATATATACTCGAATGTGTTCCCTCTCAACGACACAACTCATTCCATGCAGCTCAGGACCAGCCGAACGTACAAATCTATCAATGCCAGGACAAAAAGATATCAGAATAGCTCCATTCCATTTCTGACAACTTGCCTAAATGAATAATGCCAAGGTTGTATAAAAGGGGTGAATAGAGAACAATGTACGCCTAACTCTTTTTGACGAAACCGGTGTCACTATTTATTTAATTATTATTATCGATATATATTTTGAAATCAGAACATATTTCTCATATAATTATATTTCCAGGGGCATAATTGATTATCGAAGCATGAACATGGGTATTACGCATAGCATTACAGGTATCAACAAGGTTATTTTTTGTTCAATTAAGCACTCAAATACCTTATCAATGACTTATTTACCCAATCTCTACTGAATGATGCAAAACCAAATTAGATAATATTATTAATGCAAATATTGTTGTTGTATATATATATATACATTGAATTATTCTTAATGCTAATATTGTGAATTGTCACTAGAAAGTGATCTATTGATGACAATTCATTGTCTTTGTTAATTATATGGTATTTTAACTAGTAGTATATTTGAAACAATTGTGAAAGAAATATGATATGTTTTTAATTGTAAATTGTCATGCAATTCAGCCCAGGCTGCGAAATGATGATATTAATAAACTGAACTGAACTGAACTGAATAATAATGTGACTTATATCGCGCCAAATCC